TTTCGCTCGTCGAGAAGGCGGGCTCGACAAGAGAGTCATCCTCTTGTGGGACGACTTCAGTGCGCACTTCACGGATGATGTCATTGCCTACGCGGAGTCCATCAACGTCATTCTGGTGCGTGTACCACCGCGTTTTACCTGGTGCTGTCAACCAGCCGATGTCGCTTGGATTCGCCCTCTTAAGTCGAACCTGCGGGGTCGTTGGCTTGCGGAAATCAGGCGCCAGCTCCGGAACAGCAAGGCCGCCAACCGTAACCTCAAGCTCGTGGGTCCATCGAGAACTACAATGGTTGAGTGGATTACTGGGGCGTGGAACGCGGTACCTGAAAGCGTGATTTTGAATGGGTTTCGCAAGTGCCAGCTCATCGACGGCGCTGTCGTTGAGGTCGTTCTGCCGGGAGACAGTCTGGACGTCAGTGACATTGCTGATTTGATAGCTGACTCTGCCGTCGAAGAGACCATTGATCCAGCTCAGGATATTGACGCCATCGATGCTATCAGCTCAGCTGAAATTGTTTTGTTGTAGATAATGTATTATCTTACCATTTGTATGACATATTTTTAAATGTTTTCCTTTGTTGTCTGATACCCCTAACGTTTTATATTGATCCACTCCTTATTTTTGAACTTGGGCTGCCCCCAATGATTTCCAATTATCCGAAATTTCACATTACGGATAATTGCCCCGTGGGTGTCTAAAACTATATACACTATACAGTATCCCAATTTCAAATTGACCAATCATTGGTGAGGACACTTCCAATGCGAACAACCCGTTCAGTGTGACTATTCGGCGACCTTTGTTCACGCATCCCGTGCAAATGTCCTCCCTGCTACTCGACTTTGCGCTCATCCTTCGTATTCGCCAACCAACTTCGCCGACGGCAACGCTTCGCATGTCTACGTGGCCATCGCCCCCGCCAAACTCAATTTGTGTTGGTTCTCAATGCAGTTGGGAATGTATGTTTTGGCTTCAAGTTCCTAGCAATTGTGTTTTACCCACACACTGGTGAATTTCGTTCGTGCTGGTGCATTCGCGAGCTTCAACGGCGCCACTGCTTTCTTGGGTAAAGTTTACCGCAATGACGCTGTTTGATTTACATGTATGTGTGTATAGTCCATGTCGGTAGCGTTTCGTGCCGAGCGGACTGTGAGTCTAAACGCATGCCGTGTTGGTGGGGTGGCCCACGACACATTTTGGCAAACGTATTACGCTTTAATTGGTAAATTTTTAAAATTTTCATGTTTTGGGTGCATTGCGTTCGTTCTACTGACGCGATACAAATACTAGTATGCAGATTCCTCGGACGATGCAAAAAAATATCCAGTCGCCATCTGGAGAAAAAAGAGTTTGCCAGTTCGGATAAAGCATATTTATCCGGAATCTCGGTGGGGGTCTCCGTGGATTCTTGTCATTTCGGCGCGAGACAAAGACAGACGCCGATGAAGCGGCCCCCAGCGGCGCCGAAGCGACGAAATCACGACGAAGTGAACTCTTTGGACGAAGGAAATGTCGCGGAATTACTTCATGAAGACGTGTTCGAGAAAGAAACCCCAAAGGATGAAGAGGAATGCGAAATGCTCACACGAGAGGACCTCGAGGCGATGATTGACATCGAAGAGGCGAGATCTCGGGCTTCTTCCATTGGAAATGGGCGGGTCCGTCGTACTCGGTCACGTAGTGCCGGTCAATTGCTGCTCCCACGGCGTTCTCATAGCCTGTACACACGAAGTTCTAGTGCTGCAGGTGATGTCTCCGCAATGCGGACCCTGTCCAGCGACTCAGCCGTAAAAAAAGCATCGAAATCAACTCCTCCAACTCCGCTACCACCAAGGAAAGAACGATCCTTGGGCAGGAAAGGTGTCCGAAAGATGTCGAGTCGATGGGACGACGTGCGCACCCAAGTGAAGTGCAGCAAAGTCAATCGTCGAGATCCCCTGAACACGAACGACGACGACGAAAAGTCCCCGGGAGCTACTTCACCGCCGTCCTCATCTAAGTCCATGGCAGATGTTGCGAAACAAGTAATTTACTCGAAGCGTGCATCCACCCACATGAAACTCAACGTCAACGGGACGTCCAACCACGCCGCGATCAATGGTCTGTTTCTCGAGAAGAAGAAGCTGGATTTACGCATCTTGAGCGCTCAGTTCAAGGAGGTCAAGCGCTCTGAATTTTACGAAGAGCTCGTCGTATACTGCATGTTCTTGACGCTGTTTTTCCAGCTCTTGTCCGGCCTGCCGTTCCACGGATCGTTCCAACAAAGCGACGTCACGGTCGACTTGACGTGTTCTGTGCCGGACGCGTGCTCGATTCAATCTCCGCAGGATATATACACGTTTGCCGCGCATTTGAAAGGCCGCATCTGCGTTTCAGGTCATCATGCACCACCACACGATACGCCAACCCATCCCAAGGCCCCATCATTTCAGCCGTGGACTCGCGTGGGCGGGCTGCTCATGCGCCAGATTCGCGTGAAGCCCGAACCGTGTCAGTTTTCGTTCATGTTTGGTGAACCTACCACGTGTTTTCCTGCTCTTACGAGCGACAACGAAGACACTTCGCCGATTGTTGGCAAAACCCGCAATTACACGTGGTCTGATGACCTGGCGCCGTGGATTCCCGGCCACAACTCGTGGTACGCAAGCCAGACACAGAGTTTTGGCTCTGGTGGATATGTCCTGGACTTGTGCAGCCACCAAGTCGACGACATTGACGACCTCATGTCCGATTCATGGATGGATGTGGCCACGCGTGCTGTATCGCTCGAGTTTGTCGTGGTGAATCCATCCACGCACGTATTCACGGTGGCGTCGCATGAATTTCTGATCAACCCGTCAGGCCACATGAAGCACTTTAGCCAAAGCGCGAATCTCCGAGTAATGGGCGTCGAAGGGTCATCTGCTACGTCGAAATGGTGGGCCCTCGACGTTCGTGTATACCTGTGGCTCGGCGTGTGCGCGTTTGTTGTGACGTACATTCGAAGTGAAATGGCCGAAGTCAACAAAATGGGTCTGACGTCGTACTTGACACTCCACGGGTGGAACTTGTTTGAACTCGCGCATCTCTTTCTGCTCGTGAGCACTCTGTTTTACACGTACGTGTACTACACTCAGTCAGGACACACGGTACGGGTGATGGTGGCCGTACCGCACGACGCCAACGCAATCCACAGCCAGCTACTTCACCTTCTCGACACGTTTCTCCAGCTGAGCGACTTTGCCGCGCTTTCGTCGGCCTTTTCGCTGTTCAAGATATTCAAGTTTTTACGCATGAACTCGACGCTGAACCTGCTGTGGCAAGTACTCGGTATGGCGCTCAAGGACTTGATGGGGTACATGGTGATCTTTTTGCTGATTTTCCTGTCGTACTCGACGATGGGCAGTTTTGCCTTTGGCTTTGACCTTCAAGAGTTTTCTTCCGTCTCAACATCGTTCGCGACGTGCTTCCACATGCTTGCTGGCGATCTGTCGTACGACCGCCTACAGCAAGCGAACCCACGTCTGGCACCCGTGTTCTTCGTCACGTTCGTAGTGCTCGTGCTTCAAGTGATGGTCAACATGTTTGTCGCGATCCTGTCCGAGTTTTACGAGAGTGCAAAGGACGTCGGGAACGACGAAGACGATGTCGAATACGATATCATCACCCGGTTGCGCGAGTTCCTTAGTGCGTGCTCGCCGACCGTCGACCTGACCAACTCAGGCACTATCCACCTGCGACCAAACCAAACTGTCCGCCTTATTTCGACCAACTTGGTCGACAAGGAACTCACGAGAAACCGCGCCAAGAAACTGTTCCGCGGTGTCGTGTGGCGCATCATTGCGCTCCTCCGCTTCGGCATGAAGTTTGACCAGAAGCTCGTGTTTGTCAAGACCAACACGCGCACGCATGACGTGGACCCCCATCGCACGCGGTACATTCCGCTTTCGGAGAACTTTGATCACAACACGATCAAGACGATGCTGCCGAAAGGCATTATGATCCGCCTCGAAGGCGATGCCATCTTGGGCCAACAGACGCTTCTTCGGGTTGTCAGCCATGGCGGGCTGAGCGTCGAGTGCGTCGTGCTGCCCAGTGAGCACAACGAAGAGGTGATGGAGTTGGTTGGTGGCGAGAAGCTCAAACTGCCGTGGCAACTGTTTCTGTTCCATGTCGTCAAGGTGACATTCCGCGAACTCCGCCACGGCATCCTTCGTGCAACAAAGTGGTGGGACCCGTACGAGTCCAAGATTGTCGACGACTACCATCTGTACCAACTGCTCACGGACGAGCGGAAGCGTGGAAAGTCGACGCTGCGCTTTGATGAGTTAAATCGCTTGCTGGATTTGTACTTTCGAAAGGAGAAACGCAGTCGAGAATACAGCCAAGAGGAAGTCCGTCATGAAGCAGCGCTGGTCATGTACCGCTTCCGGAACTCGTTGATCGACATGCCGTCGCGCGAGAAAGAAGGCCATGATTACGTGCCAAACCCTGTGGACACGAGCAGCGTCGAGGTAAGCTATGGAACTGGATTGTCCACGCGATGAACTGTTGGTGGTTGTATATTCTACTTAGTTGAGCGCAAGCTTGTTGGCGTTGGGTGATCTGCTGGCGGAAAACTGCCACGACATATGGGCCATCGAGCGCATCGAGCAAGGATGGAAGTGGGGTCCGCGTCGCGACGACAAGCTCAAGCACCATCCCAACTTGATTCCGTACAAGGAAATGACAAAGGAGGAACAGATCTTTGACTTTCGCACGTCCATGGAGACAATAAAGACGATTGTCGCGATGAAGTACAATGTCGCGCGTGGCCGCCGCGGAGCTGACGGCATCTTGCGCACGTTGACGCATTCCAACAGTGCGACATCCGACAAGGGTGGGCACAGTCCGAAGGCTGCTGTGTCGATGGGCCGGTCGTTTTCGTTTCGCGATGTGTCGCATTCGATTCCGTACGGTCGCTCGGGGCAGGTACTGAAAAGTTGTGGGTGGAATTATTTCGAACACACGCCACACTTGTAGATATACACGCCACAACCCGTGGACACGTCCGCGGTGATTTTCCCCGCAAGTTTGCGTCGTTTAATGGATCTGCTGGCTGAAAACGCGCACGAAGTGTGGTCTAAGGGCCGCATGGACGAAGGGTGGACTTACGGCCAAGTGCGCGACGACAAGTCTAAGAAGCACCCATGCTTGGTGCCGTACGTGTTTCTCACCGAGGCGGAAAAGGACTTTGACGTGAAAACCGCTGAAGCGACGCTCAAGATGCTGTATGCGTTGGGGTACTTGATCGTCGACTCGAATGGCCACAGCTTGGTCTAAGCAGCCAATAACTTAATGCGGTCACACTCTGGACGTCTTCTTCTGGCCGAGTTCGACAATGTCGTCGCGAGACAGCATCGACACACGCTCCAACGTCTTCATCGTTTGGTACATGGGATCGCGGCTGACGACGCCGTGCGCGGCAAACTCCGTCGCTTGAAACTCATTTACATGCTGACGGTGCCCAGGCTCCATGAGGTCGATGGCGGTCGAGATGGGGAACCACTGTACCCTGTGAACCTCCGGGGAGATCGCTTCCTTGGCAGCGGTATCCATCGACCAGAACGACCCGTCGTCCAAGGCATGGGCAAATGCCCGCCGCTTGTCGGCGAGCCGACCGTTCACGCGGTCGACGAGTCGAACATCGTTCAACCACACGTTCTCATCGCTCAGCGCGACAAAGTTGTGCATCCGAAACCGCTTGCCTTGGACGGGCAACGTCGTGCGTGTGCTCAACCAACGCAACATCGGTGTTTCCGTCGGGTCGATTCCGAGGAACTCTTCACGCAACTCCCTGATGGCTGTTTGCTGGAGGGATTCGTCGTCGACGTCCTGACTTCCACCAGGAAACTTCCATTCTCCTGGGTACCGCATGATGACGGTGGTGTCGGGCGTCGATCGCAGCCAGTTCTTCACTTCGCTCTGGCCGAGCAACACCTCCCATGTACCTGTCGTCGATCGCTCCCGCAGGCACACCACCGTCGCCGCTTCCACCAAGGCGCTCATGGGGTATTTCGGTCAAGTTAGCCAGCATCTCGCGGCTAATGTGACGTGCATCTTGTCGCCCCGAATCTACTTCCACTCCATCTTCTTCCATGGTTCTGTCCTCGGCGGCGATTCCTCTGGCAAGACCCAGCTTTCCTTATAGGCAAAATATTCATTATCTCAGTGGAGCGTCGTGCACGTGCGCGCCACCCACGTCCGTGCAGCTAGTTATTGCAGCTTGGCCTTCAAGATCTCTTCCAACTTGATGATGTCGGCGACGAAGCCACGGATACCTTCCGACAACTTTTCGGTCGCCATAGCATCTTCGTTCATGGCGAAGCGGTATTCCTTCTCGGTGAAAGTCACCTTGGGGTGGTTGTAGTTGTGAGCGGCACTTTCAACGTCGAGGCGCTTGACGACGGGTCCGGTTGCGTTCGCCAACTCTTCCAAGAGGTTGGGGGAGATGGTCAAGCGGTCGCAGCCGGCCAATTCCAAGACTTCGCCAGTGTTGCGGAAGCTAGCGCCCATCACGATAGTCTTGTACCCGTGCTTCTTGTAGTGGTTGTAGATGCGCGTGACAGATTGGACACCAGGGTCTTCCACGGCGGTGTACGTCTTGCCCGTCTTGGCTTTGTACCAGTCCATGATGCGGCCGACAAAGGGAGAGATCAAGGTCGCATGGGCTTCCGCGCAAGCGACGGCTTGAGGAAATCCGAACAACAACGTCATGTTGCATTGGATACCTTCTTCCTGGAGCTTCTTGCACGCTTGGATACCTTCCCAAGTAGACGCGATTTTGATCAAGATGCGCTCCTTGCCGATGCCCGCCGCCTTGTACATGCCAATGATGCGATGGGCGCGTTCGATCGTGCCTTCCGTGTCAAAGCTCAAGCGCGCGTCGACTTCCGTGGATACGTAACCAGGCACGATTTCCAAGATCTTGCGACCAAAGTTCACGCTCAATTGATCGATGATGTGCCCCAAACGTTCTTCCTCCGTCACGCCGGTCAATTCCTTACCGTAAGCAACGGCACCATGGACCAATTCGGCATACTGGGGCATTTGCGCGGCCTTGAAGAGAAGCGACGGGTTCGTCGTGGCATCTTCCGGTTGGTACTTGGCAATGGAGGCGAAGTCGCCCGTGTCGGCGACGACGGTCGTCAGTTGCTTGAGTTGGTCCAGGTGGCTCATGGGGATCGATCGAATTTCTAAATGACGTCGCAGAATGTGGGGGATATCCTCCACATCACTAGTTCATTTAAGTGCGATTGAGACACATACGTTCTGGCAGGTACGCACCGCCACGTCTTTGCACAAGACCATTCAATCAATATATATGAAAACATGAGATGGCATCGACCGCGCAGCGCGATGGGAGAAGCACGCAAGCACGAGAGCTCCAAAAAGCACTACTGATGCGAATGGAATGCCTGTCTTGCAATCATTTTGCAGCTATGTTGCCAGAAAACAAAAGATTTCGAGCTGGTATATAGCTGTGAAACTTGTACACGACGCGGGACTCGAACCCGCAACCCCCAGATTCGAAGTTTGATACGCTATCCATTGCGCCAGCCGTGCCCTTCGGGGCTACCTTGAGTATTTTTGTATTCAAATCCAAGTGACAAGCGTAGTGCTTGCTCCTATGACAACCTTGTTGGTTGTACTAGTACTTCGCAGTCGTTTTCGCGAAAAACGTGCCAACTTGTCATCGACCCCGACGTTCGACGAGGTCGCTGGATTCGTGGCGCGTAAGAGCTTATGCTCTTAGCATTCGTACGTGGTATGGCTTTGTTTCTGCACAAGCGAACACCATTGTGAAGGAAATATTTCGCTCTCACATCTATCTATCCCATGGAGTGTGGATCGGGGTTGAAGTCGGTGGATCTTTTCGTCCAACCTTCGTGTTCCATTAAAGTACGCCTGTTCTTCGTAAAGTTCGATAGGTCAGGAGCGCGGCTCATGCTCATGGTCCTCTCTGCCGCCGTGGTGGTGCCGTCTTCAACGCCAGGACCATGCCCACCTTATTCCTTGTTTCTGCTTCATCACACAGTGTGACTTGACGTACAGGACGTACACATACTGTGCACACATTACCATGCCTCTTTGCAACCAGGATGTGACCGTTGGCATCACTTTGGCGCCACGTCCCATTGTACCGTTGTCGGCTCGGGACAGTTTGACAGGACCGCGAAGATGCTTGCATGCAGCAATGGCGACTCCGTCTGGCACTATCTGACGAGTCTTCTCTCTCCCTGTCCAACTCCAGAGCAGGTCAAAGCACAGGAATTCATAGACTCCCGCTTGCGGCAGTACAGTGTCGTGCTCTTTGTCGAGAACTCCACCGAGGAGTTTGGGTGTGTCGTGGCCGACGTTGTTCGCCGGTCGCGGCGCGTTAGCCGCTGCATCGTCAACTTGGATCAAATCGAGCATTCGGAGATATTGCGGGAGATTCAGGTCGTGCTCGAGGAAAAGTCGGGTAGAACCGAGCTCGTCGCAGCTTCACCCACCCAAATGTGTCTGTAGGGTCCTGGTCCCTGCCTGTGCTGTTTCTGAATGGGCAATGCGTGCCGCAGATCGGCGCCATCCGCGACGCGTGACACCGCTTGAATACGTGATAAATTATTGTCATATGTGGTCCTACAACTGATCCAACCGGCGCACCGACTGTTCGCGTTTCATGGCTTTGGTCCGGAGGAGGGCGCGGCGGTCGATCGCGAGTTTCTCGGCGTCTGCTTCAATTTCCTCGCGCACTTCGCCTTGCAGCCGATGCAGGACTTCAAGGAATGTCGGACGGCTACCGGGGTGATCGAGGAGGCAGTCTTGGATCAACTGTCGGCGTCGCGGCAGGCACGTCGGCGGCAACGACGGCCGCAGGCCGTCTTTGGCTACACGTAGCATGACCTTGAGTCCGGTCTGGTCGATATCGTGGTACGGCGTTTGGCGTGTCTCGAGTTCGGTCTACAAAACCACCGATGAAGAGCACCAACGCGACTGGTTTACGTACGAGGACGATCCCAAACGAGTAGATGTCAGCGGAAATGCCGTATTTTTCATTGCGGATCACTTCCGGTGCGAGCCAGAAGGGCGTCCCCACCACTGTCGTGAGGGCATCCAGGTCCTTTTTGTAGCGCCTGGACAGCCCAAAGTCGCTGACTTTGCAACCGAACGTGGCCGAGCATAGCAGGTTGACGCTCTTCAAGTCGCGGTGCACGACTGGCGGTTCTATTCCGCGCTGTATGAGACAACAGTCGCTTTCATGCGGAAGTGCAGTACCTTGAGAGTGCAAATAGAGCATGCCAGAGACGGCGCCGACGGCCATCTTGAGCAGCGGGTCGCTCCAGACAAAGGACCGACCGATGGCCGAGTGCAGGACGCTGTGCATGTCGCCGTGTTCCATGTACTCGAGGACCATGCACACGTTGGAGCAATTGTCCCACGACGCCCCGATAAACTGAACGATGTTCGGGTGGCGCAAGCACGACATCAGTTCGATCTCTTCGCGGAAGCGCTGGATCGACGGCAGCGTGATCGCGTCGCGTCGCATGCGTTTGCATACGACGGCAGTTCCCAAGTAGCTCGCCTACATCCGTCGCCATGAGGGTGCTAGTCACTTTCGGGGCGGACAGTACCTTGATGACTTCGCCACTCGCGCCGCGGCCGATGATTTTTTCAAACTTGAGGTCGGCAAACGGAATTTGAATCATTTCCAAGTGTTTCGACTTGAGCACTTGGCGGACGGCGTGGGTCTCGGCATCACAGGCGGAGTCGTTCATGAGGGCCTTCTCGGCCCGGTTCAGGGTGAACTGGAGGTCGGCGTTCTCCTTCTCAACGTGAATTTTGGCGAGAAAGGATCGGCGCGCGGACCGGTCCGAGTGGTAGCACGCCATGCAGAGGAGGAAACCGGGAGTTGCGTAGCTCACGAGGATCACAGCTTGGACGGAGAGGCTATAGAGGTGGAGGACCATGCCGAGCGACGTCGACGTTGTCAGCAGGAGAAAAACGACCTGGGGAAAGTCCAGCCGAATCACCACGGCCAGTGTCGACCCGATCAGGATGAGGAAGATGGCGGCGAGCGCGACGAATGCGCTCAGGAGGTTTTTGTTCGTCTGCTCCAAATTGAGCTCAGAGTACGCCGTCCGGTTACATGTGGACGCGTTGCTGCTTGCAGTGGGCTGGCTCGCCAGCAACTTGAGGAACTCGGTGGTGGAGGCACTGCCTTGGTAGCCAAGCCACATCTGCATGCGGCGCGTGAGTACAAGCATGGTCCGTGGGGATATACCTGAGTGCCGCAGATAAAAGTGAGTAAGGTCAGCGTGACGGCGACCTTCCATCGCCGGCGAAACGGACTGTCCTCGTCGACCCACGCGACGAACGGGACGGCCGCAAAAAAATACGCCCATTGCACCCATTCCTCGGCGCGGTTGAAGTCCTTGGGTAGCAAATCTTCGGCACTCGACGACTTCATCGACGTCACGATGAAGAACACGATGTGCAACATCATCATGACCATCACCGTGTTTCGTGCGCGGACGTACCATTCCACCTGACAGTACTCTTGGTAGAGTTGCTCGAGGGTGGGGTCTAGAAATCGACAGCTCGCCCGGTAAAACAACGTAGCGTCCAATTCGCGCGTGTGCGCAGACAAGTCTTGTGGCGACGGAGTGGTTGCTACGACGTCAGGCACAGCATTGGTTCCTGATGTCGCTTGCAGATCCGTGGGTGGTGGTGGTGCGATCGCCGTGCTTCGTCCACCGCGACTGTTGCTGTTCATGTACGACGCAGTTCGATCAGCGGAGCTCATGTCACCGTTCTTTCGTTTCTGCATTTCGTCGTATAGGCGCTCCATGCGCACTAGGCTCAGCGTGTTCACATCTTCCTTCTCCTTCCGCCAGCCCGAGAAGAACCCCATGCTGGAACCTCGCCCCGGTGCTTTCGATGGCGCAGCCAACTGACTCCTAATCCCGGAAATATCCGGACATCCGGTTATAATAATCCAGGTCTTGAATCCGCGATCTGATTGGCTCGTTAGGTCTCGATATGTCAGCGCGACCAGCTGGCCTGACAACGCCGCCGAGATAGGCTCGAGACCCCTGCCGTCGTTGTTCTGTGTGTTGGAAGAGGGCGCGTCCTCATCGCCTCGTCGAGGTAGATCTTAGACGATGGCCGTGCGCTCCTAGGCTCCGCGATCTTTCCTTAAGAATTCCCCTGACAGTGAGATGATGTGGGCGGAATGATGATCATCTGTTTATCGTGGCACTTTGAGCATTGGCGAAACAGCATGGCCGAACCCAACTCACCGCACTACGTCGAGGTGGACATGACGCCGTCGACAGCTGACGCACTCGTCCGACGCAAGCTTCCAAAGTTGTCTCAAGTCGTGCAGGTGGAAGCCATCGCTGTTGGCTGGAACAATCGGTGCTTTTCGTTGACCACGGCCGACGGCTGTGAATACGTCCTGCGTGTGACTAAGGACACATGGCCCGCATCGAAAATCATCGCCGAAGCGGCTGGCCTGGCGGCTCTAGCTCATTACAAAGTGGACATTCCCGTACCAGCCTTGATCGGGTACAATGCAGAAGTTGACCCTGTGCTTCGTGTTCGATGGATGCTGATGGTGAAGATGAAAGGGACGATGCTGGATGCGGTGTGGGATGCTGCCAACGACGACGAGCGCGCCGCAATTGGTGCCCAAATTCATAAAATCCACACGGAATTGCAAAACCACCGCTTCGACCGCATTGGAGGGTGGATATTTGACCATCCCGACAACACGACTCCGGTGCTCGGGCCATTCTTTGAAGGGTATGGCCCCTTTAACTCGGAACGCGAGTGGCTACAGCACAAGTTTGACAGCCAAGTTCTAAAGGCGACCACAAACATGGCTTTGGAAGCACTGCGCGAGTACATCCCTGCCGCCACTGCGATTGTCAAGGCCTATCTGAGCTCTATGTCGGAGTGTCCAGTGGTTCTCTTTCACGGCGACTTTGCATTTCGCAACATGCTCGTGGACCATGGTGTGATCGTGGGCATTTTGGACTGGGAATGGTGTGGTGCTATGCCCATGTGGAAGGAATGGGGCGACGTCTCGTTCGGAGACCGCCACGTGTACGACTACGTCCCGTCCTTTGTGTATCCAAACCCTGCTGAACTCGACTCCCGACAACGCTTGTTTCAACTGATTGAAGCATTTTCGCCCTGGCAAATGGGATGCTGGCCGGAGAAAGATGCAACGTATGCCGCCGGCGCCAAGCAAACGATTCTAGCGACGTTGGATTTCTTCTCCAGCCAGGACCGTCTATAACGTGCGATAAAGTTAAGCAGCACGGCGCGTGGCTGCAACGACGCACACGAATTTGTTTCATCATCCTGACGAGGTTGTTCGCGGTGCCATGCAGCAATGAGGTCGTGCACACAGCACATTTTGCCGCATCCACCAACAATGACGTACTTTTCTTAATACTGCAAGTAGATTATGTATATTTTAATGACTTGAGATGCTTATTCCCAAAACGGCGGATCTAAAGGACTACGTTGCATATATTTGTTCATGTCTTCAACAAGTTGTTCTTTTAATAGAATTTATCAATATCAGGAGCACTGGTTCATTATACATTGCAGCAAAACTGCGATTTGGGTTCTCACCTGTCGTCTCGTCTTTCACTGTGGGACGAAGACGCCATTCTTGATTTCTGGATGACGAGGACCCATCGCCTCGCCCAAGTCCTTCGCAATGTGTCGTTCAACCAAACGATGATCCGTGTGAAGGACCCGCAGAAGAGCCTGGCGTTCTACGAGAGGCATTTCCAACTGACGCTTGCCCATCAAGCCCATTTTTCCGACTTTAGCTTGTACTTCTTGGTGTCCTTGCCAACGTCCCAACTTCCTGACAACCTCAAGAATGCGTCGTATATCAATGCAGGTGAGTATGGTTGCACTCTAGAACTTACACACAACCACGGCACGGAGTCGAACCCTTCGTTTGCGTATCACTCTGGCAACACGCCCCCGGTCGGGTTTTGTCAACTCGGATTTGCTGTGCCGTCTGGCGGCTTGCCTTCCATGAAATCGTCTCTTGAATCGCACGGACACAGCGTGGATGCTTTCGACAAGACTCTGATCACGCACGACCCCGATGGGTACGAGATCCAAGTGGCAGAACGCTGCACCAACGCCGACAAGGATGCCAAGGTGTCGTGGCACCACACAACGTTGCGAGTGAAGGACCCCGAAGCAAGCTTGGCCTTTTACCAGCAAATGATTGGGTTCTCGCTCTTGAGCACCCAGCGCAACGAGAAAGACAAGTTCACGTCGTACTTTTTGGGCACCACGACCTCGGACAAGCTTTCGGACGAACGACTCCAGAATCAGTTGGGGACGGTGGTGGAACTACGTCACTTTGACGGAACCGAGTCCCTGGGCGACGATTTCAAGTACAACAATGGGAACGTGGAGCCCCATCGTGGCTTTGGCCACTTGGCCATCATGGTCGACGACGTGTATGAGTCGTGTGCAGTGTGGGACGAATTGGGCGTTAAGTTTCAGAAGAAGCCTGACGACGGCCGCATGAAGGGCCTTGCGTTCATCTTGGACCCCGATGGGTATGTATATTCCTAAGTATGACCTTGACGAGGAGCTGACCGATCGTGAACACTGTGATTTAGGTACTGGATCGAGGTCATCCGTCGGCGCGGTCGTGTCGAAGGGCTCTAAACATGCCCGGAATGGTCGATCTACAATTGAGTTGTCCATATTTTCGGCACAATGAATGTCCAGTTGATCGTCACTTCGTCGCGACCACCGTCGACGCGGCAGTCGAATTGGGATGATGGCACATGCGGATTCTGGCGCACAGCTGTCATGCGCGGGGCACGATTGATGAATGGAACCGATAAAGCTTGCGGTCACTGTCGAGGTATTATGCTCAACGCTAATGGGCGTTGGGCTGGCGCCGTTTCGCCTTGTGCGCGGATTGCAAAACATTGCGTACATCCACGCATCTTGTCACGGCAACTCATCTCGCTCAACTCGTGATAGCTGAGGCATTTTGATGTAGCCAGTGGACACGTCCGAGGCATGGAGATCACGCCACGATCGGCAAGGCCAACGCAATCGAGCAACCACCGAAAGGTCGGGGAGCTTCGCCGCTCGTAACACCACCACGTGTCCCGTCTCTGATGTGGTGTGGGTTATTCCCAGTATTTCCCCACCTATTGATTTTTGACGTCTATACCCACGAGATATGTTGAAATTGTCCTTCGACAACATCAGTTCTATGACGAGTCGTCGTTTTGAGCGGCTTGAAAAATCCTCAAACTTCACTGAAATGGTGAACTTCGTCCATTTGACCATTTCAATTTTTCTTTCTTCAACATGAATTTTGAATATTGGACGCGGACAAACCTTGAGAAAAATCTGGAGTGTTGGGACAATGACGTTCAGGTACTGGGCCATTGGGATAAACTGTGTGGCCCACTTGTGGGTGAATTCCTCGACATGACGCCTCACGTTGGTTTCCCTAAAGCAATAAGCAACGTGCACCACATGTGCCAATTGCATTGCTTGGTACACGGGATCTCGCGTTGAGCGAGTGATGTTCCGAACCCGCGTTCGTTCGGGTCGCAGACGGGAGAGCCCCGCGAGATCGAGTGTATTTCAACCGCATTGATCTAGAGAGGAGATCGGGAACGTCGAGGAGAGCTTCAGTTTACACACCGCGGTAGCAAGGTCGGTCACCGTATTTCCACGTCGGTTGGCCTCCCAGCGACCGTACTGCACGTCGACAACTCGACATCTCGGTGAATTGTTTGGTCACGACGCGTCACGTCTTCATATGGCCGTGTACGTGCAGCACCAAAGGTGTGGCGTATGTCGGATTCGCAATGTGTATTATAACTGGTCGTTCTCATGCCTTGTCACTTTTGAATTCGGGTATAACAATTGTTATAAAAATCAATACAATCACAATCAGACGACAACTCAACACGATTCTGTTGGCTGATACGGCCGCGAGTATGGAATCGACGGGAAGAGGGAAGAGGAGGCGAAGGACCGAGATAAGGATGACATTGTTTGTGGCGGGTGTGCACCATGCAGATTCAGCCGTGCCGCCGGGCGATCGCAATCCGTCAGATGGCTTTGCTCCATGCTGACCTGCGAGTAATGTGAACGGGTGCACATCCCACTGCGATGTCGACGTCCCTACACAGTAGTGGTCACAGCCATGTGTTTGATCTGTTGTTGCGGCGCCGTTGCGTTGCGATGGTCATTTCGGAATATTCCATCACCATGGCTGACAAGTGCTTTTTCAACGGATGCGACAACGAGTGCGCGGCCGGTGCATGGAAGTGCGAGTTTCACAAGAACCGCGTGCGCTGCCGCGGCAACGACTGCAGGAACCAAGTGTATGCCAGATACCTCTGTGTGCGCCATGGCGGCAAGAAGAAGTGCCAGTTCCCCGACTGCACAGGCAACGCCCGCGTCGGCACGTACTGCTGCCGCCACGGGGCAGCGAGCAAGAAGAAGCATTGCATGATCGAAGGATGTACCAAAGTCGCCCACGCACGCCGCTTGTGTGTGGGACACGGTGGTGGTCGCATCTGCAAGGTTGAAGGATGCACCGCGCATGCTCGTCATGCTGGGTGCTGCCGCAAACACGGTCGCGATGCCGTGTCCGCGAACGCGACCGACACGGAGTCTCCCAATATCACCATGTTGAAGGAAGAAATCCTGCCCCTTCCCTTGCTCAACTTGTATCCCATGAGCATGTCCAAGTCTCTACTGGACCAGCCTTGTCATTTCTCGTTCGCGGGCGGCGACTTTTCCCCCATCGACGTCCTCGACTTTGACGTTGCGTTCGACGCCGATGACCTCGACGGCCTGTTTGACGCTGCAGTGTTTGACTGCCCATGGACGTTGTAGAAAAAAATACCCCGGCTATATAGAAATTTCAGGATAATTTTATTAATATTGTAATATACACATCTCGATCTGAATGCTTCATGCGCATGCGACCAAGAATGAAAGGCGTTCGCGACAGTGACAAGGGGAAGGCGACTCGACACTACAAACGAGCGCATGCCCTGTCACTGCGAATGGTCAGTTGATATCGACAAGTGTGTAGGCGTGGTGCGAGATAAACAGGACAGGTCGAACATGAACTCAGCGACGGACGGGTCATTCTGCTTTCATGCGGGCCACCACCGCGTACATCACGACAACTTGTCTTGTCGTTGCATCAGTGTCGGGACTGCCACCTGCAATACCTGCTTCCATCCAGACGAACCAGGTAGAACCATCACTGGACGCGGGGAACTCGGCGGTCGGACAACCCCAGCCCACCGCCACCCCTGACCTACCCAATGATGATGGGCAAGCGTTTGACCACGAAGCATTCCTCGAAGACCTTGGCTTTCCCTCGGAGGAGGAGCTCGAGATGCTCTTTCATGAAGCCGAGATGGCCCAAGCCGCTGCAAACGTCGAAGCACCACCATCCCAAGCTTTCGTCGTTCAAGGCGTAGGAAACACCTGTGCAAAGTCAGGGGCCGTGCCGCTCGTTGCGATCGGAATAGTTTTGCTGCTGTGGACGTATTGAAGGTTGGTTAGCAGTCATGTTAAAGTGTACCATCACGGGTTGCTGCACGATATTCGCCGCAACAACGGCAGGCTCAACGAAACTGGGCACCCCAAGCAATCGATACTGTCCGTAGACATACATATACCCAAGCTCGACTCTCGAAGCCCTGCACCGCGTGTCTGCCTCACTCACTTAGACTGCAGCGGCGGCGCCCTTTGATTTGGCGCGCGATCTTCAAAATTGGGTTCTAACATTCAGCCATCGGATTGGCTAAAAGTTGGCCCTTCTGCGTTTTGATTGGCTGAATATATATCAGTTTTGAAGGTTTATATCTCTTGTGATCTCAGCACCGCCATAACGAATTTGGCTCCCACGTCAAAGCACGGAAGTTCAAGGGAGCGCCATCACATCGCGCTGCGTCAGTGCCTCTCCCTGTCTAGACGAAGCTATCCTCGTATACTGACATGGCGTCGGAGACTTCGGTACGCGTGTGCATCCGAGTACGTCCGTTGATCCCGAAGGAACGGCTGGATGATGAGCACCTTGCAGTCGAGACGTACGATAGTCAAGTCAAGGTCGCAAGCCAAACGTTTACATTCGATCATGTGTTCGGCCCCGATGCAGGCCAAGAAGATATCTGGCCGTGTGTGACGCCGTTGGTCGACTCGGTGTTCGAGGGGTATAACGCGACGATCTTTGCGTACGGCCAAACTGGTAGTGGCAAAACGTTCACGATGGGGAGTGGAAACAGCGCGTTTGTGAGTAATCCAGACGAGCGGGGTATCATTCCCCGTGTACTGCAGGAGATGTTTGCGCGCATTGAGGCCAAGACGAGCGACGGGCGCGGGTACCGGACGGAGCTCAAGCTGCGATTCCTCGAAATTTACGGCGAAGAGATCCGAGACTTGCTGTCCCAATTCGGGAATGGGACGTTGGACACATCTTCCAAGGTGAACCTGAAGGAGATTCAAAACGGACAAGTCCAGGTTCAAGGCGCCAGGGAGGAGGACGTGCACTCTGCAGACGAGTGCATTCGCCTTCTCGACAAAGGCACGTACTGTCGGACAACGGGGGCGACCGAAATGAACAGCGAGTCGAGTCGTTCACATGCGATTCTCACGCTCACGATGGTGCAGTACATCCCGTACGAGGCTGTCTTGGTTAAGGACGGCGACGAAGTCGATCCGAACGCACCCGTTGAATACGACGTTCGGTGCTGCTACTTCAACTTTGTTGATTTGGCCGGGTCAGAAAAGCAAAAGATGACGAAAGCCGAAGGCCAGCGCTTGAAAGAAGGCATCGACATCAACAAAGGTCTGTTTGTCCTCGGGTGTGTCATTAACGCATTGGGGGACGATACAAAGCGGGGCAAAGTTCACGTCCCGTATCGAGACTCAAAGCTCACGCGGATGCTGCAGGACTCCCTCGGTAGGGGGTGGCTGGTCTTCCTGATACGATTCATCTCATCGACATGCCGTTGTAGGGGGCAATAGCCGGACGTTGATGGTGTGCTGCGTGAGTCCCGCCGGGAAAAACATTGCCGAGACCAAGAGCTCTTTAAGTTATGCCAATCGAGCACGCAACATTCAAAACAAAGCCGTCGTAAACCGCGACGAGCAGTCGAGTTTGGTTGCGGAGCTGCGCCAGCAGATTCAGTCCCTTGAAGGAGAGTTGTTTGCGTTTCGACACCCCGGCGCCGACATGAACGACCCCAAGGTCCAAGCGGCAGTCGCAACGTCCGACTGGCGACTCGATAGCTTCAGCTCCCTCCGAAGTCGCACGGAAGCGGCCGAGTCGGAAGTGATGCGACTCGCAGGCGAGTTGAAGCGTTGGCGTAGCGAAATGGACTCGATGAAGGAGGATTTGTTGGCCACACAAGCCCAGCGTGATTACTTTCGCTTGTGCTGCGAAGAATTCAAGCAACGCGCAGGCTCCACGGCGCCAATTGGAACGGATGGTGCTGAAATGGGCGTGATTCAAGAACACTTGAGGACGATTCAGGATCTTCAAGATCGACTCCGCCTGGCCGAGAGCGAACGCGATAAAGCCCACATGCGCAGCGCGTCGTCGGGGACACTAGACTTTGAGTCGTTCGGGCTCTTTTCAGCGGACGTCGTGCAGGAAGAGCAACGGTTGATCGAGCAAGCCGAGCAAGAAATCAAGCGCGAGAATGAGCTGCTCAAGCAACTGCAATCGATGGAAAGCTCATCGGCGACAATGCCCCCACCCGCTCCTTCGTCCATCCAGAGTACTGCGATGGTCGACCCGCCCAGCACCAGCGCCGACGACGACGAGCCGATCGGAGACGACATCGACATCGAGGACAATCTAGACACTGCGGCGTCGATCGAAGCATGCACGGAAATGGCCGATATGCAGCGCGAGTTCCAGCAGCGCCAGCAAGTCTTAGGCGCGACCGTGCAGGATTTGTCCAACAATATTTCACTCAAGGAGCAGATGCTGCAAACGCTGCGTCGCAATGCTGAGGGATACGAGCGCATGCGGGGGGTATTTGAAGCGCGCGTCAACGAAATGGCCGAGAAGGAGCGCGCGTTCATGTCCGAGCGCGACCAACTCATGGCCGAACTCGACAAGATACAGCATCAAACGAGCGATCCAAGGTACCAGCGGCTGTCGTCGGAGCTCCAAAACAAGGACGGTGAGTTGGGCGCGCTGCGGAAGAAGCAGGCTGAGATGAAGCGGTTCGAAACGATCAAGCAAAAGAGCGATGTCCAGCTGCGAGTTCTCACGAACGAGATCACGGCAATGAAGAAGCAGAAGGTGGACCTCCTCAAGAAGATGCAAAGCGACCGGAAGAAGTACGAACAAGAAGCGAGCGAGCGCAAACGCGAAATCGTCACGTTGAAGCGTGCACACCTCAAGGACAAACAGCAGATCCTCAAGCTTGGCAGTGAAAAGGACGCGCAGGAACGCGTGCTTAAGCGGCGGATGGAAGAGGTCGCGGCGGCGAATCGGCGACTCAAGCAACAGCAACTGCTCATCCAAGCGAACGCCAAGGAGAAGAAGAAGCCGTTGACGCGATACAAGTCAAAAGACGAGGAGTGGCTCGCTGACCAGATCCAAAAGCTCGCGGACAAGCAGAAAAAATCGGAAATGCTGGAGAAGGAACTCGAAAAACGAGAAAAGATCGTCCAGCAGATGGAGCGGCTCCATGGCATGCGGTCCAAGCTGCAGGGCGAGTTGAAGGCGTCGATGGACGAGCGGAACGGGTCGAACATTCGAGATATCTTGATCTCTCCGTTCAAGCAAAACCCCAACGCGAGCAACGAGCAAGTTGTCTCTACTGAAGCGCCCCCTCTAAGCAAGGACGAGGAAGCGATGTTAGCCGAGCTGGAAGACCGTATCGAGGCGTGCCAGGCCCAGCTGGAATACAAGAATGAGCGGATTTCAGAAATGACCAGCACCAACGACTTGGACGAACAGGGCGACGCCATGGTGAAGGTAGAAAACACGTCGCTGCCGGAAGCCCGCACGTTGCTCAAGTTGCTCTTCAACATGGCCGTCGAGGTCAAGAACCAAGAACAATCGAAGGAGGCGGAGCTCGAGCGATCCGCGTTGCAAGTGGACGATTTGCAAAAGCATTTGCGTATGGAACGCGAGCGCAACAGCGCCATGCGGCAAACGTACGAGGAGAAGTTGCAGAAGATGATCTCGGACGCGATGAACGAACCGGACGAAGGCCAGAAGCATCGACTTGTGTCAAGCGCCGTAGACGAGCGCAACCTGTTGCTGCGCAAACGGTGTGACGAACTCGAGCAACAACAACACGAGTGGCAAAAACAAGCGCAGCAACTCATGCGACGCAATACCAAATACCAGCAAAGCGTGAACACGTGTCGAGAACGCATCAAGTGGCTGGAGGCGCAACTGAACGCGTCCAAACACGGGGAAGCCGCCGTCCTCGACCCCCCTGACCATGACGACGACGCGCATGTCATGGACGACGATGAGTTTGCTGACACGTTGAGTGTCGGTAGTGCGAGTTCCGACTCGACGTTTCCATCCGTCAACGGTCCAGGGAGTGGTGGCGTTTCGGTCGACGTTGGTAGTTCGTCCATTTTCAACCGCCTCTCGAATCCCAACAACTTTACTGGAATCCACCGCCATCGACTGCAAGAACACGCCATGGTGAAGCGGGAGGAAATCAAGTCCAAGAGCCAGCAGCTTCGTTCGAGGCGGTACGTGCCTCGATCGCTTTCGATCTCGAACTCCTTGTTTCGTTGTCGTAGATTGAAGGATCGCAATGTGCAGGCCCCGCTGTCGTCGTCCAAAATGCGTCAACCGAACGGGACCGTCTTGTCCCCCCGCGTCGGCCGCGCCGCCACGCCGCGTACTCGCACTGCGTCTGAGGACTTTGGGACGTACCCTCGCAGTTCTGCCGTGTTGGATGTGTTGGCCACGATGAAACGGGTGCGTTGCGTCGATGGTACAAGCATCGAAACGGATGGATGGCCCACGTAGGGAAGCGAAATGGACGGCCAAGACGACTTGGACATGGATGGCGATCACTCGGACACGATGTCTGAAGGCGGGTACGGCATGGAATCGTCGTCGCCGCGTGGGTATCGTGGCGGGAAGAAAGACATTGACACCATGTCGGAGGGGTCACCGCGCGCAACGTCGAGCCGCAGCGGAGGGAAAAAGGACGTGTTTTCAAGACTGAATGGCCAGTACACTGCGTCAGCCCAGTCGAAACGTCAAGTACAACCAGGCTTTCAGTAGCGAAACATGTTGGGATTCATCGGTTCCGTTGCTGTTGACGTGAGTAGTCTTACTTGAGCGGAGCCGACAAATCGGCGAGCCGTGCAACGCGGGAAAAGGTCAACGCCGCCAACACGAGCAACCCGCCGGACGAACAGCGCACGACGCAGACGATGGCGGCAGCCGCAACCGCTGTCGGGGGAGCGACGACATTGGACCCGCTCACAGGGCGAGAGCGGTTTGTCGTTCAAGTCATGAACAACCTGCGTATCAAGACGGACGCAGACTCGAGGTAGTAGTGTCACCGTTTATTTATTCAACGGTGTCGCGTCGCGGGGACTCGTAGTTGTCGGACTTTTTGAAAATCCATCGCGTTGACGTGTGTTGACGTTGTCATCGTCGGTGCAAGCCGCACGTTCCAATTCGACCCATCCTGCCGACCGCGACGACATGCATGAAAAGGAGCGACTGAGTCGCGGTGCAGTCAGCTGTGGCAGGACGCCCTGCCCATCGAAATAGTACAGCTCAAGGTAGTGAAAGCATCCAGAGATGGCCATAAGGTGTTTCAAGTGGATGGATATCCAAATGGCGGCACCGAGACGAGTTTGCGTCGTGAGTCCCGTAACACTCGATGAAACACTACCAACCAGCGTCGTTGAAACTGCTACGAAACGCTGTGGGGTCCCATCCTTTGGTTGGGATGGAGGAAAACCACGTGATCCAAAAGCGCGTCCACGAGCGGGAATATGCACAAAGTGACGAGAGTCTGGTCAACCTTGGTCATGCGCTCAGGGTCGTCTTTGTGTCGTGCAGCGCTCGAGGCGCAGATGGAAGAACACCGACTCAAGTATCAACACGGGCGATATCCGTCGCCCGCCCGTCAACGCCATGAAAAGGTCTCGTTCAAGCTGCCACAGCTGTACGTTTGTAGCCGCCGTCGAGCGGGACACGATGCATGTTCATGGCGTTTTCGCACAGGGCAGCGCCAGCGTCAACAACCCCCACCAACGCAGAATTGGCACCAAACTTACTGGCGTCGCCTCGAACGCAACGAAAGCCTGAATCGACGGCAGACGTGCAGTCGGTCGTGCGGCAGCTCCAAGCCGACCTCGTCCAGCAAACGCAGATCGTCCAACGACTCTCTTCCGACATGAACGAGGTAGTGAAGCACGCCACGACAGCGCCAACTGGACCTTGATGCTGCCCTGGTTCAGAAATACAGCGTCGTCATGCAAAGGCTGCTGGAACTCGTCCACCGCCCATCTCCAGTGGTTTCGCAGATCCCAGCGACGTCGCCGACTCCGTTGCTCCACAGCACGCTGACCCACCACGCCACTCGCCTTGATGCATTGGAGAGGTCAGCTGTCGCAGCATCGACAAACGCCCTCCTTCGAGCGGACTTCGATGCGACAACGACCATGCTTGTGGAGGTCATTCCTTTCCTTCCTGCCCATCTCATCCTCATGTGCGCCAGAACAAAGCGCAGGTGGTGGCCCAGGTGACTTCTCTGGGGGACCGTGTCCGGGCGGTCGAGGGGATGGTGTCTTTGCAGTGCCCAACGTGGAGCCACTTCCACGAAATAAATTCCAAGTTTGACGACGCCATCGCCAAGCTGCGCGTAGAAATGGACCGGACGATGGTCGTTCACATGCGACACCTTCTCGACGATCGCGACAAGTTGCACCAAGAGTCAAAAGAGTCGCAAGCTGTGCTGACTCGGCTCACGTCGACTGTCGACGCACGGAGGCAAGATGCTGTCAATGTTCGCCTTACTGCAGTCGAAGCAGACCTCGCGGTACGGGACGAATCAACGGCAAATCATGTCGCATGGCGGAAACGCTGTAGGGCGAGCGCCGCGCCGGCATGGACTTGGACGTTGCACTCCAAAACAAGCTGGATCAGGTCGTCACAGCCGCTGAAGCAGCTATGGTCAAGGTCGACGCGTGGCAGCGAGTTGAGCAGGCGCGATGGGCCCAATGGACTGCGCAGCACATTGCTGCGTGTGACGCGCAGTTAACAGTCCAAGCGAGAATGGACCAACTCGCTCAACGAACTTGGTCGACGAATCGAGGTATGCCGGTGCGACAGTGATGGGTTGTATTCATCCTTTGGCATAATGCAGGAGGTGGCGACGTCGATAGCTCGCCGGTGCACCCAAGTGCACGAGCAAATGCTAAATATGGACAAGGTGATGGCAGCTGAAATCCGCAAGCGAACAAGTGACATCGCAGGTGTGCAAGCAGCCGAAGCGAGCATGTGCGAACGGTTCATGCGGCTATGGAAGCAAGAAGCGCAGGACCTGTTGCGACCGGTGCAGTCCCAAGTGTCGGCTCTGGCAGCCGAGGTCGTGTCCGCTCACGATGCATCGCGGCGATGCCAAGACTCTGAACATCATTTACGTGATGTTGTCCACAAGTTTGCGTTGAGCCAGCAAGACGCGATTGCTACTGTTCGGGCCGACGCAGAGGGCCGCATGCGGGCACTAGAAAGCGACTTGAAAGCTCTACAGAGAGACTCTGCGCTGGTCGCAATGCGCGTCGCTGCGCTGGATAATGACCACGGCCAATGAAGGTGCCGCCTTCGCTGTGACCACCGGCTCGAACGACAGGGTAGACATTTGACAGGTGTGAAAATTGCTGTTTTGCCTGGTGGGAATATTCTCGCTGTTGGATTTCATGCATTTCATTGAAAAACACTTTGCGCTTGGCAAGGAGGCAGCGATGGAATTGCCGCATATTGGTGGACCCCCACCCAGCGTTGCACAGCGGCTGCCCCGCTCCACATCGACGGACCTTCGCCAACACGTGCCAGAGCCCCAGCTTCACGTTCGCATGATAGAGACTTCCTCGTCGAAGCTGCACATGCCAGCCGAACAACGAATATCTACAAGAGATGCGAGCATTCGCTCTGCGCAAACCCTTTCCACCTGCCGAAGAGTTCCCACCTCCTCCCCTTCGGTTATGACAAACTAAAGCAGGATGTCCCAGTCGGTCCTGCGGCATCTGCGGTTCGCTCACAACCCACCGCTACTCCGGAGAATGTCGGCATGGACGGCGTGCGTGTGCTCGCTCGCACAGACTGAGGCGCTACCCTTGGCCTCCACGGGGGAGAAGTCAAGTTCCTGTACGTGGAACGATACACTTGGCCGTGTTGCGGAATGTCTCCGAGTCCTGACCGGTCGCCGAATGAAGATGGACTCGGACACACGATCGTTGTGCCATGGTATCGCCGTCTACACTGATCCTTGCCGCGTCTCTTCCGCTCTAATTTGATGGAGAGCTAGGGAAGTACAGGTCGCACACATTGGCAGCGACATGGCGGTTCCGACGTGGGCCCATTGAAAGGCAAAACGTTGTGGCGAAGCGCCAAATGCGCCTTGAAGGCGTGTCACTGCAGGACGTGGCCGAGAGCTGGCGTGTGCAGCCATCACGTTGATGTGACGAGGATAGACATTTCAACGGTGTGCAATTTCAGGCGTCGCAGCATGTACCAACGGGACCTTTCTCATGCACCACTTTGGCGAGTTGTCGAGCAAATTGATGTATGACGAGTGGACGTTCCTGATCACACTCACGTCTTTCCCGTGCATCGCAACCCAACGACCGCGTGATTCTGTGCCCCTTCCGTCCTTCGTTGTGGTCCTCCATGTGCCCCTCGGCGCTCGTTCATCATCGGGTCTCATATCCGGACAAAGAGCCAGGCGACGACGAGGGGTTTCGTGTTCTGTTACAGAGCCTCCGTTCGAGATACAAGCGGCGGTCGTCAAGACGACGGGGTAACTTGGCAGTATCCACATTCGACCGCTGTGACGTCGCTCCGAGACTAGACGTACATGGAAGACCTGTCCGTCCTGCCGCTCCCGTTGTCTGCGCAATGCGGGCGGCGGCAGGAATTACTCACGTCCCCCCGTTTCCGGGAGAGGCCCTCTGTATACAAAACGCAAGTGCTTTGCCGTCCTGAGTACATTCGCACTCTCTCGAAACAGGCCGTCAGAGTCACGACGACGAATGGGAGGATCTGCGACAGCAGATATACGGCATCCGGGGGATCCACTGGTCGTGGTGAGTCTCTCCCGAGTCTGTTGTTCGATGGAGATATTGGATTAAAGTATGGCAATCCAACCGTCGTGGCAGGAACAGCACATGCTTCTTTGCAGTCCGGCAGCACCATTTCGGAATTGACTGACTCGAGATGACCACATCGTTCGGGTACGAGCTAGACTTCAGTTGGGACCACCCGTGGCCGAGGGCGCCAGTCCCGAAGAACGAAGAGGAGCGCCTTGCCGACCTCGAGGGATACCAAATCCTGGACACAGCTCCCGAGGAAAAGTTTAACAAACTGTGCCGTATCGCGTGCAAGGAGATGAAGTGCCCGATCTCGGCCGTGAGCTTCATCGACAAGTCCAAGCAGTGGTTCAAGGCAAACAGCGGACTTACACAGGCAGCAATCCCTCGAGATGTCGCGCTCTGCGCGCACACAATTATGAACCCGCGCAACGCCGTTGTCGTCCTGGACACGACGACAGATGAACGGTTCAAGAACAACCCGCTTGTCACCCGCGCGTCGTCGGTGAAATTTTATGCCGCTGTGCCACTTGTGACTGCCCGAGGGACGTGCATCGGCTCTGTATTTGTGTTTGACGTAAAGACCCACACCTCGTGCGACACAAAACTCCTCCAAAAAATCGCTGCCAAGGTAATGAAGTACCTGGACGAGCGCCTGCGACCGACGGCTGAGCTCTCTCAATCGGTCGGTCCTCCCACACTCCGCCCCATTGTCCAGCAGCCACTCGCTCGCTCTGCCTCGACGGAGTACCGCCAACCTGTGCCGGAGCCTCAGCCTCGTGCTCCATTGCCAGAACCCACTACAGAGAAACTGCCTGTTGCCGCCGAACGACGATTGTCTGGTGGCAACACGTACAACCCACCCGCACCTATTTCTCATCCCGTTGCAGCGATCCAGCCTCCTCCCCGTGCACAATTCCAGGAGCCGCAGCGAAGTGTCCCGCCTCCTCCGCGGGCCGAGTCGGCGCTTGTCCCAGCCGCGCCAACCGAGTCCGCGGAGCGCTCTCTGTCGACGAACGCTGTCAACCCCGAAGGCCAAATGACCAACATGGGTGCCATGCTAATGAACCTGCTCGCCCGAACGACCGAAACGCAACAGCAACTCGCGGCGCAGCAAGGTGTGATGTTTGAGACCCTTGGCCACCACTCGGAGCAACTCAACTCGCTCTCCGAAACGCTAAGCAACTTGGAGGTTCGCATCGACAAAACGATCCGAGCCAAGAGATAGGAGACACACCGATAGTGCCATGGCTATATTATAGAGACAAATTCACCCGACAGTCGTCGCGGTCTCTGTCGTCCCTCCGCACGCGATCTCGCTGCTTGGCCAACAAGTCGCCCAACGCAGTCAGGCTACAGACAGGGCAACGTCGGGGATCGATACGACTATGTGTGCATGCAACCGCCGCATCCACGCACAGTCCTGGTCCAGCCCAACCGTGCAGTGTGGTCCCAACAATTGCGACTTTCCACGCAGCCAGGGGCCGGGGTGGCGTCGAATACTTGGTTCACTCCGCTGTCGTCGACAGCGGCAGCCGATGTCGCTGATGGCGGCCGTCGAGTCGTAGGTACATGCAGGATGTCGATGAGCGCCATCCAAGTATCCTTGTAATCGGCGACATCATCGCCGTCATCCATCATCGTGTTCGCCCACGCTGTGGGTCGATCGACTCGTCGTCGTGGGATGGATGCCATGATATCCTGTTGCCTCTCGTCGCATCCTCGCGTCCTGTGGATGGATCGCGCGATTTGGCACGATTCTATACAAAAAAGAAGTGTAAAAAGAGAAGGCGGAGCCGAAGTGGCTGTCACTGCCATTACATCACCGCGTTGAACGAGGAGACAGGCCTAGATGACGTCGCGGTCGCCGTCGAACGTGCTGCCGCTGCGTGGCGCTCTGTCCAGGTCCTCCTCGAACGCGGATAAGGCACCGGAAGCAAGCCCCGTCGACATCGACACGCTCATGCTTACCATCAACAATGCTGTGGCGAAAATTGCCTCCATCCGCGAATCGTTTGAAGACGGCCGGCCGCCACGGCACTCGTCCACGTCGTCGCGTCGCGGAGGGAGATCTCGTGTCCAAGCATCCTCTGCGTCGTCGAGTACATTCGATGAAAGTATACTCCGATTTTCGAGCATGGGATCGTACCAGGACAGCTTGCGGTCGTCGGGGCGAAGCCAAAGCGGTGCGTCGGATCACACCGACGGTCGACCGCCGTTGCCGAATGGGGGCAGTCGAAGTCTCGCATCGAGCTTCACCAGTAGCGCTGCGTCCAGCCCGTCCGTGATGGACCGACGTAGCTCGAAGAACCACGCGCAAACGTTTCCAGACGACGGCGAAGAGGATGAAGTTGCTCCTGACCTACCTGCGTCGCGAGCAGCGCCAACGACGAAGCAAAAGCTGCCCTTTCCATACCATAAGCTGCAGTCGACGACATCGATTGACCTGGACGACAACTTGACGCCGTTCAAGGAACTGCGCTTGGCGCGCCTTCAGGACATCAAGGTCACGTTCCACAATGGGTTGCCGCAGGAGTTTTACCAAGCGATTTGCCGGTTCCTCCAGACGACCGTCGAAATGAAGCGGAGGTTTTACAAGCTCAAGCATCTCAAGGAATGCTTCCTTGGTTGCGACGCATTCGATGCGCTGCTCGACCACGGGTTCGCCACCGATGAGAACGAAGCGCTCCTGATTGGAAACGTCCTGCTCAAGCTCGACTTGGTTGAGGACATTATGGGGCCATCGTCGCGCATGAAGAATCGAAATGACGGGTTCTACCGATTCACGGCGGCCGTGGACGCTGGGGCACGTCCCACCGATATGCCGCATCACAACCGCATCAGCCTCATGTCGATGGACGGCATCGACTTTGCGGACGCGTCGGACCACATGCATGCGTTGTTGTCGGAGGAGAGTCTTGCTATCCTCTCTCGTGTGCTCGCGCGGATGTTTGACAAGAAGGGCAAGATCATGTCGTACAAGGGCCATGAAGCGTGCTTCGGCGGGTCGGAACTCGTCGCGGCGCTAAAAGAGATGAAGATTGCGCTCTCCACGATTGATGCCCTTCTTGTGGGTCAGAGCCTGTTTGAGGAGCAGCTGATCCTCCCCATCGACCCTGACACGACGGCCTTTCAATGCAAGTACACCGTGTACCGACTCGCGCACGTGTAGAAGGATCGACCTTGATAAGACATGGAGTATTTAACGCATCGGCTTGAACAAGCATGCGAAATAACAATGCGATGGATGTGACATTAGCACGACGACGGATCGTGCCAAGAGTCTAATGGGTTGACGAGGTGAGATGGATAATCAACGCGAGGATGTCGGCACTCCAAGTCGCGGTCGCTGCTCGATCATGGCGACCTTGTTTCGAACGTGTTCCTGGTGCATCCTCACACGCGCTCCTCGCCGGCACGGCCGCTCCTTCGTGGCGACGCCTTCCGCTGCATTTTGAAACGTTGCAATTCTTCGAAAGGTGCATCTTCGACATGAAGTCATTTCAATTAAATGCCTTGTATTTTGTATGATCGCTTGGGTACAATAATAATATAAGCGTTCATTTCGTCGCTGTGAACTGTCGCGCGCAAGATACAACAAGATGCCGCCGATGTCGATGGCGAAAGCAGTCCAGCTGCAGCTTGCGGCGCGGGAGCGGTGGCTGCACAAAGACGAAGTGCATTTCTTACTCACGAACTACAGCATATGTGGTCTTCCAGTTCAAGTCGCCCCGCATTGCCGGCCGCCGAGTACGTTCGAACATCTCTCCCGCCTCAAATGTGCTTGCCACGACATGTCCTCACGCAATGCTGATGTCAGGTGGCACTCTGTTTGTGTGCGATAGCGTGATGGACTTTAAGAAGGATGGATGGACCTGGCAAAAGCAGAAAGGTAGCAAAACCAAGATCCGCGAAGACCGCGCCAAGCTCGTCGTGACTCGTGACAACGTCGTCCTGGGGGTGTACGTCCACTCGGCCGACAATCCGTCGTTCCACAGGCGAAGTTATTCGTTGCGAGATGAGTCGAATCGCATGATCCTCGTGCATTACTTGGATGACGACAGCAAGAAGCAAGCTATCCCTAGGGATACGCAATCCCCCGAGGAGCCCTTTGAATCGTCCATCGTGGATGATGCATTGGCTGATTTCCACCCGGGCGACCCCAATGAGCACGGCGACGGCGGCGATGACGACAGCGCCTTCGATGACCTCCTTCTCGACCACGACATGCCAGACATGGAGTACAACAACCACCCGAACCAAGTATGCTTACAAAACCCTTCAATGCGAACTCTCTTTGACGAGTGTGCCCACAGGTCCCGCCGCCGCCCCATCTCATCAGCCCAATGTCCATTCCACTCGTAGAGATCTCCGACTTTTCGCCGAACTGGGACTTTTGCACAGGCGGCGCAAAGATCCTCCTTTGTGTCGCAACGCCACCGCCATACTCGCCGTTGTTTGTGGCGTTTGGCTCGATGGCAGTCGTTCCAGCCGAGTCGATTTCACCGACAGTGTTTCGGTGCTGCGGTACGACTTGTTTGTTCAAGGAGGGATCGGCATCATCGCCTTGATTGTGTGGGTAGCCCCAGCGTCGAGCGCGTCGGGGCCGGTGCCGCTGCGAATCGCAACATACGTCGGCCACAAATTGATTTTCGTCTCGACGGACGGTCACTTTCTATTTAAACCCACCACAGCCACCAGTCCAAGTCTCGCAGACAACGCGTTTGCCATGCGTGGTTCGTTGGAAGCGCTGGAATGGGATGCCAGGACACTCCACATGCCGTTCGAGACTCAGAGCAGCTCGTACAAGCGCGCGCGGAGCGAAAACAACTACGACGGCGTGAGCAACATGTCGTTCCCGTCCAGCCCAACCAACAGCCTTCGGGGCCTCGACGACCGTACGATCGAGATGGCTCGTGCGCTCTCGACCATCCACTTTGATCTGTGTAGTGGACGAACGGCAGTACAAAATTCGAGTTGTCGAACGATTGCACGAGTTTCGAAAAGTGATTTCGCAGCCAAGCAATCGAATCCTGGTTTTGAATGAAGTCGACTGCGCCACCCACGAGCCATCGTCGCCTGCCGCGCCTTTGGCTGCGGTACTCGTCTTCATGATTCCAACCCATTCCAATGACCACATTGGATGTAGGCCGATGCCGCGCCGTTGATGCTCGACGACTCGGCGATCGCGGCCCTCAGCGATGTGGAACTCGGCGCATTGTCGGAACAACTCATCGAAGATGTCGTCAAACAGTTGGTGGCGCTGGCAGGAACCTCGTCCGAGCTTCTCGAAGAGGTATGTGCCACGACCTTTCCCGTCGCTCATGACATTTTCCACAGCTGAACTCACTCGACGACGCCGGCTTGAGTTTACTCCACTATGTGTGCTTTTATAACTGCGGACAGCTCGTGCCGCTACTCTTATCCCATGGGGCGAACGTGAACCAGCGAAGTGGCCAAGGTATCCGCTTCGTTTGCTGTGTTTATTATGGTCATCCCTCGCCAATAGGCCAAACACCGCTGCATCTGGCGGCAGGATGCGGTCACATGGAGATTGTGCGGCTGCTCTTGTCGGAGCAGGCGGACTGCGCCATGTTGGACCTGGAGAATTTGACCCCTGCCGACCGGTACAGTTGACTCGATTCTGCTTCATGTGACGCTTTCTTGCTTTGTTGAAAGCGCGGAGCACTATGGTCACATGGACATTGCGCGATACCTGAGAAGCTTGTCACCGCCGTCGCCACCCCGATTGTTCAAGTCCTTCGACGACATGACGGGCATCGGGGTGCTCTTGGACAGCATGCCCGGCGACCGCAGCAGCGATTACAACCGCAACTTTCTCCTTGGGGCGTTTTCCACGATGAGTTTGCACGGTACAGCGACATCTTGTGTGAAGCAAACTCACGATCGTCGCGGCTAGACAAGTGCGCCCTTTCTCTTGGCACCAAGCGCAGAGGCAACAGTATCGGTGGCGACCCCTTCGACGACTATGCCCCGTCCGACAACGAGCTCGAGGTCAGCAGCGTCATGACTGACACAGACGATGGCCGCCTCATGGCAGCGATGGAGCTCATGGGGCCCGACGGTATTTTTTTGGATCCATGTCGCATGTGCTGACACCGTGTCATGCAGAGCTGGCGCTGCTGGAGGAGGAGGCGAGGGTGATTCAAAACAACGTGCGGGCGTGGTTGCTGCGCCGGAGCTACCGGCACATGCGCGACACAACGCGCAAGATCAAAGAAGGTTTGTCTGGCCGTGTGAGGACCATTCAAAGCCTTTGAAAACGTAGCCACACAAACTCTTGCCAAGCAGAAAATGGACCGGGAAAAGGCTGCCGTGACAGTGCAAGCCGCCACGCGCAGCATGATGGTGCGCCGGAACTTCTTGCACCAACGCAATACCGCCATCAAAGTTCAAGCAGGTACGAGAGTCTCCCCCTTGATGCTGCACGGCAACCTGCTGAGCAACGGCGTTGTAGCGGCGCGCGGCATCATTTGCCGAAAGAAGTTTGCCCAGATGAAGAAGGACGCGCTTGCGTCGCTGGTGATTCAGCGGAATGCGACGGGAAAGCCTCCGACCAATTGATGGGACCAACCATCCGTCAAGTGTACACTAAGGAAAATGCCAGCAGAATAATTGGAGAGGTCTTGTCGGCCGAGTCCGCGGGAGCATGGACGATGGGGGGAGTTGTTGGCGGTGGATGAACACTTGCGTCTATATTACTGTTTACTCTTCGCGGAATCGCTTGAAGCCGGGAATCGGCGGCGTCCACGTGGGGAACCCTCGTCGGTTGGTGACCATGGAGAAGTCTTCGACCAACGCTTCCTGGCGCAGTTCGTCGGTCGGCAGGGCGTTGATCGCTTCCCATTTCAGGTTGATCTTCATTTGCAGATCCTTCATCAATTCGTTGTGGCGCACTGTCGTCATTCTGTTGTACGTGCGACCAATTTCAAAGTGCTCGCGTTTTTCTTCTTCTGTCCACTCGTACGGCTCGGGTTCCCGGCCCTTGAGAGCACGTAACATGACGTCGTACTTGCCCGAATCGTTGCCCTTCTCGTTCTTCTTCGACACGGACTTGAACTTGGCGCTCTTGGCTGGTCGGTCCGACGCAGCCTTCTTCGTCTTAGCCGTCGCGAACGTGCGCTGTGCACACGCCGCGCGGGACGTCACGATTCGGCGGAACATGGCTCAAATCCACTGTGTCATCTCCGAAACCACAGACACATCAATTGGTTATCATTGGTCTACGGATACCTTATCCGGAAATATTATCCGGATGTCCGTCCACCAATCAGACACAACGAAAGACGATGCTGTCGGGATGCCGCCGCTTCCATACCCTTGGGCTGCACGCCAAGCTCGTGAATGCGCTCAAGGCGCACGGCATCGACCAGCCTAGCCAAGTGCAGCGCGTGGTGCGTTCATACACGTGCCCGCATCTCGCCATCTAAGACTGCTCGTAGGCAATTCCGGCCATTCTGGACACTCGCCGGCCCGACGTTGTTGTCGGAGCAGAAACGGGCAGTGGCAAAACACTGTCGTACATCCTGCCACTCCTCGAACGATTCCACGCGCAGTACCCTCTCGGCCGCGTCCGGAAGCCGATGGCGGTCATCTTGGTCCCAAACCAAGAACTCGTCAAGCAGATCGACAGTGTCTTGAACACGTTTGGCATGGACATCCCGGTGGCATGCTTGACCAAAACGCACGCAATTCCCCGTCACGCCGCCATCGTTGTGGGGACTCCCAAGGCAGTTATCCAGGTACAGAAACAAATGTACTCTCTTCCACTTGTTCCAATCTGTTGAGGCCTGACGATTCACCAGCACACGTCCGTGTCGGACCTTGAATTTGTCGACACCATCATCGTGGACGAAGCCGATATGCTGCTTGGCGGGGGCTTTGAGCGCGATACAAAGCAGGTCCTCGGCGTGATGCGAAACCAGTCTCTCTCGGACCCTCGCTTCAACCAGTTTGTGGACACACCACTCGACAAAACGATCGACGTCCCGACCGCACCCCATGGCCGCCAGACCATCTTCAGCGCCGCAACTATTCCCACCTACGGCCGACTTGCGGTTAGCGAATACCTCAAGAAGAAGTTCCCTGGCGCCGAATACGCCATCACAGACGTTAGTTGTGCTCCACGTCGTGGTGGCCCAAGTCAAGCTATTCTGTGTAGAACTTCCACCGGACCGTGCCGACGTTGGAGCAATCCTTTTTGCACTTGGACGACTCGTCGATAGAAGCACGGCAAGAGCTCTTGATGGAGGTGGCGAATCTGCCACGCACGTCGCTCGTTGTGACCGTCCTCGCTAGATCCTGACCAACGACAAGTCACGAGGGACAACGCTGATTTTTGCAGATTCCGTCGCCAGTGCCAAGGCACTGCACACGTTCTTGGAAGCTGAGGGACTTCGTTGCACCATGCTGCACAAGGTACACGCCATCTCCATGACGCAAGCATCGCAGCATGTCATGTGTTTCTGTCAGGACATTCCACGCGAAGAGCGCACGGCAGTGCTCGCTGCCTGCAACAACGGAGAAGCGGGCGACGACGAAAGACACATTGTGGTGGCGACAGACATGGCAGCCCGTGGCCTCGACCTGCGCCATGTACGACGTTGGGTGCGTGAACAAGGAGGCACGATTGACGGGGTATGGCGCAGGTGAATCATGTGATTCAGTACGAGTTTGCAACGAACGTCGTGGCCCACATCCATCGAATTGGACGAACAGCACGGGCAGGCGCGACGGGAAAAGGTATATCGACCCATCATCTGCCGTGGATCGCTCGAAAGAATCGACCGACTAAAGCGAGGTTGACGTGTAGTGACCAACATCATTACAAAAGAAAACGACCTCGTGTACAAGGAAATCGCGGCCGCGGGGGCCACCGGCGCGCTCACACAGGGCTTCAGTCGCCGCCGGAGTTTGCGCAAAAAGTTCAAGAAGGCGTCGCGACCAGTTTGTGACGAAAAGGATCGTCAGGATCCAACGAGTTGAACGCTACCACCCAAGTTTGCATATTCACCTTTCTCTCCGTTCGAATACGCCATGGCGGGACATGCGACCTTGGTCATGGCAATTCTGTGGATGGAGAGCTTCCGCACCATGTATTCGACAGATTCCACCGGCACCAACGGTGTTGTTGCTGCGCATACGTGTGTTTGCAAATGCATCAGCATGGCGCGGGTCGAGTACATCGGGTCTAGAGTTTTCGGTGGCGCGGAGACCGAATGCACATCCAACGGATATGACAAAATGCTCTATATGGATTACTTGCGGACGATTTGCTCCACAAAGTACTGGTGCCATCGCGCGTCAGTCGTCAGCTCCGGGTGGAATGCGGTCACAAGAATGTTGTCCTGTTGGAAACAGCACAATCAAACACGCTGTGCTCTGTGCGGAAATACGTACCTTGCGAGCAGCCACGATGACGTCTGAAGGGTCCGAGCCATCCGCAGGATGCGCGTTCGTGAGCTCCGACAACACTTGAATGTCCTCGCCCACGGATACAATGGCAGGAGCACGGATAAACACGGCGTTGTACGGTTCGTCGCCGTAGCCCGGAGGTCCTTGAATGTTTTGTTCAAAGCTGCGGATCTGAGCGCCAAAAAAGTTGCGGCTCACTTCCACGTCCAAACCACCGATGAGAGCTTGACCACCCTATGAGTTGATACACGTGAAAACGTTGCTTCATGTGCAGGTGGTTGTGCAAGGTTGTCGTACTTGCTTCGCATGCCGAGCGGAATGCGCCAACAGGATCATGCCGGCGCAAGTACCCCAGATTGGTTTCTTGTCGTGTACCCATTGCTTCAACGGTTCGATCTGCGACTCGACATCGTTAGTTGAGGCATACAAATCGAATGCGAGGCGTACCATGCCCCATCGTTCCGCCACCTTGGCGATCGCTGTGGATTCGCCGCCAGGAAAGACCAGAGCATCCAAGCCGTCAAGTTCCGCCGGCAAGCGCACTTCCACGGCATCCGCGCCGACTTGGCGCAGCATCGCGATGTGCTCTTCGAACGCGCCTTGCAACGCGAGGACTCCAATCTTGACCATCTCGTGGGAATTTTCGAACTGACCGCGTCCATGGATGATGCCGAGGTTGCCGAGTGGGCCAGGTCCACGCATTTGATTGGCCAACCACTGGGCCGGGCCCACGACGCCACCAACACTCTCAATAGGTTCACGATGGAGTTCTACAGCCGTCGGCGACTCGGCTGCCTTTGTGACGGGTGGGGCTGCGTCGATGGCATTGCTGGAGTAGTCGTACCGACGGCCGCATGAAAGTCCACAAGGTATTCAATGTCCCGTGGCCAGGACGGTGAACGAGCACGTTCGTGAACGGTTCATAGTACGTTTGCCCACGTAGCATGCAATTCGTTTTGTGCAGCAGACGGCTACATCTCCATGAGTACGTTGTGCGAGTTCGATTTTACATGGTGCATGACCCTGCGTGCTCGGCGATGGAGACTTTTCAAGTGAGGTACCTTCGGGGTCCAGGGTACCCCAATACAACATGTGTGATGCAGGCGAAGAAGACAGCATGCAATGAGAAGAAAATTGGCGCGCTGTTTTCATTACAATTTGGACAGTCCGTAAAACGAGTTCCCGACCAGCGTGACGACACTCAAGACACCACCAAACCAAATGTAGCCGCGGTGGGGTTGCAATTGCTTGGCGTACGCATACGTGTGCAGGACGCGAAACAACGTGAACGCCGCGATGGCCCCAGTATTGACGACCACATTGCCGCCAGAGTTGACGGCGGCCCACGCGGTCAACAACCCAATCGGGATGTTTTCCAAGTCATTGCGGACAATGCGTTCCCATCGAATGTCGTCTTCCACGGCTCGATCCGTCGGCTTTTCACGCAAGCCACTGGCAGGTTTGTCCTCGCTCTTCTTGGCTGCAGCGGCGTGGTCGACCACGCCGAACGTTTGTCGTTGCTTCGACGGGTTAAACATCTTTAGCATTTGGTCCTCAGGCGGTCGTGTTCCCGCCGCAAACCGCTTGCCACCTTGGATCATGAGGGTCACGTACAGCTTGATGCAGAGGATGCCTGTGGCGCCGATGAGGACCTTTGTGTCAAGAGGAGATGGCATCGCCCGGCTGGGGAGGATGGAAATTTTGGGTGTGAGGTGGTGCTGCAGATTGTTCGTTGGGCGCTCCATCAGCCAATCAACGGTCGCGACGGTGATGATGGTGATTGCAAAAAGACTGATCACAAATTGACGTGCACCTAACAATAGAATTGTTCTGCACCTATAGAGTTCGCCCGTTGAATCCTGGTACAACACATTCTTATTTTGATCCACGAGAGAGTGCAGACCTGCAGCAAATGCCAAATATGAACACCTGCGCTGCACCTACGAACGAACCTAGACAACAAAAGTGAATTCTTGTAGTATCTCATAGTAGGTTATGCTCTCATGAGGCAGTATCTACTATAATGTTGTTGATAGGAGAGTATGAAAAGTTGTCTAGCGTACTAGTACTACCGTACGAGGTACTAGTATATACTACTCTCAAATCGCGGCGGTGCAGGTGGGGCGGCGGCTGTGTGTGCAATCAATTGCGATCGGCTCGACGCGACGACGATGGTTGGTGGCCAGACGGTGGTGCTTCCAGAGGCCAAGCATGTTGTTGGCGTTTATGCTAACACCGCAAAAACCATCGGTGTAATCAAGATTGCCCGGCCGCGCGTCCGAAACTGCCTAAGTCTGCAAACATACAGCGAACTCCATGACCACTTTCACTTGTTTGAGAAGGATGCTGCCGTACTTGCTGTGATTTTCACCGCCGAAGGAGATGAATTCTTCACGAGTGGAACCGACGTGGGGGAGCTTGGCCGACTAAATGCCGAGTCGCTTGCAATGATTCGGAGCATTATGCTGACCCTGGTCAACTATCCGAAGATTCTAGTCGCTGCTGTGAATGGCCATGCGATAGGGCTTGGCGTGTCGATGCTACCCTACTGCGACTTTGCCTTTGCCGTGCCCCACGCCACGTTTCGTACACCATTCATGGCGCTCGGCATCGTCCCAGACTTTGGCTCGAGTGTGACCTTCCCGGCCATGTTGGTGCGTTCGACTTTCCTTTGTAGTATTCATCGTTTTAGCGTTTGCGCAGGGAAAAGTAGCAACCAACGATCTGCTCCTTCGTGGAAGGAAGATAGACGCTTCACGCGCCGTGACCACGGGCCTCGTGACCGAGATAGTCCCTGCGCATGACTTTCAAAGCGCAGTCGTGGCGCTGACAGAGGAAGTGACTGGCCAACTCCATGCGAATCGCAGTTTGCTTCTATTTAAGAAGCAGATCCAACGGCTGCGTCCTTTGACAAAGCAGCACATCATCGCTGCCATCGACCATGAGCTCGATGAAATCAATCGTCGCATGGAGGCCCGTACAGTCGCAACTGCGCACTCAAAGCCAGAACCTTCCCGCCAGCCCTCGGCAAGCAAGCTGTAGAAGCCCAGCAATAGCCCCAGGATACCCACACCCCCAAGGTGACCCTGCTCGACGTCGACGACATCCCGAGCTAATAATCCGAAGAGTCGTAGTAGTACTATAGTAGTGTGAGGATTGCGATTGTCAACGAAACAATTCAGTAGTACTAGTAGTACCGCAAAATGATCTTCAGTGAGTCCACCATGCAGAGGTAGGAGGGAAGCAAAACATATCGCCGATCAGCAGTGTCTCGTCATTGTTGATGCATCCTTGCCCCAGGACAAGCTTCATATCCGGGTTGGGGCGGGTGCCAGGACTTCAAGGTTGGTCCACAAAGGACAAGTCGTGTAAAGTAGTATCGTTTGCTCAAGTAGTAGTACTAGATATGATATTGGATGCTGCCCGGACAACTCAGGTGCGCTTCAAGATCGCGGAAGATGGCATCGGTCCTCCCGACAGCACAGCATGTCCGTGGGTGGTACGGCAATGCCACCAAGACCATCGGAGTTGTAAAGATCACCCGGCCGCGAGTGAAGAACTGCCTGAGCGCTCAAACGTACAACGAATTGAGTGACCACCTGCAATACTTCCAAGACGACGCCGACGTTCTCGCTGTAATTCTCACCGCGGATGGCGATGAATACTTTACAAGTGGAACCGACGTGCGTGAACTGGACCCACGTAGCGTACCATCGCGGTCCCCTCCCCGTGTCTTCATGCGCACAATACTCAATTTCACCAAAGTGCTCGTTGCTGCGGTCAACGGCCATTCCATCGGCATCGGCGTGACCTTGCTGCTCTACTGCGACTTTGTCTTTGCTGCGCCACATGCTACGTTCCGTACCCCTTTCATGGGCCTCGGAATCGTTCCAGAATTCGGCTCAAGTGTCACTTTTCCTGCCTTGCTGGTGAGTCCACCACAACGCAAGCCGATGGTGTTTCGCGATTTGATGCATGTTGTGTAACAGGGAAAGGTTGCAACGAACGACTTGCTCCTTCGTGGAAAGACTCTGGATGTCACCCGCGCGGTGGCGTTGGGCCTCGTGACCGAGGTTGTACCGGTGCATGCCTTTCAAAGCTCCGTTGTAGCTCTGACGGAGGAGGTGACAAGCCAGCTCCACGCAAAACGTAGCTTATTGCTGTTCAAAGACCAGATCCAACGACTTCGGCCATTGACCAAGCAGCAGATCGTCGCTGCCATCGAGGCGGAGTACGAAGAAATCGACCAGCGGTTTCGGTCAGGTGAAATTGTGGAGCTTGGTATGGCATACATGGCTCGACTCAAGGCGAGCAAGCTTTAAGTCGTTGTGTCAAATCTAACGAAAGCCACTTTGCTACATGACTCCCGCGGCACAGCGTCGATCGATCGATGTCAGGGAGGCGAGTCATCCAACACGTTGTTTTGTCTGGATGCGTCGTTCCGCTCCATGGCATGAGGAGATCGTTCCGAATGCTCCATGCCAGTTAGGTGGGATTTGAATGCCACGATGGTGTCCAAGTGACGCCAACGGACCAAGGGACGTCTGTGCTGCGCAGGACGTGGAGCTGTGCAAAGCCATCACGCGTTGGAAGGCAGCACACAGGATGCGAGGGCGTTGCCAGCTAAACTCTTAATGGGTCGCGTACACGAGGTCTCGTCTACCGCAGTCGTCGCCAATGGCGACTCTGCCGGTTTCTTGCGCCGTTGAAATGATGGGGCTAAATTTAACCAATGTCACCGCCCGACAAGATGGGTAGCACTCGAGTGTCTGCCCATTGCAACTCGAGCAGTCTAGGTGCACAGTCCTTCCGCAATGTACTCGGGCACGTTGGGGAGGGTGAACGCGCTCGAGTTCCGCGACAGATCGCCGACGAAGGCCCAAGTCACACCGACGACATCCCCTCTGCGCAGCCCCACGACGTCCGTAGCCGCACCGGTCGCCCCCGCTTCGTCGGATGCGATTCAAAACGCATTTGCCAAGATGAAAGAAGTCGCCCAAGGATCGCCTGCGTGCGCGGGGATCACTGAAGGTACCAGCACTTTGGACACCCACAACAAACTCGACGGGGGTTTTCTGGTCTAGCTGACTTGCTCGCGTGCTTGAACTTGGCGTCGTCGCCGTCGAAACCCTCCGCAAAGACCACGCTGGCGCTCGAGCCACCACTTGAGCCCAAGGTCGATGACCAGACTCTTCTGCTGAACGCGCTCTTGACGTCGCTGGCCAAGCTAAACATAGACAACTCAAGGCCTTCCGAAGGACAGGAAGACGGCGATGACGAACAGCTCTCTCTACCAAAACGGTCCCCGTCCAGACATGCGTTGGTCACGCCCCCGCCAAGCCCCGTGTCCGGTACACAATGCGTACGTCTGGTGTATCGATCTCAAACGTTCCTCGTTCGTGAGCAGCCAAACCATCGCCCATCAAGCGGTCGCCGAGCTCACTGGGGCGCATTCAAGAAAACGTAAACGAAGACATCGAGTCGCCAGGATCGGAAGAGAAAGACGTGACAATCTTGCCAATCCATGAAGTGAAACGATGCTTGCGAGGCGGGTCGTTTGCGTCGCGCATTCGAGTACGCCGCCAGCCGAGTTTGAAGGAGCTGGACGCAAAGCGTGTCAACGACGTCGTCGAAAAGCTCAACCGTAGTAGTATCGGCCAGCTCACGACGCCGCGGCGCCTAAGCGTTGTGGACCCAAAGACGAGATCGCTCAGTCGGGTCAGCAGCCTGGACGAGCTGCACCCGCCGCATTCACCGACTTCTTGGACGAAAAAGTCGACCCTCGTGAACCCGTCGTCCCCGCGGTCGTTGGCGGCCCGGCAGTCGTCCAGTGTCTGCTTGGCCCCAAATCCTGTCGCGGCGGCAGACCCACCTCATGTTGCCGCGCTGCGCAAGAAGAAGAAATATCAAAACCAAGCGCGGATGTCCACCCTGGCATCGCACATCAAGAAGCTCCTGGGGCGAACGGACAAAGCCAAACGGACAAAAGTGCAGCTCGACGCAGCGACCAGAGTGTACCGTTGTCCGAGCACGTCTCCGTCGGCTTTATTGTCATCTTGTAGGAGCAACATGCGGCTAGGATCGTCGCCCAAGAAGTGCAAAGTCAAACATGAAGAACTCATGACGTTTATGCGCCCCAACTGCCGCCCCCGGCGGTGGGTATCGAAAACGGGCCAGCCGTGTACGTATTTGGGTCGCTCTTTGCCACCACCCAGCTCCCCCTGTGCCCCCGTCGTCGCTAACGCCGTCTATGGACTAGTGCTTGAACGCCAGCAGTCGTACGTGAGTCTGGACGTCATGGACAACATTGGAACGCGAGCAGCGTGCCCCGTGCACTTGCTGTCGGAAAAGCCGAACTCGGACTTTTCACACGTGCCGGCCGTGGTCAACTCGCACAATCGTCGGCGACGGCGACGGTCGAGTCGCCGTCCCAAGCTCATGAAGCGACCTTCGCTCTGGATAGTCGACTAGGGCGGCGATGCCCAGAGATGCCGCCGCGCGACTCTGGAACAGAATCAGACGATTCTTTCGTGTTGTTGGGCCTGTCTGGAGCTGCTGCCACCCCCAGCACCACACCGCGTGTGCCTGGGACATAGTTCATATCGTCGTAGAGGACCAGACACTTGCCACCCACACATCGCCCGGACGCACACGGGATTCCGCGAACCGACTCGGCCAGTTGGTGCCGCTTCTGGTTCTCCATCTTGAACTTGTTGGAAAACACTTGCGGGTGTAGAAGCAGGTAACGCATACAAAACGTGTAGAAAACGTTTCGTACGACGAAAGGCTGGGCCACACCCTCGATGCCGATCGCCCTCGTGTCTGGCTTTTTGCGGCCACATTGGAAAGTGCAACTGGGAACGGCAACGGCGACAGCTCAAGAACCAGGGCGGTCGGGGGTCGTACCGGTATGTGCGCAAATGCGCATCATGCACCCCCCTCCCAGCGCGCTGATCGAGTTGTGGCGCCCTGTCGGATCTTCCATGCACCAACCCCGACCTTGCGCTGGTGGCTGCCATGTGGCGAGTCCGACAAGACCATCGATGTGTTTCGTACGTGTTCGGAACACTTGTCGCTTATTGCGAGTTATTAATAATGAAACGACATGTGATTGGCTAATCTGTGGGACATGTGCTTTTCCGCCCTGTCGATTGGCCTATTTCTACCGAGCGACCAGGCCGTCGTTGTCAGGAACAATCGGCAAAAGGAATTCCCCACACTCGCGCAGGGCGCGTCCACAGTTGAGACCAGCCACAGCAGCAGCACCACACCACCTGCCGCCTCATGAGCGATCTTACCTTCAAAGAGAAGATTGGGAAGAGCTTCTCCTTCCTCTCGGTCCTAGGCAAGAAGAACAAGGCACAGCAGCACCCGTCCGCCGAGACGTATGCCAACCCCGTGAAGGTCGAGCCCACGCGGCACATCGAGTCGCATCCTTTTCCACAGTACCACCACGATCCGTACGCCTCGCAAGGGTATCCACAACAGCATCACCAGCAAATGCCGCCGCCATTGCCACCAATGCACCCGTACATGTCGACGGCCCATGAACGCACAAACGTCGACGACCTTTTGTGTACGCCAACGCCGGAAAACAGGTTTCCCACCCCAATCACGACGTTCCCGACACCGACCCCAGACCCTCGCTTTCCGACACCGACGCCAGACATTAAATACCCGTCGCCGTTTGATTTTGCCCGAGATCGGCCGACTCCCGTCGAAAAGATGGAGGATCTGCAGCAGCTCCAGGAGGCGCTTCTCCCTTCCCCGTTCGACTACCTCCGCAACCAACAACAGCTTCACTACCCGTACCTGCAAAACTCAAACCACACATCGTTTCACCATCCGCCTCAGCACCTTCCCTTCCACGATACATCCGCGCAGCCCGCGTACCGGTCTCTGAAGGACAAGCAAGTCGCCGACGAAATCAACACTCTGTGTCGCGATTTAGTTACCCACGGACTCCAGACCAAGGAAATGGCGACGGCCTCACGGCGGAGCGCAGGGCCTTCCGTCGACAGTACCGTCATCAAGCCTGAACCCGCGCATCAGCTGCACGACTACGGGGTACGTCCATCCATTCCACCTTTTTCAGGACATCACACCCAACGCGTGCATGCAGAACATTGTCGAGTCGGGGTACACGTCCGGCGGTGGACGCAGCTACGATTCGGACTCGAGCAGCTGCGACATCAAGCGGGAGACGACCGGAAGCCAGAACAAGCAATACCGGCGCAAGAATTGCTCCATCGAAGGCTGCAGTAACCTGTCCCGGTCCAAGGGACTGTGCAAAGCCCATGGCGGTGGCAGGCGGTGCTCTGTACAAGGGTGCGCTTTTCGAATCATCGAGAGATGGGCTAATATGGGATGGGTTAGATGCACACGGGCGAGTCAGAGCAGCAGCCTGTGCATTGCCCACGGCGGAGGCAAGCGATGCACTGTGGAAGGTTGCACAAAGGCTGCTCAATCCCGGGGCATGTGCAAAGCGCACGGGGGTGGCGTGCGGTGTCGGGTGGAGGGCTGCACGAAGAGCAGCCAAGGCGACGGGTACTGTCGATCGCATGGTACGTACGACAAGGATCGTGGAGTGTCGAATGGATGGCTAAGTATGGTCGCCAGGCGGCGGGAGGCGGTGTGGCCATGCCAGCGGGTGCATGAAGTGGGCCCAGCGCAACGGGATGTGTATGACTCACAGTGAAGGCAAGTACGGCAACAGCTACCGTGGCCGACTCCAAAGACAGACGGGCGACGCCATGAGTGACACCGACATGATGGATGATTGAGAGATTTTTTGGATAAAGTAATATGGACTGCGATCGTTGTAGAGGCTGCGAAGGGCAGCGTCGCATGGACCATTAGGTAGTGTCGCCATGGACCGCTGTTGTCGCGCCACGGGGATCGTGTGGCCAAGGGGCGAACTGCTGAGACCCGACGTACGGAGGCGTGGCCAAATGGTACGCCGCTGCGAGCGCCCTACTTTCGCTTTCAGCAGTGGTCGATGTGTCGCTGACAAAAGGACCAAACGTACGGAGGAACAAACCGGCCACCAACAAAGTGGAGGCCGTGGAAGTGCTGGGCGCATTGCTTGGGGGCGGTGAGTGACACGAGGGCAGCGGGGCGAACGCCATTGCCGCCTTGGTCGCCTGGTGAAGTCGAGATGAATATGGCGAGGAAAGCAGCGATGTCTCCACCTAGTTCGACATCCCAACCCGACGGGATATCAATCGACACAATCGGCGTCGAAGAGCATGCCAGCAACGACAGAATTTTGTCGAAGGGGGCGCGAGGGGGAGCCTACGGACATGCTCGTTGTCATGGCGCGTGGCGGCATCCTCGCGTACACGAAAGCTGAATCCGAAGATTCCGTCCACGACGAGGCTGTACCGACTGAGATCACTTCTGCATGCCCCAACTGTCGTGAAGCGTGCAAGAGCCGAGATCCAGCACGTACGGTGTGTCGATGGACTGCACAAACGGGATGTGCATGTCTTGACATTGCTGGGCAAGCCGCTACAATTTCAGATGCAGACAACCAAGATAAAGTGGAAGGGGGTGTACTTGGTAGAGTGGATTGGGAGTCGGTTTGGGATAAAGCACTTCGGGTTGGAAACCAAAATGCTAGGGGTTGGAGATGCATGTGACGACGCGCGAAGGAACGCTGTGTACCTTCAAGTGTCGAGCAGCGACGAGGGCGTCACCTCTACACACCAAGGGATTTCGACATGTCACCCTTGTTGAGTGGGGCACGCACCCGTTATTGCCGGGCCCAGCGATGACAAGGAGTGGAGAAGATGCGACGTGGGCGTACTGGTTCTCGACGACGCATGCCACACTGAGCCCCGCCATTTCCATCAATTGGTCGATGGAGAATGCGTAGGTCGACATGAGCTCTTCATCGATGCGCTGGGCTTGGGCCTGGTTCAAATACTACGGCCTTTCCAGTGATGCATCACGGCACAGACCGCTCGACGTACGCGAAGGAGGACGCGAGGAGCTGCCATGTCCGTATGTGATTGGCTATAATTCTGGAACAGGACTGCAATTGATTGGCTTCCTTTGTTCAGCCGTTCCACCCCGTTTTGGGGTGTCGGTTTCGCCAAAACGTGAACAGTCGCGACTCGCGGATTCAGTCGCGATGGCGGAAGTCGCCGAGCTCAAGCTGCACAAAGTCATCGGCTACAATGGTGTGAGCATTGACAAGTCGTCGGCGCATCTCACGGGTCTTCACGTTGTGTAGGAACATTCAACAACACCGTGCTGTACACAAGGGACGGGCACTTTCTCATCTACTCGTTGGGTCTCACCGTCGTGCTTCGAGACCTCCGGTCGAATGCCCAAGGGTTCCTCCACGGCCACACGGACATTATCACGTGTTTGACCATCTCGAACAACGGCCGCCTGCTCGCGTCTGGGCAGCAGAGCAAGAGCCGGGGGAACAAGGCGCCAGTGCTCGTGTGGGACCTGCACGGAGCCATTGCCGCCATGACCGAAAAGGCCAATCAAAGCGATAAAGTACTATATCGCCTTGTCTTGCACATGGGCAAAGTGCAGGACATGGCGTTCTCGTCGCAGGACACGTGTCTGTACACAGTCGGTGGCCAGGACGACAACGCCCTCGTGTGCTGGAACATGGAGACGGGGGAGCCCATCTGCGGTGCCGCCCAGCGATAGCGTGTGTTGAGGCTGACGTGGTCGTGTTGTGTAGGCACCCCCGCCGGCGACGACTCGACGCTGGTCGTGCGGGCATTCCGAACAGCCAACAACAACGACTTGCTTGTCACAGGCGGCAACTACGCGTTCAACGTGTGGCGCGTGGACCACAAACACCGCAAGTTTCATCCTCTCCGCGCCAACCTGGGTAACCTGAAGCGTATCATGTCGTCGATTGCGATCTCCCCCGACGACAAGATCGCGTACGTCGGGACCAAGACGGGCGACTTGCTCGAGATCATCCTCGACTGCGACTTGACCAAGCCCAACTGCGCATTTCCACCCGTCGGGACTCAAAAGCCCCGGTACAATCGCACGACAAAGGAGCGGTTCAGCCAGGGCATCAACACGGTTTTGGTTCACGAGCACAGCCAGCAACGGCTGCTCCTTCTCGGTGCGGGCGATGGCTCGTTGGTCGTGCTGTTTCCAGGGGCAGCAAACGACCCGATCAAGTCGACGCCGATTCCGACCGGCCCCATTGAGAAGCTTCAAGGCGGCGTCACGGCGCTCAGCGAAGGTCCTCATGGCCAGTTCTACGTCGGGACGAACCAAAGCAACATGTACTTGGCCACACTTCCCGAGACCGGCCAGGCGATCAAGGCGGAGCTGCGTGCGACGTGCCATTACGGGAGCATCAACGACGTCGTGTTTCCCAAGGCGCCGTCCAAAGGCGACGAAATGAACTCCAACTTGTTTGTCACGTGCTCGAAGACAGACATTCGGGTCTGGAACGCGCGCAAGGCCCAAGAAATTCTCCGCATTCAAGTGCCCAACCTCGTGTGCAACTGCGTCGACTTGACTGTCGACGGAAGCGTGATCGTGAGCGGATGGGACGATGGCAAAGTCCGCGCGTTCTACCCCGAGTCGGGCAAACTCAAGTTTGTCATCCAAGATGCCCACAACGAAAGCGTCACTGCGATCGCTGTGTGCCACGACACGGACCACGAGCGCGAGTGGCGCCTCATCACGGGCGGCAAAGATGGCCGGGTCCGGGTTTGGCGCATCACCCCATCCCGACAAACGATGGAAGCGTCGATGAAGGTAGCCATCGATGACATCTTTGCCTACCATGGTAATCCGAATCACGTTGTCGTTTCAAGGAGCATCGCGGGCCTGTGAACAGCATCCAAGTCGTGCGTGATAACTCGAGCTGCGTGAGTGCGTCGTCCGATGGGTAAGCCATTCGTCGATGCCGACCAAACAACGCTGGCCTTTTTCAAACGGCGATGGGAACTTCACGCCGTGCGCCACGTGTAGCTCGTGCATTTCGTGGAATTTGGACAACTTTACGCGTGTGCAAGCCATGTTTGCGTCGACGGTCTTTCGCCGCATCCTGTACCACCCCGACGAGTCCCAAATGCTCACGTGCGGGTCGGACCGCCGCGTGACGTATTACGACTCGTACGACGGTGAAGCCATCCGCATCTTGGAAGAAGCTGCCGAGGGTGAGATGCTCGCCCTGGACATCGAACGGTACGAAAAACAGACCTGGCCTTGGGCACGACTCGAGTGTGTGCCACAGGAGCGGCAACGTCTTTGTCACAGGGGGGCGCGACAGCACCCTGAAAGTGTGGCACTACGACAACGGCGAGCCGATTGGGGTCGGAAAAGGCCACAGCGAAGCGATCAATGCCGTGAAAATCAGTCCCGAGCGCAAGCACATCGTGACGGTCGGCAGCGAGGGCGCCATCATGATTTGGGAAATGGGGTCGTTGCTGGCCCACATGAACCAGTAGATCCCATTGTGCATAATGAAACACAACAGTGCGTGTTGACCAGGAGATCCAACAACTATTCAAACACCATCCAGACGAGAAGCTTGTGGCAAACAATCTCCTAACGTTCTGGAACGCAGCACGCTACCACAACGTTCCACGGCACGCCAAGAAAGGACCTCCATGCTGTGCAGTTTGGCCGAACGGAGCAAGGAACTATGTACCATCCAGAATCGCATGCGTTCAACCCAACATGAGTACCTCAAACAACTTGGAATGCAGTGAGGAACACGTGTGGCAAGAATGAGAGGCACACGTGCTCCCTGACACAACAAGTCGCATGCCCCGCACACGGCCGCCCTGGCACGCCTTTGTCGGTTGTGTGGCCCAAGAGGAGTATCGGTTGGGCGAACTGTCCCGCGCGGCTCTTGCCACCGCGCGAAAAAATCCACTTGGATTGACAGACGTAGTGCACGTCATGCTCCATGTGGCTCGATATTTGTCCATTTCGCTGTATTTTTTCAAAGCTAACAGCATCGTCACAATCGTCTCTCGGCTAAAATGGAGGTTGCATGGTCCATGAGATGAAGGTAGGCGCAACTTCAGGCGAGCGTCCAAGTGAATCGACCGACATCGCGATCTTCCTGTGAAACGTTGTCGTGTCCCGGCAAGGGGCACCACAATATCGACAAGAACCATGGAGTCGCAACACTGTCATCAACCTGCCATTCTCAATTCGCTGATCCGTCTTGTTGTATACCACCCCATGCTCTCGTAGGAGCACCGTTGCAAGTTGTCTCAAGTACAGCCGGTCGGACACTCTGCAAAATCCAAGCTCCGTTCATCACTCGACATTGTTTCAGTTGCAAAAACTCAAACCTTCCAGACTTGAAGGCGGTTGCAGCTCCAAAGGTCCTGGTGCGGCATTCTCTCCGCACAATACGTAGCATAAAGAACTACAAACACAGTGGAGCTCGTTGCCTTGAAATGTCGTCGTGAGGTGCGAATATGTACAAGCGACTGGATGTAGTGGCGCAAAGACGAAAGAGTGTCGTGTTGAGATGGTTAAATAATACGGGACGACAGCGAATAAATAGGGACATATTAGACAGCGCAAAAGGCACTGAACAGTCCAATTGGGTTCATGCCATTCTTGTTGCGGCATTCACAACAATGCAGAGTTTGGCAGTGCGGCTCGACTTGACCGAGAGGTCCGTAGGCAGACTGTACGTTGATGTGAGCTTGACATCCATCGCGACCTGACGAACCAGCTTTGGCGTCATGTGGAGCGGTGGAGGAGGGCCAAGCTCGAAATCGTTCATGGCACTGTACGCGTTGAAAGGAGTTTGGTAGAGTGTCTTTGTCGTGGCGCTCATGGAGGAAGACGGCTCTGGGACGCCGAGGAATCGTGAAATGGCCAAAAACATGTTGGTGCTGGAGCGAAGACACACGCTCAGGAGGAATGATTGTCTATCAACATTCTCATCGCAGATTGAACGATCGTTTGATTGGTAAAATGTATTCAATTTCAGCCAATAAGAATAGTGTATGTGCTGCCTCCCATGCACTTATACACCAACACTCTGTGGCATGCTCGTCCTGAGCATTCATTTTCACAGGTATAACTTTTCATCGTTTTATCCGAATCCGAATAAGCATCGGTTTCGATGGCAATTGGGGCAGAAATTCGAGTTCAAGCGGTTACATAGCAGTCATTGCGATCTTCGCTCGATGTCGACCGCGGCTGATGGCGCCCGCGTCGGTTCGGTGGCCTTGCCAAGGGTAATGTCCCCCACGAAAACAGACCCGAAACTCCTCAGTCGCATGAGCACGTTCGACATGATGGCAGTGAACCACAACAAGACGCTTTCAGTTCGCGACCGTATTCGAGAGATGCACGCCCTGAAGATGGCCCCGTTCCCCACAGAATGTCGCCGAGAGTCCACTGTCATAGATGCCACCCCGGCGTCTCTGGCTTCGACGTTCCCGTGCTGCCGCCACCCCATCAATGCCGGTCCTGTTGAAACGTCCTTGCACCTCGACCTACACGGACTGTCGTGGAAGCGACGCCACATTCCAACGAATGACATTTTGGGCGCAACTTGTCTGAGCTCGTCGTCGCAATTCGTAGTCCATTACGTGGAAAAGACCCCGGACTGCCACTTTCGCACAGTGCAGGTTTCGTTCGTCTGTTGCCAATGGAGTAATGGCATCGTGTTGTACGTAGTTTGACACGGACTCGGATGCTGAAGCAGCGGCGTGGGTAGATGCAATTCAAAGGATTGTCAAGTGGCACGCGAGAGTTCCGCTCGATGCGACGCGACGACTCCAAGTTGTACTGGACACCACAGCGACAAGCTCTGCCGAGGTTTGGGCGACTGCACAGACTTCCTTGTCGCTGGCTGCCATCGACTGCACGGTCATTGCGAGTGAAGACTGTGTTTCGTTTGGCCAAACTATTCAAGTTGGCAACCCATTTGAAGCATGCCTTATTGTGGGCACGACCTTGTCCTTCCACCGAATTGTCAACGGCATCTTTCAGCAGCACGAGGGTCGGTGGCGCGCCATCTTGCCGTCCCTGCCACTGGGCCTACTCGCCACCACCGACCCGTCGACACTGCGTGCCAATAATGCTGCAGTGCTGTACAACCTCATCAAGCGCAAGATCCGACCGACGCACGCAGTCGCGTGTCACTTCAACCAAGAATTCATTGTCCTCGCCACGGATTCCATCGCTTTGGGCCAAACAACGCTGCAGATGACGCTTGCCAGCCAGGCACCGATGCCAAGCGTCCAGTATCAGTGCAAACGAGCTCCCGTTGACAGCGCTTCCAAACCAGACCCGGCCACACCCGACAACGACGACCCGAACGTGAATCTCCAGCACCACGTTGAGTTGTGCAGTATTTACAACGACATCGACCCGGCTTTGAAGAGTTGGAAAGGCTCGATCGCATGCAACCAAGATGTACAGAACGAACCAACGTTGAGGACGCTGCCGCTCCTTGGACTGCACATGCACCTGACCCAGCGCCACCAAGCGATAGGAGTACAACAGTTCACCCCCGGGCCGTTGTGGCATCGATGGACACAGCACCACCGTCCCATCAATTTGTTCTCCAACTTGCCCCCAATCACCCAAGCGTCGAGCTTGGTGCTGGCGTTGCCCCACGCATGGGACGTCTCGATCGATGCGTCGCCGACACGGCTCGTGTGTGGGCACATCCAATTCGACTGCCTCCCACATCTCTTGCATTGCTTCATGTAAGTCAAAGCTTCCAACCGCATCCCGCGAATTCGCTGTCAAGTCCCATTAAATACACAACATCGACCCATATGTACGAATTCGCCGCTACGCCAGCACGCTGGGAAACTGGGTCGACTTGGTGCCCGCGAGCACATTGACCATTGCGGCGTGGCCAGGCTCGTCTTCAAAGTGACAGACCTCGGCGGGATGCTCCCCGGTCCACGGTGGAATGATGTACCCAGGGTCGACATCCGCCATCAGGTACTCCATCACGCGGGACATGACGAGGTCGCATGATGCGTACAACCTGACGCCCGTCTCCTCAGCACGCTTATCCAGTCGCGGTAGGGTCTTTTGGAGGTTCACAATGATCAATTGCTTTGCAAAGTCCCCGGCCATTTCGCAGAACGGCTCCACGCGCAGCGAAGTGCCTGGGCATGCGTGAGTGCTCCTTCGTGTGTAGAAAAGGGGCTACGAACCGAGGACGAGCGCGGTGTCGGCGATCTCGCAGTGGTCGATGGCAATGTCGATATCATCCATGGGCTCGTTGAAACCAATGACATAACGCTTCAAACGTCCATTGCCGTGACGCGTTCGTTTCGCCAGCCGCGCGCCAGCAGGCTTCTTCATCGACGGACATGCATCGTTGTTGCAAAGCCCCGTAAGCGGAAAGTTGTCCTTGTACACCTTTTCGCATGTGTCACAGCGAGCAAATGTGGCGTTGCCATGGACTTCAGTCAAATGTGCTTGAGGAATGCCGCTCTTCCGATGGAGATTGTCCACGTTTTGGGACACGATGTGTTTAAGATAACCGAGGCGGTACAGCTCGTAGAGTGCCATGTGAGTCGGCGATGGGACTAATGAATGAAGATCAGGAATGACCGGTGGCACCGTCGTTGATGACGCGGTGCGCCGGGACTTCTTTCGAATGCCGTTTTCACCGCGATAATCTGGCACACCCGTCGACGTCGAAATACCAGCACCAGTGAATGCCACAAGGTGCTTGGACGTCTTGATCAAATGCGCCAGGCGCTTGCATTGCTGGTCGAACGCGTCATGATCTTGGACGGGCGATAGAAGCGTCGCCAGAGAATGCTTCGCAGAGGCGGTGGTCATCGCAGGCCCTGCAGCAGTTGAAAATGCAGTTCCGATTCCTCTGACGACAATATGTGTTTTTTAATTTACTGCAACACTTGATTAAAGTATGCATTTGGAGACGGAAAAACCGCCGTTATAATTCGACGAAATTCGAACATCTCATGTGCGAAGACTCCCGTCACGGTGATGACGAGGGGGATGAATGGCCACGACGATGGACCCCCACAAGTCCAGCGCCTGAAGTTGACGCTCCAACTAACGCCGGCAGCAATAACAATGCGCAGACAGCAACAAGGCATGGTTAAGAGTATGTCCGCACATGCAAGGACGTGACAGCTACAGGTAGAGACACGAAAATTGCACGGGAAGAAAAACTGGTTTCTAGCGCAAGTCCAATTACGCCGAGGAAGGCTTATCCTTGGATTCTGGGTCCTTTGCAGGGGAAGCAGCTTCTTCCTCGGCTTCGGGAGAGACTTCCACTTCGGCCGCAGCAGAAACACTTGCAGCTTCGCTCAACGCTTTGGTTTCATCCAACACGCGATGGTTTTGGGACCTATATGGATTGGGATCGAGTCAGAGTAGTTCTATACATACACGGAACTACGTACGCAGCGGTTTGTACCAATTCTGCCGCCGCTTCAGCGTTGCCTGATCGGATTAGTGCACTATAATGGATAAAGTCAGGGTCGAGCAGGATGGTCCGAGAAGTGTACCTGACGACGGTGTGATAAGTCGCGGCATTGGGCTTGAACTCGAACTTCTTGGTGGCCTCGAAAGCTGCGATGATACTGGCATCGTCGTGCTTTGCCTCGAAGTACGCGAGCAGCTTGTTGAGCGAACGAGCGTTCAAAAAGAGGCCAACACGGAAGTTGTTTGCGAGGGCGTTGAGGGCAACATCACCGGCATCCTGCGAGATCGCCGCCTTGATGAATTCCCCCGCGGTATTTTCGACTGGGTCAATGTACTTGCGCTCGTAGATCTTGAATGCGCTCGTCGCGGCGTTCAACTCGTCTTTGTTGGTCACGCGCTTGAACAGGTTGGTGAGCTTGCTCACCTTGATGAACCTGTTCTGCTTGGCATCTCGCTCCAAGTCTTCTAAGAGGACAGGGAACGCAGGAAGCACGTATTGGGTCTTCGTAGACAGAGCACGGACACCCGCGACGCGGGTGGCGCTGCGCGACAATTGCGCCAACATGATGGGCCCGATCAAACTGAGCGACTGGTGTGAACGATTTTCTTTTGAACCAATCAGAGGCCAGAATGGGGCAAAACAATTTGGATTTAAACACTCAAAACGGAATTAAAATACGCTATGAACACCTCTAATTTTATTCATGATGGATGAATTCTAATGATTGAGCTTATTCTTGTGATTGGTGGATTCCAATGCATTGAGAGTTGCTGGCCATGAGGATGTTGGCGCTTGGAATCCGAACTGTCCCCCGCGTGCGAGTGCCGCTGGTTCAAGCCGCTTCCCTCAGCTCAGACGCTCCTTCAAAGCTTCGCTTCGACGACATACTCCACGATATTCACAACTTTGCGGATGCCAAGAAGCTCCCGACCGCAAACAAATTGACTGCGCTATTTCGCAGTGTGACATCGCGTCAAGATTTCGTTGAAGCAACCAAGGTATTGCGCATCTACGAAACCATGTTTGTGGATCCGAAACAGCAAACGGCGGGGGAATTCATCAAAGCCGCGATCACGCAGGATGCTGAGGACCTGGCACTGAAAGTCTTCCAGCAACATCGCCGAATTGGGATGTTTGTCAGCACAGGATCGCTCAACAACCTTTTGTTGCATCTGTACAAGAAGAGGGACCACGCGAGCGCGCTCGCGTTGTTCGAGGAATTGAAACTTTACAAAGTCAAGCCCAACGCTGAGACGTACTCACTCGTTATTCGACACTTGCTGAGTTCGGACAATATCGATCAACTTTTGGACGTCTTGGCTGTTGCAGGGTACGTGATGCATCATGCAGCTCGTTGCTTCAACAGCCTCATCTGCTTCCATGTCGCTAGGGCTGCCAAGCTGATCAAGGCCAACACGCTCAACCACATCCTCATCCAGCTGTTCAACCGAGGCAAACTCGACGAGGTTCGATCGCATGGTTGACGCATTTTGTTTCGATTATAAATCTCCGTGCATGTAGGTGTCCAAAGTCGTAGAGATTGCAGCTAAGCACGACGTGCCACAGAACGACATCACAAAGTCTGTCCTCGGATCCAAGTAATGTCAGAGAGCCTTCGCATTTCGTAATTTAGAATGCGTGCGACGTGGCCACCCGATGTATGGCCCCAGGACGTCTCCAACGCCACACGCTAACTGATATGGCGCTGACGCCTTCCCGATGCACGCGCCGTGCTGAGCGGACCTGCTGGATGGGCATCGATGGAATGTCCAAGCAAGTGCACGATTCGGATACAGCACGTCATCCGGATAATCTCGGCATTGTGCCATGTTGCTGCAGACAATTCGACGCCATGCAACGACTGGCGGCAGTCGTCGGCAGATGTCAATGCTCACGCGAGATTACATTCACAAGTGCCTGTACAGCAAGGACGGAGGGTACTTTACTTCCGAAAGTCGTGAGGTTCTGCATGCGCCAAAGGAGCCCATGAAGTTCCATGATTTCTGGGGCAAAGGTGAATACAAGGCTGCACTGGCCAAGCTGTACCAGGTACGCTCTCGATCAGCGCTTGGACAGGGACGTCATGCACATAACAGGCAGACAAAGAAGCGTGGATGACACCCGTGGAGGTGTTTTACCCGTATTACTCGCATGCAATTGCCAACTACATGCTCATGGCCCCATTCACAACAGACAAGCTCACGATATTCGAGATCGGTGGCGGGGCTGGCACCAATGCCAAGTGCATTTTGGACTACATTCAGGTAAGTTCAAGTATTCTTTGTATGGTTGATGCCCAGTGCTCCTCAGGAGCAAGCTCCGGCACTGTACGAGCAAACCTCCTACACCCTTATCGAGATCTCGCCGCGGATGGCTGCCCGTCAGAGTGAGCGCATCAAAGACCATGCAGGCATCGCGACTGTGGTGAACGCAGACATCCTGACATATTCGTCGCGCTTTCCGAAGTTCAGCGACAGCTGTTACTTTGTCGCGATGGAAGTGCTCGACAACCTTCCGCATGACAAGGTCACTCAAGAAGGAGGCCAGTGGCACGAGACATGGGTGAATCCCAAGACTCTTTCAGAGCACCACCGTCCACTGACGGACCCGTTGATCCGCCAGACGCTCGAACACTTTCCTTTGGAACTACCGCTTCGCGAACAGTACAAGCCGGCAGCCAGGTACTTTTCGGCACAATCGATGCATTCGTTGAACGATCGGTCGTTTAGATTTTTGCGCAAAGCACTGAGAATGCCTGAAAAGACGTTGCACTCGGCTTTTGTCCCTACTGGAGCGATGCAACTGCTCAACACCCTCAAAACGAGCTTTCCAAAACATCACCTCATCGCGGCCGATTTCGACGAGCTTCCCGCACCTTCGTTGGACGCTGCGTCGGCGACGCATCAACTGTACAATCACCCCCGAAGCCCGACGTCGACCGCATCTGGCTCGCTGCATGCGGCGAATGCCCCCTTAGTCGCTTCCAAGACAGCAGGTACCCACCTCGCATCGCCCAGCCTTATTGACAACCGTGGCACGCCACAACAGGCGTCACATTCGACCATGACACGTATCTCGTCGAGGGGGGCATCGCAGACGTGTTCTTTTCAACCGACTTTATCAAGCTCAAGCACGCGTACTGCCAGGCCCACCACCGCCATAGTCACGAGGTGTCGATTGTCAAGTCCAGAGCGTTCCTCGAGAAGTTTGCCGACATTGCCAAGACGCGCACCATCCTCGGGTATGCTCCATCACGTTCATGAAGCCATCATGTTGTCATCACGGTCGCTTCACGTAGATACAACCCGTTGCTGGAGGATTACGCCAACACGAGCTTCATCTTGAGCTAGTTAACACCACGGAACAATATGACGACATGCTCTGGCAGATCCTGCGACTGCAGTCGCATTAATTGCGTTACAGTTTTCCTTCGAGTAAACCCGTCACTGGAACTTCGTCCTGCGTAAAGTCCCAACTCGCCATGACAGCCAACCATTCTCGACATTCCCGTGGCGTTGGATCGATCAGGTGGTGAATAATGTCGTGTCCGTCGGAGGACGACAGCCATCCGTTCCATCGGAACTCGTGCAGACCTTTCGCCATCCATCGATATGCCATCGCACGCCCCAGCCTCGTCAGCGACGCCGCTGCCTCGGGCGACTGCACCCTGTTCTCAACACGACGAGAGTCAGCTATTCCGTCGCATCATCGCTGGGTCATTCACCTCATGATGAGATCGTGCATGGCTTGTAGCAGTGCCGCTTCCGAATGAACCACCGACAATCTCGTGGCGCGTGCCATAGACAGTCGTGACGTGGCGCCGTAGGCCTGCAGCATTTCCTGCGCTCGAATGTGAAACGACCTGACCAACGTATCCAGCGACTTCCAATCTTTGCTTCGTGGTAAGTCGAGGTGCTCTCTCTGCTCGCCTTTTCGTGTCTTGACGAGGAAGGCTGCGTGTTGCTGCACCAGCACATCGAACGTCCCTTCATACGTCGACGCCCCCACAATGTCGCATCGCAACCGCGTCAAGAACGAGCTAGGAACGTTCTGCATGCAACATTCAATGCCGTCGACGACATCGGACGCCACAAACGCTTTCAACCCGCTGGACGTGGCATGCAGTTGCGCAGCGAGGGCGGAAAGCTCCTCCTGATCACTGCAGGTTTGGTGAGCGGATCGCTGCGCGCGTTTTGCCATCACGACCTGATAGGATTGGAGGAGTTGGTGTCCAGCGAAAGCGGCGGCGAAGGCCAGTCCAGCGTGTGGCAAGAGCGACGCCGTGGGGTTCCTAACCCAGCACTGAGGATGAGCTTCAGATCGGAACAGCGTACGTACTCTGACGAGAACGCGATGGCACGACCGAGGAATCGAGCGCACTTGGCCACCAAAAAGACGCGGGTTTTTACCATGGGCATGTACGTCCATTTGGTATCGGATGGCGTTCCCAGGAATGGAATGAGGTCGAAGCGGCCGTCGACCCGACGTTGCCAACGCACCCGTGCAGTGGCCAAGCACAGCTGGGACGCAGGCACGTGGACGTGGTCAAACACGCAGTATCCGTTGTCGACCATGTTGAAAGCCACCTTGGGCCCGATATCGCCCAGCGAAATTCCTGGAAGCGATTGATGGGTTGCCAGATCACTACATCCAAAAGTCACCACCAAATGAGCGGCACGTCATGAGTGAAGAAAGGATGATTGCTACCGCAGCTGCACAAGGAATGCGTGGACTCCAAAGTCGACTGCCTTGGACAGTAGCCGAGCGTAAACGACGGCAAAGTTGGCTGTCTTTCCCATCCCACCCGGCCACCACTTTCGACTGGTCAACGTTGGCGAATGCAGGACAAATGTGTGGGAAGATGCGTCATACGTAGCAGTAGTTTCAATGCCTTGGACGTTTGATCCGTGTCCTGATCAAGTGATGAGGATTTTCACTGCCCTGACGAGACCGCCCAGTACCGAGTTCGGTTTGGGCATACGCTCCTAGTATTCTGTACGACAAGGCCAAAGGAAGCCACGTTTGCAGCTGTTCTGGGGTCATGGACAGATATAATGCTGGGATGAACATCTTTCGGTGCATATCGATGGGCAGCACGTCGCCCAAGCCTTCGGCGAGGTCTTCTTGCTCGTCCACGTCGTGAATTCCATGAGCTCGCACAAACGTGATGAAACGAGCGCTCTTTTGCAATCCAAGTGAGTACTCCTCCACATGGTTCAGCCCCTCCTCTCGTGGGAGCTTATGTATCATGGACAGCCATCGCTTGCGCCGAGCGTTCCTTTCCACCGACCCGCGGAGCACCCCCGTCAAAGTGGCATCCATCCTGGATGTGTCGAGGTTCAAAATGGACGTTGCTGATTGGAAGATTTCTGCATTATTGATTCTGATTGGGTGAATTCATCGTCCAGGACTCTGATTGGACGCCGGCTGCCCTGACTACGCGAGTACTTCCACCGCTGGAATGCATGATCCGCTGTCGAAGCGTCTCAGCTGCTGCTGCGTCGAGTGCGGCACCGTCGTGAGCAGCACGTATCGCGACTACGGCAAAGGGAACATTCGTTTAAAGATCTGCCGCAACTGCAACCTCACGGTGGACAAGTACGTCGAGTTTGAAGCGATCTTGATCATGATCGACCTCATGCTCGGCAAGCAACAAGCCTACAGGCACTTACTGCACAACCGCCGACCCCTCCTTCTCACCCAGCAAGTGATGAAAATCTTTGCTGTGATGGTCATGCTTGACTGGAACATCAAGGCGTCCTTGGCCGAACGAGATGTCGGCGTGTACTTTCGGTAGGCACTCCTCCGAAGTGCTTGTGGGACTCACGCCCTGTGCATGCAGCCCCAACTCAATGTATAAGACCACGGCGACGTACTCCATATTTCAAATCAGCCAGCTCGGATTGCACTACTTTGTGCTGGCAGTCGTCGAGAACTTCGTCTACATGCTCACATTGTGGTTGTGTGTGCGCCTTCATCCTCGGTGGCGCCACGCCACCACCGCGAAAGACGTTCAGTTCATCGGCGCGCTATGCATGTCGAGTTTTGGAAAGCTTTTCGCGTGGCTGACGTTCATTTGGGAGTACAATTGGACCGTCGTCCACGTCATCGGCGGTATGGCACATCCATTGTCTCTCGCGACCCCTCACCGAGTTTGTAGGAATTGTGGTGTGTTCCAACTATCTCGTGCTAAAAATCTACGTGAACGACGACACGTTCGACGTATTTATGGCTGTAGCGGTGGCCGTCGGAATCCGTGCTCTCACGCAGTTGGTCTTGTTCGCCCTGGGCAATCCCGTCATTTTCTTCACGTTCATTTAACTCGAATACAAGGTGGCAAACCATACGGTTGAGTTGGACCTCCTAGCAGTGTCGGCTGCATCCGCCAAACGAGACTAGTCAGGCAATTTGGGCATACTTCTCAACCTCGTTACAGCTAATAACACAATGTCGACACAGGCTGTCGCTGCGTTAGCAATTTTGAGGACATCCTTCCAGACGATTCTGCTCGGTGAGCCGCCTTCGTCGGGGGCTCGCTGGAGTCGTTGTCATTTTCAGCATCCACGCGCCAACGCTGTCGACGTATTGCCAATATCGCATATGCTATCAAAGGTAGGGAAATATCCTCTTCATGTTGAGCTCCTCCGGTGCTGCTACTGTGTCTTCCAGGCTAACCCCAATGTCCGGCGCTCCCCAAATTGAATTTTCTTGGAATTTCAAGTGAATTACGGAGACTCTCGATGATTGGCTATAGAGGAAAATGCGAAGAGTACTACAACTACGTAGTAACTGTTCGTACATTGTTCTTCGTGGAAAACTTCCAAGTAATCTCGAACGAATTTGAATGTCGGATAATGATCCAACATTATCCGTACATCCTATCCCATGCCGCGCGAATTGATCACGATCCAAGTTGGGCAATGCGGGAACCAAATTGGCCGCCAGTTCTGGAAGATGGCGTTGGACGAACATGCCCATGTACATGCGATCGCATGCATGCAACGTGTTGAATGCCTTCTCCATGTAGCACGCAAAGGATGCGACGTTTGACGAGAGTATGAGCACGTTCTTTCGCAATGTCGACAAACAAGGACACGAGTTGCCAGTTCACGAGGCCATTGCGTCACTACGCGCCCGTGCTATCCTCGTTGACATGGAAGAGGGTCCAGTCAGCGAGACATTGAAGGGCCCTCTTGGCGAATTGTTTGACAGCTCCCAATTTGTCACAGATGTGTCGGGCTCGGGAAATAATTGGGGTGCGTGACTGCAATCTCTCGCAAAGGAACTCAAGACGATTTTAGCTCACGGACATGCCATGTACGGCCCTCAGTACAAGGAACAACTATTGGAAAAGCTTCGACACGCCACAGAGCTCTGTGGTGAGCAATCGTTACCCACTATTGCCCAACGTACCCATGACTTCAATCACTGTGGACAGATTCGCTGCAGTCATTCTTTGTCTTGCATTCGATGGGTGGCGGGACCGGGTCCGGGCTTGGCACGTACATCCTGGGGCTACTGGAGGACCACTACCCCGACGCCTTTCGATTTACAACAGGTACAACCTCCACATATCTCTTCGCCTTCATAGCCTTGAATTGTTCAAGCTATCTTCCCATCGGCGGACGACGACGTTATCACGTCTCCCTACAACAGGTACGCAATCCCAACCTCCATGCGATTAACTATTCTCCATGATTGTAGCATGCTGGCGCTGCGGGAGCTGACGGACCACGCAGATTGCGTCTTGCCCATTGAAAACGAAGCGCTTTACGACATGCTCGAGGTAGATAATTGCCACAACGATCCGTCGTGAGCGAAATGAAAAGGAGATTGCTTGTAGAAGCAACCTCCGCAGTCCGCCCCGAAAGAGACTGCGTTCGACAAGATGAACGCCATCGTGGCGCGGACCCTGACCCACCTCACGAGCAGCATGCGCTTCGACGGATCCCTCAACGTCGACTTGAACGAGATCACGACCAACTTGGTCCCGTTTCCAAAACTGCACTACCTCTTGTCCAGCGTCGCGCCACTCTGGCCAGACAAGCTGCCACGACGGGTGAATCAAATGTTCGTCGATGCTTTTCAAAGGTGCCGCCGTCGCTAGTAATTCATCGCGTCCACCGCTCGCACATCCATTAGAGACTACCAACTGATCAAAACCAACCCAAAAGGCGGAACCATGCTCGCGTGCGGCCTCTTGCTCCGCGGCAATGTCCAAGTGTCGGATATCCAAGCCAACATCCAGCGGATCCAGTCCGAGCTTCGCATGATTCCGTGGAATGTCGATGGCTTCAAGGTCGGGCTGTGCTCCGTCCCCGCTCTCGGCCACCCCGTGTCGCTTCTCACCCTTTCCAACAATAGCTGCATCGTGTGCGTTCTGCATGTTGTGCGCGTGTGTGCATATCCCCAACTTCCTTTCTAGCGACACATTTGAGCGCATGCAGATGCGGTTCCAAAAACTGTTCAAGCGAAAAGCCCATGTCCACCACTATCTCGACTACATGGACGCGTCGCTTTTCGACGAAGCGCTCGAGAACGCTCGGTGGCTCATTGGGGAATACCACAAACTCCACGACACGGTCGACATGTCCGTGGTCAGCCGGCCCAAGCCACTCTTTTGACCCACCGGTCCAGGATTCATTCAAATCTCATCAAGAAAAGACAGTCGACACGAGATGCGTTCGATTGTACGGTTTGCTTTATTCCAAGTCGGCGATTTTCCATCGGCAATGGCGGCCGGCCGAGTAGATCTCGACGAGGGTTTTGTCAAACTCGTTGGTCGCGACGAGCTCCAAGTATTTGTTGTGCAAGCGGAGGGCGGCGCGGGCATCTTCGATCGAGTCGTGTGTGTCCAGCTGAATCTCGGCCTTCAAGAGGTACGCGCAGAGGAATCGGAGCGCAATCTTGCGCATGTTGGGCTGCTGGTACAGCTCGACCGTGTCGATGATCTGCGCACAAAAACCCTTGTTGAGAAAGTAAACGAACCGCGGCGGCCACAGAACCTGGTTGGGCGGCACAAAGATGTTGACGATGCGAAAGTCTTTATGCAGACCATGCCCAACAAACAAACACCCCGCGTCGACGAGGTATCGCAGCTTCATGTACGCCGTCTTGAGCGACACGACGGGATGGCGGCTTCGCGCCGGGTCCAAATCTTCGCCGGTGAGCCCGCTGAATCGCGTCAAGTAGTCGACAACCTAGCAAACGATCCATTGTGAGAAGCTCGCTCGTGGGTTCGTCTTCGCGAACGGGTTCGTTCGGGAGAATGTAATCGTCGACAAGGACGGCATCGGTTTCCCCGTGGATGACAGACACGCGGGCGAGCGACTGGCGGCTTTCCTTGATGACAACTCCTACCGATACGAGTGAAACATGGCGAGCGTCAAGTGTCGGGAGCTTACGTGTGCCGTCCGTTTGCAACGTCGCTTCCTCCATTTCGACAATGACAAATTCCGTATCGATCGCGACGCGGTCACCCTTCTTCGGGAGGGTGACCGTCGACATGCGAGGCCGCGCGACGGTCGGATTCAACGGAGCGGCATCGAATATCGTGGATGGAATTGGCGCGGGTGGTGCGGTCGTGTCGAGAACGACCGGACTGCCCTCGCGACGGTAAAGCAGCACACTGGGATATTTCCACGGCGGCGAAAAGTTGATTGCGTCGTCGACGGACGACTCGGACACGGTAAAGTCATTTAGCAGCATCCACAGACCATCCGGCCCCACAACATGCGTGACCAAATGGGCATTTGGCCCCGATATCAAGTGCGACTTGACGACATTGCGCACGACGGCCGAGATGACCCCGATGAGCGTGTAGGTTTCGCCTGTAGGTAGCGTCAGCGTCACGGGGACCCATCCCGGTGTGGCCCAGCGTTCTTTGATGTCGTCGTTTAAAAGCCACGACGCGGGGTCGCAAGAGACCGCGACGAACTCGCCGCCAAGTGGGAGATCGGGGGATACATGTTTGGCCACGAGCGACTCGAACGTGAGATCGTCGTCTGGCAGCGGCGGTAGCACCACGTGGTGCAGCGTCGGTGAAACAAGGTCAAGGTAGCGGCACAGTAATGCAAAGAACCTGTCGACACGAACGAGGATCGAGAGCGTCTTGTCGAAGAGGCCCGCGGCCGCCACGCCGTGAATCTACCCAGGAGACACGAGTTATATCTTCCTCCACTCTGAACCATGATCGGCCCACGGCGGTGCCCACGTTACTTGATGCAGCGCCGAGAGGAAATTTGTGATTTGAACGCTCCGGTTCTTTTGCAACGCGAGCGACGTCGTCTGCGCCATCATGTGGAAAAGAAACCCGAGCTCGCATCGAACGCAGCTGGCGTCGTCGCAGAGATGCGCGAGGACTAGAGTCCGCACGCCGGGCGTGGCGTACAAGAGCTGGAGCGCCGCGTTCATGTAGGCGTATGGGAGCGCGTTTTCAAATCCGACGTGCGTCGAGCTCTGGTTGTGCTTGGAAAAGTCGAAGACGAACCCGTCCATGCTGTGCTTGCTCATGTTGATCTCCGTGTACTTGTAGCTAGCCCACGGTCGCGTCAGTCTGTCGGCACACGACCTCCTCGTGCCCGTTCCGCGCACACGACCCACCTCGGAGGAACATGCCACAACGGATCCGCTTCGTCAAACGACTTGGCCGATCCGATCGATCGCGACACCGAGTCTCGACGCCGAGGAGTTGTCTCGGCACTACGTGGGTCCACCGTGGCCAGCGCAGTCGCGCGGCCTTTGCCAAACACAAACGAGTTGCGATCGTAGCCTCGGTGCGACGTAAAGCCCTACCATCCCGCGCGATGACTCGTCGTAGAATACACATACACTCGTACGATTGTGTGTTTTTGCTGCACTTTTTTCTCAAACTCGGGATGCAACACCTTGGTGGGTTTCGGCGCCACGACCAGCGTCATGTTGAGCTTGAACGTGTTGTCGACGTTTGTCGATGGAAGCCACGCCGAGAGTGGCGTGATCTCTTGGCCAAATTCGTCCACGGACGGCCGAAACACATACCGCGACGCTGGCGCTGGCTCTAGCGGCGACAGCGTCAACGGCGGGCGAGAAGCGGGTCGCGGGAATTCCAGCGGGTCCTCCGGCTCGTCCAAGAGAGCCCGTGGCGACGTTGACAGACCAGAATCGTACATCACGACGGTGCCGTCCCTGCTGCCGGTGGCAATGAGCTCTCCAGACAAAGATGCGTCGAATGCTGTGACGGACGGGTGGAGGTGGCCAACGAGCGAGTACTGCATAGGATCGACCATATCGAAAAGGACGAGGTCCCCGCCCGCGTCGGCTGCGTAGAATGCGTTCTCCGACATGTGGAACTTGACAAAGATAGGCGGGAGGCCGGTGGACGATGGGAACGGAATCGAACTCACGAGCGACATCGTGCGCACGTCAAACAGCTTGACGAGCGGGTCGGGGTATATCTGCCGCCACGTTCAGAGTTGCAACAGCCAGATCGCGCTTCCAGTCTACCTTCACGGGCGCGTACTTGTCGTACGGGTTGATGCTGCGAGACGAGATGCCGCAGGTCAGGACGTAGTTGTCCATCACGTCGATGGTGACGATGCTGCCCGAGTGCGCCAGCGGGATCGACGCAGCGACACGATGCGATCGATGGTCACCGTCGAAGAAGTCGAGACGACCCTGCGAGCTGCCTGCACAAATGAGCGGAGAGTCGTCGCTGGACGCGAGCGCCGCCGTCGACACATGCAGGTCCAAGAACCACATCGGCTGGAGCGGATGGTATCCGTGCAAGTCGTACGCCGACAACAGCCCTGCGTCCGTGCCAACGAGCAACACGTCAGATGGTTTGATCGGGTCGTGGATGTTCAAGCTGCCGCACGTGATCTGCCGTGCCCCGTCGACAACAATCGCGTGAGTTTGCACACATCCCCGCGATCGAATCGTGGCCGCGTGGTCAGATATCGCCACGACGCCACTAATGCACGCCATAAAGCCTGGAAGACCACGAGAGGAAGTACCCGTAGGTCGGCACGAGCTGTTTGATGGACCCGGGGTTCGACGTCACACTCGTGTACTTGTCCAGGGTCGGGAGCAAATACGACGTGAGTCGGCCCTTTCGACACCACGACAGTCAGGACCACCAGTGCCGTTCGTGGTCACGAAGAAAACGTACATCAGAGCAGCCGACCCACAGCATCTCGTGGCATCGATCAAACGCGACTGCGCCGGCAGTCACAGTTTCACTCGTTGGCATCGCGGACGCCGACACACGCACGATTTCAGCCCATTCTTCGCCTGCTGCACCGAAAATGGATGAAGGCATGAGCCCAGCGTCACTATAATGGTAGTCATAGCCATGAAGCTGCTGCTGTTGCGCCACTTGCATCGGGTGCTGCCCCATCATCGTCGGTGTCGGTGGGTACAGATCTTCGAACTTCGAGATCGAAGGAAAATGAGAAAACACCCACATGTTCCATTTCATTGGCTAAAATAGAGAACTAATCTATTTGATTGGGTACAAAGAAAATACACGCTTTTAATTGGTCCATTGGACCTTTTCCTACTTCGCTAGACGTCAACGGAAGATGCGCATAGCGGTGGTGGGCTGCAGCCATGGCGAGCTCGATGCCATGTACGCCACAATCGAGCACATCAACTCGCTAGATGCAGCGAACCCCGTGCAGCTCCTGCTATGCTGTGGTGACTTTCAAAGCTTCCGTGACCAAGCTGACGTCGAGTGCATGGCTTGCCCACCCAAGTACCGCGCGCTCGGTGCCTTCCACCACTACTACACAGGTACCAAGGTCGCGCCCGTGCTCACAATTTTCATTGGCGGCAACCATGAAGCATCCAACTACCTCCAGGATCTCTACTATGGCGGTTATGTTGCTCCCAACATCTTTTACCTGGGGTGCGCGGGTGTAGTGAATGTGAATGGACTGCGCATCGCAGGGATCTCGGGCATCTACAAGCCACATGACTACACCCATGGCCACTTTGAGCGATATCCGTACGACGACAGTACCATGCGCAGTATCTACCACGTGCGGGAGTTCCAAGTGTATCAACTTGCCCACCTCAAAGCAGCCTCGTCTTCAACGCCCATCGATATCTTCCTCTCGCACGACTGGCCGCGAGGCATCGAACGATATGGTCGCACAGATCTTTTGCTACGTCGCAAACCCTTCCTGCGCGATGAGATCTCTCGCGGAGCGTTCGGATCCCCCCCAAACGAGTACCTCCTCCACACAATTCAGCCGAGATACTGGTTCTCCGGTCACATGCACGTCAAGTTCGCGGCGATCGTGCCCCATCTCCCAAGCACTAACACGACCAAGTTCCTGGCGCTTGACAAATGTCTTCCGAATCGCGACTTCCTCCAAGTGGTCGACATCCCCGCCCCCACTGAAGCTCCCACCGTGACGCTCCAAGTAGATCTGCCTTGGCTCGCAGTGCTTCGCGCTACGCACCATCTTGCATCGGCAGATCGCTTGAGATCGCGCGTGCCCGAAGAAGACATGGAGGTCACGCAGGATGACATTTCGTGGATCGAAGCCCGCCTGCCTGGAGAATTTCCCGGATGGGTGCATCCATTTGTGCAGACGATTCACACGAACGGAGGCAATCCCCAAACGGACGCGCTGCTCAACTTTCTCAAGCTTCCTCATGTCGTCACGACGCCGTACGTCGTCCAGCACGTGGCCACGGACATCCCAGTGGACCCGAACGAAATCGACCTCGATGAAGTCGACGCTGATGAGGCGCGAGGGGACCGTGCAGCCCCGTCGACGGCTCCCATTGATTCCAACGCGATCGACATCGATGACATGTAAAGATACATTGCGCCAGCGGTCGCCGGGCACTCGTCGCACCGGCACTGATGTGTCTGCTTGCCGCACGATAGAGTCATGGAAGGAGCACAAGGATCGAATTCGTGCGTATGAAAACTAGTGCGCTAGGATATGGGTGGCATGGTTGATCCGCGTGGTGACGGTGCATAAGGCTTGGTCGATGAGTGCTTCAAGTTTCGCCGTTGCTTCGTCGTCGGTGAGATCGAGCATGAGGGACGTCGAGAGCCATGGAATCGTGTCTGGAGTGAGTTCCGGGATGCCGGAGCTGAGTGCAAGCTCGAGCAGGGTGATCAGGAGCGACGCATTCGCGCGTAGGACGGCAAATGCCAGGACGCACTTGGCTCGGAACATGTCGAACTGGTCACCCATGGCATGGACCATGGCGGGAGTGAGAACGAACGGCGCGCGCTCTCGTTTGTAACCCAAGCACGTCTTGAAGTGGCCGAGAAAGTGACCGAAATCGATGTGGAGGAAGCGGCCCGATTCGGTCAGCATCAAGTTGTCGTTGTGTCGATCACCGATTCCGAGGACGTACGTGGCAACGCAGTACCCAGCGCAAGACAAGACAAACATGGCGGTCACGTCCTCGTTCGAGTCGGTGGTCTTTTCAGCAAGCCACTCGGCCAAAACATTTTTGCCCCACATGGCCGTTTTGACCGCGGCCGCCTTTCGCATTCGTCGGCTCTTTTGATGGCGATGGCGCTCCCAGCAAATACTCGCAAGCGTCGACGCCTGATGCACGACTTGGATGAACCCGATGTTGTGGCCTGTCGACACACACGCGTATGGCAACACTTTTAAGTCGAGCGCTGCCGACTTCCACAAATCGTCCATGACGCGAAGGAGCTGGAGTGTGAGTTGGTCTTGGCGGAGATCGTCGCCGCACTTGAAGATGGTGCTGTGGAGCATCGACGATGACGGCGCCTGTTGCTTCATGGGAGTGAGGCACAAGAAGAGCGGCTTCTTGGCCGAGTCCATCACACGGCACTGGTCTGGTACAAATGATGTGTAAAACACGTTCGGATGCAGCGGTAGCTACAACACCAGTCAAACACCGAAGGAAGCGCACTGCCCAGGTCTAGGCGAACCTGAAAGCATTCTGGCACGGTGGCCGCGCCGAGTTGCTGGCGCAGCGTCGCATCACACGCTGCCTTGGACTGCTGCTGTTTCACTTGGGTCGCAATGCCCTCCAAGAGTCGCATCATGTATGCAGACTGGTACAGCTCCAACCGGTAGGTGCTGCAATGACACAGGTACTGCGTGCTGAGCAGTTGAAATCGTTCTAGCAACCAAGCATGGATCAAGACTTTGAATTTCAACGGAATGGTACCGTGGACATTGGGAAGATGCAGTTCGGCTTGGAGGAGCCAAAAGAGTGCGTACCCGACCTCGCTGGGAGACTTGACCGCGCGGACAAAGAGGAATCGCATGAGCGCCGAGTCGTGGTGCGGCTCGTACTTGAGCGCCTGTACAAGTTGCAGCAGGTACAGGCGCAAGCGGTAGTCTGGTAACGAATCCAAGCATCGCACGGCGTAGGCCCGAACAAACGGGTCCGGAAACTTGCGACTGAGCAACTGGAGCGCCTACACGTGGCGTATCAAGGGTTTCACCGGGTCTCGAGATCTACTAAAATGCACCTGGAGATATGTCGGCGCGGACCATCGATACATGTACGTGTACGCTTCCGTAACGTGGACGCGGTTGGCCCAGTCCACCGAGAGCAAGAACGGCATGAGCGCGGCGGGGATAGCTGTCAAGGTATGTCTACTAGTCCACAAGTATTCCTTGTGCTCTTTCGTCAGTGGCCGCATGGGGTCCTTCATGAACGCGACCAAAACGGGGGATGGTGCTGCGCTGTCGGTCAGACTCGGGGATGGCGCCACCAACGACGCGTTGGCCGCGATATCGTTGCTGCGGTACGTCAGCGGGTACTGGTACTTGGGAAAATCGACCACGATGTAATTGTCTGTTGTCGCATTCCGTCATCGACGAAGGCGAGCCAAAGAGACGCGCCTACCTTGTCGATGCGTCGACGGAAGTATGCATTCTTCAAACCCAATCGGGAGCAACTCGCCGTCGGACGCGTGGGTCAACCTCAGCGACACCGTGCCCGTGCGGAGAAAATGGTCGTACGAGAAGAGCAGCAACGCAGCATGGGCCAACAGCTTGGATTGCTTCGCCACCGTCTGGACACGCCACAGCACGTGCACAGCACGGGGCAGGCTTTGCACGGAGCACTGAAACGAGATGTCGCCGTCGAATTCAAACTCTTTCACGCCCGTGCCACTCAGTGCCGTGCCTCTCGTCGACTCGAGCATCACCTCTGGCACAAGCAGCTCGTGGCCGTGGTACAGTCCGACAGTGAGCTGAATGCTTGATGCCTTTGTCGCGAGCCGTAGAATGCGCGTCCGCAATCGCGACGGCGTCTCCACCTCCACATACCATGAGACACCACTGTGCCAAAACAACATGCCTCCGTACTTGCGAGACGGACCCCAAGCGGTGAGTAGGCCGGTCGCACTGCGACAAGTATGGCTGCATGAAAGTCGCTGCGAGCTCGAGCAAGTTCTTCTCATGACTTGAGTACTTGATCGAGTCGCTGATGACTTCCCACACGGCCAGGACGACGTCGGTCGTCTTGGCCTGGAAGACTGGCACAGCCAAGATGGATTTATGTTTTCTGTAAGCCACCCAGTCAACTTGGGGCATCGTGGTGACGTCGGCGGTCGCGACGGTCACTTGCACCGGCAGCTGATGGCGATAAACCAAACCTGGGATTCCCAGGGAAGTTGGCACTTGGACCCCTGGGCCCGTGTCTGTCGCAAACTAGTTTCGAACGTCACGCTTGGATCGATGAGATGGGTGCTACCTTGGTGATGAAGTGCGTGCCTCGTGGACTTAGCAGGAAGAGACGAATGGTGCTGGCATGCAAGACTCGAGCGAAGAGCCGCGCCATGCATTGAATGCAGTGGTCAAGGTCAAGTTCAGGTGATATCGAGAGCAAAATTTCGCGAATGAACGACTGCGGCGACACGACGCTCGGGCTGGTTGGGATCGTCGGTTCGTTCATCGAAATGTCGCGGGCCTCGTGGCGCAATAAGCCAGCCGTGTGACTCGCCCACTTTCGAAAACTCTCGCTCTGGCGAGCAAGTCATACGTAAGACAGAAAAATTGCACTCTTACGGCCTTGTTCGTGTAGCGAACGCTGTGCAGCGAAGTCGACAACGTTGGAAGCTTGTCGTTGTACTTGAGCACCACCTGACAACCTGTGAATCCACGGGGACGGATCGGCTTGCGTACCTCGCGAGGGATGGCCAATGCTTCGACTGGTCCGACAGCGACGCACTTGTATTGATCGTTTTTGCTGAGAAACTCGACGGGATCGATGATGTCTCCGCTGTCGCACATGACATCATCGTGATGGAACTCGCCGCAAGACCTCTCCTTCCCTGGAGCTTTCACCCATGCCGTGCCGCATCTAATAATGTAGACTGAAGACTCCAACCCCTTAGCAAAGATCGTGCTGTTGGCAGCATGCGATGTGACTTGAACATGTGCGTTCAAGTCCATCAGGGCAGTGCTGTCCAACGACTGAAACAACGGCACTGCACAAAGAAGCGAAAGGGACGGCATATTTCGCAACCGGCACATGCTTTCGTTCTCGTATGCTTCTTGCATCTTGTCTTTAGCCTTTTCCATGAAAACGAGCTGACGGACCGCTGTCTTGAACCGCTTGCGAATGGATACGTTGTTGGACGGGGACTTTACCGGCGTCGGTGCCGACGGAGGACTTCCAGGACGAACTACATGCAGCGGGGACGCATCCATCATGATGTGAATCTCTTCCAATTCCTTCTTGATGTCCACTAGCATCGACGCGTCCACTGCCAGCAGCGATGTCACTGAAGCCGTTTCCATCCCTTCGCTCATGTGGTATGATGGCTCAAAATCGAAAAAAATTTGTATATTTCCCATTTCTGCAACGGAGGGTATATTTTTTCTAAAGTGCATTCATCTATCCGATGGGTTAGTTGATGTGCACCATTGAATTTGAAGAGCCATGATAATCCATATGATAATTATCGTTGAATACAGAAAATGATTCAAATAATTTCACAAGAATTGTTGATAAAGCATTCCTCATTTATATTGTGTTCAATATTTATTATAGCCTTGCACGATTATATCTAGCCGTTTCATTCTCCATGACAGTTACATTGCATTGTGATTGGTCACCCTTCTGCTTTTCAACCAAGAGTTCCTCTTCACTAAAGGAAATGCAGCGCCTTGCATCGATGGCGAAGCTTGTGGTAGTCATGTTGGCGATGTTGGCCATGCTTGTTGTGGCAGAGACCGATGTTGACGATGCGTGCAGCCTATGCCAAGTGTACGAAGAATGCTTCGACGTTGTCCTGGACTGCCCCACGCCTTGTCCACCCATCAAAGCCTGCCGATTCAACCCCAACTACGTCGAGCTGTTACCCGTGGACTTTACTGCCAAGCCTTAGGTGACCAATGCCTTTGCAAATCTTTGCGTTTAATCTCAAATAATACGTAGTCCTTGATATCTCTCGGAGCTCTCTGTGTATCATGGATGCAATGCGATGGTCCGAAAGAGTGAGACCTATTGCTAACCTCTTGCTTGTATTTGGCATGGAGAATCGCGGCCCCAGAGTCCGTTTGCGATACACGTGTGGGTGTATATAATCCTTCCGATCATATGTTGACTTCTTTTTCGTCGCTGCAGCGCATTCGTGCTCTTCTCACGGCAGACGTGCGCGCTCGAGCCTCACTGGATCATTTCGTTTCGAACTGCAAATCGGTCGTACCAATTGATCCGGCATGCCCCTTGAGCATGAAATCTCAACAGGCCATCACGTCTCGTGGCATGCCTCCGTTATGTTGTTAAACAGGCCATCCGGGACGGTCCGTACGCGTGGTGGGACGTCTGCATTCGTTGACCAACCCAATCCATCCAGAGTCACACTGAGAATTCTCAACGGCGCCGTCCGGCGGCGGAGAAGCGGCGCGATATCCCCGCGCCAACCAGTGTCCCACTTCCAGCCAATCAGTGTGCGGACGATTGCGACCGGCAAAGTTATTGACAATTAAACTCCACGTAAAAAATAGCATCTAGGCTCAATTGGGTCATATATCAGTTGAAATAGGATGAATGCGCCTGAAATATAACAATTGGACTGGATTTTACATCCTTCTCCAAATTTTCACATGGATAATATTGTATCTCAAAAAAGGACCAGCAACGGAGGCCAGTAAGTACAATTTTCATGGGATTCAATTGCACTTTACTGGTGCACCAATACGAATACCAAATGAAGAATAAAACTCAGTATTTTAATATTGGTAATTGTTCGAAATAAAATGCGAGCAATCCGGCGCGAGAATTCTCCCACACTGAATCGATTGATTGTAACGGAAGAGCCGACGCCGACGCACTTGGAATCTGGGACCGCCGCCGCAATGACCGAGCAGCCAGCGAAGATCCGTGTGGGCGACCTGTACTGGAAGCAGGTTGGAAGCAATGGATGGGTGCTGGGAAAAGTGACTGCATATGACGACGACACCACCACTGCGACCTTCGAGCTCGTGGACGAAGACTCGGGTGATGTACAACGGCCCGTGCAAAAGGAGCTCGTCAACGTGACCGTGGCGCCGCTGTTTCCGTCCAACCCGTTATTTAGGTATATCCTGCCATCGTTTGAAGGGTATACTACCTGGTGCTGATGTAATCGTGATTCAGCACGTGCGCCGACATGACGTCGCTCCATCACCTGCATGAAGCCGCTCTGGTCAAGAACCTGCAGGATCGGTCCGTGCTCTCCAACCAACGCCCATACACGTTCATGGCGAACGTTTTGATTGCGATCAACCCCCTTCGATACCTGGAAGAGCCTGACAAGAACTCATATATCGGTCAGTCGCTGGACAGATGCCCACCGCACCCATACCACGTTGCCGAGGTATAGCTGTTGTGACTATCCTTGTTACCCTTCATGACGTCGTGATGGGCATAGAGCGCTTACCGTCAGTTGGCCACTGTCCGCCCCGTCATGCAGAACCAATCGATTATCATTAGCGGGGAGAGTGGGTCCGGGAAGACAGAAACGTCCAAGATCATCTTGGACTTTCTGACGGTGCGCGCCATGTCTAGCAACCGCCAGCATCGGCAGAGCGGAGATGATTGCAGCGACGAACCCGAGGTCACAACAAAGCAGCACAAGCGCGTGTCGCTTCGCCAAGCGCGCGTGCTTTCATCGTTTTCGAGCCGGGACATATCGTGTATGCTCACGTCCAACTCGGCGGTCACACTTGGCGAGCGTTTAATGGAGACAATCCCGATCTTGGAGTCGTTCGGGAATGCGAAGACACATCGCAACCACAACTCGAGTCGGTTTGGCAAGTACATGCGGCTTCAGTTTTCGTCGCGCCATCATGAGCTAACAGGAGCATCCATCGACACGTACCTCCTGGAGAAGTCGCGTCTGGTCCACCCGCCGACGGGCGAGCGCAATTTTCATATTTTCTACGAGCTGCTTCGTTCCGGTCGTGTGGACTTGCTCGATCAACTGCACTTGACGGCGTCGCTCGACCCCGAGCTCATGATCTCGTCATTCTACTACTTGAATCGATCGGGGTGCACGGCCAGCGAAATCCTTGACGACGGCACCAACTTCCACAAGTTGGTCGACGCCCTCCAGCTTGTTGGGATTGATGCGACAATGCAGCTTGACTTGTTTCGCCTTGTCGCGGGGGTGCTCCATCTTGGGAACGTCAGCTTTGACGAAGAAGAAACGGAGGAGGGTACGACCGCGTGCATCGGCCCCAATGGCCAAGAAGCGCTCGAGATTGCATCGTCGTTGTTGGGAATGCAGAAGGACCTTCTGTCGTGCGCGATGCTGAACAAGCGAATCACGCGGTCGACACCCGGGTCGAGTCGCCGCAATTCGATTTACTACCTCAAGAAAGACATCCGCCAGGCCACGTACTCGCGTGACACGATCGCCAAAACCGTGTACGAGCACGTGTTTACATGGCTCATGCGCCGCTGCGCAAGTGCACTCGAATACAACGAAGCGTTGCGTGACGTGCTGCCGTACATTGGCGTGCTCGACATCTTTGGATTTGAAGATTTTGAGCCGCGGAACCGCAACTCGTTCGAGCAGCTCTTGATCAACTACGCCAACGAAACCCTCCAGAGCATTTTCAACACGTGCATCTTTCAAGCCGAGCAAGAATTGTACAAATCGGAGCACATCCACGTCCCGAACAACGTGTCGCTCGCGTTTCCATTCCCACTGCACAAATGCGGGATCGACCAGCCCAAGGCAACTGGTGGAGACACGTCGGTCAAGTACGTGCATCGATGTCGTAGATGGATGGCCTGGAGCGTCTCGCTGATGACATCGTAGGCTGCTCGCAGAACGCCTGAATGACACGAGCGAACTCATCTCGTACGTGGACAACCAAGAGTGCTTGAACCTCATTGCGTCGCGGTCGGGTGGTACGTTTGCATGATGAATCGTCGCGGCCGTGGATGTTTGCTCAGGATACCCGAACGAATTGTAGGTGTGTTTTCGACCATCGATGCGATTTCCCGACTGCCTGGGCCGTCCGACCGCAAACTCAACGAACGTTTACACACGCTATTCAAGCGCCATCCTTGGTACGTCTCGCTCACGACCTGTGGACTTCTTTTTTTTCACGATGATGACACCACAGCTTTCCCACGCCGCATCCAAAGGAAGCGCACGAGATGTTTTGCATCGTGCACTACGCCGGCATGGTCAAGTACCATATCGAGTCGTTTATCGACAAGAACAACAACATTATTTCGGCGCAATTCGAGGAACTCATGGCGATCTCCAAGTCGTCGGTGCTGCAAGCCCAACCGCTCCTCTCGTCGGCGTCGGCAAACTCGTCGCCGCCCACCAGCCAAAAGGGCGGAAGTGTGACGCACATGTTCTCGGTGCAGATGCGCGGGCTCGCGAGCGAACTGGAAGGCACGCGATGTAACTTTATCCGATGCATCAAACCCAACGCCGAGATGGAGGTGGGTGTGTTTGACCGAGCCAGCGTCGTGGACCAACTCCGATGCTCTGGCACTGTGCAAGCGTGCTCTGTCCTTCGCGTGGGCCTCCCGACACGGATTTTGTACGCCGAAGTCGTCGACACGTACTTGCCGCTTGTCGGCCAGGAAACGTACGAGAAATTCAATTGCAACGAACGGCTCTTCACGCAAGCGATCTGTGCGGCGCTGGCCTTTCCTTCCGACGCGTATCGGTTGGGTGATACGCGCCTCTTCTTCCGCACTGGAAAGATCGACTTGCTCGACAAACTCCTAAACGTCAACAAGATGGAGGCGCACGTCCCCAAGATGCTCGTCAACTACCTCGTCAAGCGGCGATGGCTGTCGGCCGTGACCAAGGTCATGGTGTACAAGATGTGGGAAAAGGTGTTTGTCGAGTGCCGCTACCGCCGTTCGTCCATGACGATTCAGTGTTGGTGGCGCCAGTACAAAGCTCGTCAAGAACGCAAGTCGCTTGCCGCGCAAGCCCGCGTTGCCGCGATGCTGGCGAAGTGGGCCAAGAAACTCCAAGTGATGAAGTCGTTTGCTGGTAAACCCGACGAAAAGATCGAGTTGCTCAACAACTTGCTGGCGAAACCAGTCGTTCCGCGTGGCCAAAAGTGGCTCCTCACGTGGCTTGGGCCGTTGCAGCGTGCCATGTACGTACAGAAGCTGTGTCGCAAGGCATGCGTGGCTTTCCTCGTCAAACGTGGCTTTCTCTGGCTGTACCAACAAGTCCGAGTCAAGCGCGCCCAGCTGCTCCTGCAAACTCAAGTACTGTGTTGCGATTCCAGTACTCCATTATCTCATGCTTCCTTGTAGGCTCGCATTGTGTTAGCCAAGCGCCGCCTTCTACAACTCGTCCGGAAGCGCCGGGCCAAGAACCTCTGGCGCAAGGCGATCTTCGGCGCACGGGTTATGTCTATATTCAACCGCGAGTTCAACCGCGTGCATCTGCATCGACTGGAACAAGGTCACGAGGAGCTGACGGCAGCCAACTTGGCGCTGCATGCAAAGGTGGCGGACTTATCGATGAAGCTCGACGCGGTGGAACTGGAAAAGAAGCAATTGCAACGTCTCGTGGCATCCACGGCGACGGCACTGGCCGAGCGCAACGCGCGGCTGCAACTGCTGGAAGCAAAGATCAAGACGCAACAAGCTCAAGTCGTCCATCAGGACTCGCTGATGTTGCGCCTGTTTAAGTTTTTTACATGCAGCTCGTCGTCGTCGGCTGCTGCCAAGAACCATCGCCACGCAGTCGATGACTCGTCCGAGTCGTCCGTTGCCACGTCGATGAGTGACGAGAGTTCCTTTGCCGACGACGTATCTGTCAAGCCAGTCAACCTGGCGCCGCCTCGGCCGCGAAAACACCGTGCCAACAACCACGTGTGGAAAATTAGCCGTTTTTGCTTTTAAGACGCTCCGAGAGATGGCCGCGCACCGTCGGAAGTGCGCTGCCATGCCCAACCAACGCATTGTGTAGACCACGTCCTGTCAAGTCGATCGCGTGGCGCTGTCGAGAGCACCTTCTTCGACGGAAGACTTGCACGCGTCGACAACGCCAGTGGTCGGTGTAATTTATATACCTTTTTGAATGTCGATGCTCGAGAGGTGGACGGGTGGGCAGGATGCTTCGGGTATCGACGTTAGGCAAAAATCACCATGCGCTCGGCAATATCGAGGCGGCAGATCGGGCACCGCGTCACTTCCGAGTGGGTGGAGCATGGCTCGCACATACACACGTGGCGGCAAGGCAAGCACAGGATCGTTTTCTCGGCGGCGAGGCATATCACACACAGCTTGAGTTCCTGCTGCACTTCGACCTGTCTGTCTAGCGCCTGGCGCTGCTCAACGATCTTTTGTTCCTAACGAAACACTCAGCCAAGGGAGCGCTTGGACGATTCAACATTTCTACACACCTTGACGGCCCGTGCCTTGTACAGAGCCGTGTCGAGGGCATCCTCCAAGTCGCGCAGTTCCGGCACGCTGAGGGCGTGCAGTGCCTGTGTATTGCTATATCATCGCGCCATGAGAATCCCGTTTGCAACTCGGACGACAGACCCCGTGAGTTCATTCATGCGGCGCTGCAGCGACTCGATCACGCGTTCATTTTCACGCATCCGCCTGACATGCTCGCGATATTTGAGTTCGTTGACTTGAATGCGCTTCCGCAGCCCAGTTAAACTGTGCAGCGCCTCTTCCTGCTCGTGTTCCCGCATGCGATACTTGTCCAACATGCACTTGAGGTCTTCGTTCTCGAGCTAATAATTCACGTCAAATGTGAATTTTCGTTCCCACCAAGTGGGGCGCGTACCAGAATCGCGTCGCGGTCTTGCTCGACGTAGTGGATCAAGTACTCGAGTTGTTCGTTTCGCTGGGTCAAATGGTGCGTGTGATGATGCTGGTTGTCAGGGCCAGCGCCATCGTCGCCATCGTCGTCGGCTTCGCTGATCAAGTCCATTGCGTGCAACGTCATGTCGTTCGTGTCATCCTGGCCGTCCTTGACATTGCTTGTGCTTCCATGGTACTCTCGAAACAGCATCGATCGAATTGGTGGCTCCGTGAGACTCCATCGGAAGCCGTCCAGCGTCCTCGCGGCCAGCGTGGCTTGTTGGCGGTTCTGAAACTCGACGAATCCATGCCTACAACCACACGACATACACACGTCGTTGTCTGCAAGGCAAACCAACAAGTCAACGCACCCTTTCATGGTCATTCCGTTCGGCCCGAGTGGCAAAATCACTTGCAGCGGGATCGACACCATCGCAAACAAATGAACGAGCAGCAACTGGTGGATGGCGTCGACAACCATGTCCTTGTCGACCTTTGGAAGGTTTACTACAACCACAACGCATCCAAAGCTCGTCCCTGGGCGGGACGTTCCAAATTCGTACTGCGCCTGCACAGAGAGCAACAATCACCACGGCACTCGACAAAAATCTCGCAACTCGCACCATGTCAAATACTGGCCACGGAAACGTAGTGTCCGGCTGGATGGGTTGCATGATGTGTTGGAGCTTGTGAAGCGTGGTGTGGGTGGTCGGAAGCGACGCGCGAGACTCGGGCTCGGCCACCCCTTGATTGTCGACGGGTGCGGTCCCATGGTGCCGGTCCACGACGCATTTGACCAACTCGGCAAAGAGAAGCACGTGCTCATCCAGGTTCTCGCCATCCGATCGGTTGTTGTCCCGACTCTGCGTTTGGTAGTGCCCGTAACTGGTTTGCAGTGCGGACAGCGTGATCGACGCATCAAAGCCCAGGGCTACCAGGTGTGGTAAGAGGAGCTGAGGGATCGTCGTTTGTTGGCCACTGGACGGGGGTTCGTCCTCGATCTGGTCAGTATGGCCGTCACCGTCGAGGTCGTGAAAGTTCAGGTCGGATGAAATAGACGACAGAGTCGTGTTGTGCATATCGTTTTCGTCGTCTGATTCGTCGGAGAAGATCGCAGCATGAACGTTGTTGCTCGTCGGTGGGACGTGATGGCCTATGCGACGCACAAGCGGCAGCGCGGGAACTGGCCGGCTCTTTGCAGTGAAAGAATGCCGCCGACGTGCAGGAGGACGCGGCTCAAAAGAGCTGACGGGAGCTCCAGGGCCAAGAATGCGGTTAAACTGGGTTTGAGGAGACAAACAATCGGGGGAGAGCGGGTGGAGAAAGAACGGTGCTTGTGTGATGTTGATGGCCGGGGTTACATCGACGCTTCCGTCTTCACGATTTGCCTCGCGCAGAGATAGATGTGGCGTGTCAGGACAATCGGAAAGCGCCCAAATGGGCATCTGCCCTTGCATTCCGTCGCTTGGGTGGAAATCGATCTCGCCTTCTTCGCATGAATCGCTCTCGTCATAGTTGTCGTCGTCGTCGTCATCTTCACAATCAAACCGAGGGTCAAGCGAAATCCCCATCGGGGCTTGGGCTACAAGACTTGTAAGTTTACACTAATGAGCCACATCATTACGTTGTGGCGGCAACGGTGTCTCTGGGTCAACGTGGCTGTCCTTGTCGTACGGTCCAGTAGCATTGCGAATCAGCGCCATGAGGTAGTCAAAATCAATTCCATCTACGTCAACAATACATCAACTTCGCCGACATGCTTGCATTGCGCACGATCGCATCTCACCCCCGCCTGCTTCCGCCAAGTCCATCCCGAAGATCGCGTCCACGCCGCCGCCTTTTCCTGCAACTTTTGCACTGGATGCCGTGGCGGTTTTGGCCACGTTTAACCTGCGTTAAACTCGACGTGGCGTAGGACAATATTGTCGTCGTTTTTCGAACGAAATATGTTCATGACATTTACTAGAAGAGACGTTAAACCACGTTTTATCCGTTCATAAAGTTGTTCCAAAGGAATCCTCCCGCCGAAATTGGGCGATGACGGGCGCGCCGCTATCCTGTGCAGAACCTTCGGAACCTGGCCTCAACAAAGCCTGTGTTCTTGTTGAGCTTCATACCGAAGCGGTCCTTCGTATGCTGTGTGCCAACAGTGCCTCTCTGTGCATTGCATTCCTTGGTGTCAGGGGAACGTCGTACCTCGGACGGCAAGAGTGACGTGAACCCGTTCAATTTGGTCGCTTCCTTGCGCGCGAATTGTGTCGAGTTCTTGTATGAGCCAGGTCCGAGGGCTTCTGTCGTCGCAGCATGGAGTTTCGGAGCCCCTGGAATGTTGTGTACCATGGCGGCAGTCTGCAAGCACGTCAAGTCCGTCGACGTTGTCGATTGAAGTCCTTACCGACATCAACCGGTCTGCATTGGACGACATGGCACCATACTTAATAGTGGACGTCGCCACCGATTCTTGAATGGTGTTCTACATCACCCGTCGTGGCGTCTGGTGCATGCGCCGTCGTCACTCGTACCCGCAAGATGGATGGTTTCTCGTAGACGACGTCGGGCGGATAAAATATGCGCTGGGTTTTTGACGACGCATAGTTCTCTACACCGCGTACATTATGCGTCGCTCGTGGGGATCTCTTACCTGGAAAGGCCGTGTCTGAGCGGAATCGCGGCGTCTGCGACATGGTCGCAGCGCATCCGGCGGGTTTCCCGAGGGTAGAGGCCTCGGATTTCTTGATCGGCGACGACTCCATGTACTGCTAAACGCCAACAGGTCATGCCTTCAATCGAGATGTAGATTCGGTGCACAAACCAAGCGGGGTGTGTCAAATCGCGCCGTGTGGCTGGCATACGTATAGTTCTCGCCTTGGATGTCTTTGATTCGAAGCGTGTGCATGCGCAGACGATATGTGCCAGGACCCATGTCTTCAGGGTTGCTAAACAAACAACGTTCGTCTGTGTCCGCCGCGGATGCATGCGGCAGTCTCGACAGGTTCAAATGGAACGGGACAAGAAGGCCAGCACCACGAACGACGACGTACGCATACGGCTCCTTGACGACACTGGCAAACGATCCGAGCTTGTACGCTGGTGTGCTTGCGAACCGATTCGTCCTGGACCTGGCCATGCAAGTGGGAAGGTCCAGCCTCTCTCGCCAAGCAACCCTACTTGAATGCAGCCGAATACGCTACGGTGGACGTCTCAACTGCTGTAGACAAAGTCTAGACCGTGAACAATCGACGTCAGGAGGGACTGCTGGTCATCGCGATCGAGAAGACCGTTTTGTCGCCGTGGTCGACGTCGTAGATGGCCAGGGGAACATTGTTGTCGACGCACTGGACCCCGTACGGCCGCCTCTCATCGCGATGATGCGATCGATTCCGCTGAGCTGTTCGCGCCATTCGCGACGCAAATACGCGCTTCTGTTCGTACGGGTCGAGAGCAGCAGGCAGGATTTGCTTGCTACATCGATCGTGTCACGGGATGGTGGCGACGAGTCACAAATACCTACATGCAATCGAATGGGTTCGTGGATTCATTCACGGACTCGTCTGTTGACGTTGTGCGTCCGTTGCTGCGCTCGCGTCGCAGCATTTGCCGTTGCGATGCCTTGGATGCCTACGATAGCGTTAGCCAGCTGAGGATGGCAGCGCATGTACGTACGCAAGTAAACGCCACCGCGTGGGTCGTGGTTGGTGGCATTTCCACCATCGACCGACTCGTCGATCGCGCGACTCACTTGATTGAAAGTTGTTGACGTCGGGCGCGGGCTATTTTTGGTCGGCGTCACGCATGCAAAGGCTTCAGTTTGGAAAAGAAATTCCCCCAACTTTGTGATTCGTGAGAGGATTTAGGGATCCCATCGCGTGGGAGTGGAATCGCTCGTGAGTGTGCCTGTTGTTCCCAATGCACCTCCGCTCAGCTCTGGCTTCAGTACAGCGCGACTGCATCCTCGCCTTGCCTTGCAAACGTGGCCATCACGACTTCTAGCAGAGATGCACTCGACATCTGTCTGCATGGGGGGGGGGGTCGGAGGGCACCTGGAGCTGGGGTCGTGCCCACCGCCTCTATGATTTCACATGCAATCTCTAGTGCATTCGTTGCGGCGGTACTGCATCCACTGGTCAACAACCATGGCTCCTTGCCCCTCGAATCCCCCCCCTGTCCGTTGGTAGTTCCATGTCATGACTGTTTTTCGACACACTAACGGCAGGCGAAGCGAGACATCGTGATAAATAATGGCATGCTGAGAAATTCATGCATCCTGAATGCTCTTGGTATGCATATTCATCCTATGCGCCGAACCCCGCCGCCACGCACCGCCGTAGCAACCTGATGCTGCGCATAGCTCCAAACTTCGAGGATGAGGACGCCCACCTCATGGGGGATCGATTGTTTGCCAAAGGATGTCAACCCTGGAAGTCCCAGCACACGCACGTGGCATCGCACGCTGGCTTGGCTCCGAGGTCCGATCAAGGGCTGGTCGGACTGGCACTTGCACCCAAACTCGGCCCGCGCTCTGCCGCAAGAATCCCATGGAAGTTCTTCGTGGCTGTTCGCGGATGCCATTCCACCCAATCAGCGAATAGGATCCGCCTGCAGCGAATCAAATCCATTTTAAATAAAAACCTTCGTACCTAGCCACCACGCCATCTCCTACAAAAATAACGTCATTATTATTGATTATCTTGAAGGCATCCATGATACGTATTTTAAATTTCTTGACGAAAATCCACGTCGAATAGATCTTCCATCAGTCGAGAAAATGCCCAACCCTGTCGTCCACGTGCTCGATTACGGCGCGGGCAACGTCCGCAGCCTCAAGAACGCCCTGCATGCACTGGGTTACAATTCTGTTGATGTCGAGCGCGTTGAAGATATCGAGAACGCGTCCATCCTTGTCTTTCCTGGCGTTGGGAACTTTGCGCAAGCCATGTCGTTTCTCACGACCCACAACTACGTCGACGCGTTGAAGGCATACATCCTTGCGAACAAACGATTCATGGGAATCTGCCTTGGCATGCAAACGCTCTTTGAGGGAAGCGAAGAGTGCCCGGGAGTCCCTGGTCTCGGGATTGTTCCGGGCCTTGTGGCGAAGTTTCCATCCGAAAACTTGGCCGTTCCCCACATCGGCTGGAATGGCGTAAGTGCCCATCAATCCTCACCGATCTTTGCCCATCTGGATGCATCCACCGACCCCACGGTCTACTTTGTGCACTCGTTTCGAGCGTCACCTTCGACCGTAAACAAGTCATGGGTGCTCACAACGACCAACTACGGTGCGTTCGAGTTCATCAGTGCAATCCAGCATGGGAATGTCGTGGCCACACAATTTCACCCCGAGAAAAGCGGAGCCGTCGGCCTTCAGATGTTGCGTGGGTTCCTGGAAGGTGCGGCTCCCATAACCCTGGCCAACGCGACCTCACCCACTCAACTGCGCAAGCGCGTCATCGCGTACGCCCATTACTCCAACTCTCTCCAGTCTGACTCGTCGTTCCTAGGTGTTTGGATGTCCGTGCCAATGATGCTGGGGACCTCGTCGTGACCAAAGGAGATCAGTACGATGTGCGTGAAGCATCGAATGAAGGTCAAGTACGCAACATGGGCAAGCCCGTGGATCTGTGCGCTCGCTACTACTCCGAGGTGGGAATAGGGATCGATACGGTGGCTTGTGTTTCCTTCCGCGCTTGACTTGGATGCGCTTTGATGCTTAGGGCGCGGATGAAATTGCATTTCTCAACATCACGAGCTTCCGTGAGCAACCGTTGGACGACTCGCCGATGCTGGCTGTGCTCGAAGCGTCGTCGGCCCGTGTGTTCGTCCCGCTGACCGTCGGTGGGGGCATTCGCGGGTACACGGATGCCACCAAGCGACGGTGGTCGGCCCTCGACGTGGCCGCGCGGTATTTTCGCGCTGGAGCGGACAAAATATCGATTGGGAGCGACGCAGTGGATGCTGCCGAAGCGTATTATGCAGGGGCGTCGCAATCGGTCGACATCAACGAAAAGAGCTCGATCGAGCAAATCTCGACCGTGTATGGGCGTCAAGCGGTCGTCGTGTCGGTGGACCCCCGCCGCGTGTACGTCGACTCGGTTGACGCGCACACCGCCGTCGTGGAACTCAAGCACAAGTGTGGGCCTCAAGGCGAACGCTTCTACTGGTATCAAGTGGTGTTCAAGGGCGGTCGCGAAGGTCGTGCTATGGACGTCGTGCGTCTTGTGCAGGTATGGCTAGCATCTCGTCGTTTTGAGCACATCCTTTCCCGACATGGAAGGCCGACTGACCTTTCGATAAACTCAATGCGATGTGTAGGCGTGTGAAGCATTGGGCGCCGGTGAAATTCTCCTCAACTGCGTCGACATGGATGGACAAAATGACGGCTACGATTTGGACTTGATCTGTCTGGTGAAGGCTGCCGTGACGATTCCAGTCGTGGCGTCGAGCGGTGCGGGCCGCCCGAGTCACTTTTCCACCGTGTTTGCGTACGTGAGGTGGTGTTGTCCATCGAGATCGTGACTGGATGAACTGTGTAGAGAGACGGGATGCGATGCCGCGTTGGCCGCGGGAATCTTTCACCGTCAAGAAGTCACGATTGGTGACGTCAAGACGCAGCTCCGCGTCGACGGCGTGCCTGTGCGACGTTAGGCAGCGAGAGATGAGTCCGTTCTTGGTTGGATGGTAGTATTGCGCTCAACATGATTATTCACGAACTACTTTTTTCGTACTCTTTTCGAAAGAGCACCTGCCGCGGCGGCCGACACTCGTGCATCTTGGCTTCGTCGACAGTGATTCCCAACGCATGCAAGATCATGAGGACGTGGCTTTGCTGCTTTTCGATCGCCTTTCGCATCTCCGACACCTCCGCCTTGCCCTTTGTTTCGACTAGGACAGGAATTTCGTATTGAGGTTTTGGAGATGACTTCACATACCTGCCACGAGCCTCTCTTCAAAGGCGAGGACGGCAGCTGCAAACTTGTCTGCGATTTTGGCCGCTTCGACCTGTCCCCTTTCACGAGCTTTGAGCTCCAGTCGCTGGGCTTCAATGATCCCAATCAAACTTGCACGCTCCCTACCATCGAATGAACACACGTTGCATGCACCCGCTAAAAAGGAGCATGCACACTTGTCCCAGGTCGGAGGCGGTGGAGGCGATGCGTCGCCCCCTTTGTTGTTGTCGATGGCGTCTTGGCCTTGCCGCTCCAGTGGCATCGCATGGATGTCGAGCGGGTGCTTCTTCGGGGACTCGGACCGCGCACGCGTCAGCGTTGGAACGGACGGCGGAGACGAATCCTACCAACCGATGGTTGAGAACGACGTCCCAACACCCTGCTTCGGACGTACCCGTCGGGTTTTGTTGCATTTGCTCAATCGAAATGGCTTCACAGTCGTCACTACATCAAAATTTTTGCCCGTCGAGGCAAAGAATTGCCTGCAAAATCGTGTCAACACGTGAATGAATCCCGTTCCAGCCGTACTTTCGAAGGGCTTCGTCCGAGTTGACTCGTGCACGTTGCTGCCGTGCCACGTGCACCTGGGTGGCGTGGATTTCAGAATGCGCCGTCAACTTGCTACCCTCCACGACACGCTTGACGTCGTGCTTGTTTGTCTACGCGATGGTGTTGACGTGTGTCGGGCGTCCCAGGATCTCGTACCTGTGGAGAAAATGTGCACTCTTCGTGCTTGGCATCATCCAGCCGCTTCGATTCGTACGCGATCTAGTCATGCAAACGATCAAGTGTCAGCGGTGGTCTCTTGGAAGGCTCGAGGTGGCAGCGGACCCGCTTTTCCCCATGCCGCTTCCACTTCATCTGACGGTCATATGCCGTCGCCATGGTTTTTGGCGCTGCTCCAGTTTCGGCAGTTGACCATATCGTGACTTGTGATTGGCTGGTGGAATTGAGCGGTTTCATGTCAAGGCGGGCGACGGCGGTGCCGACGCCGTCGTTCGAGAAGACACTCCCATGGGAGCATGCCGTGGGAGCGACCCCCCTTGATCGTACCGTCAAGGTCGGGAAAGATCGGCAGCTCTTCTTTGAACGACACAACGAAAGGCCCAGCGCGATACACGTCGATCACATCCAAGACGTCGGGCATGCAGCCTTGCACTTGGCCCACCGAGTTGATTCGGTCAAGGCGGTCAACAAAACGCCGTCTTCCATCATCATAATCCCGGACAACGACTCCGACAGCGCGTCGGATGAAGAATTCGAGTCCAAGATGCATCAAGACGACCTTGTATTTGTACCAGATACCGTGACACGGCATTCATCCTATTCGACTAGGATCGCATTCTGATGGCCGAAGAATGGGACACGCGCTTTTGGAATCGCATCAAGATTCATGAAGCTATCAACACACTATACGCTGAAATCGAGAAGAGCCCTGACGTCGCGCGCCGCCGCCTCGCGCATAAAATGCTGCTTCATCTCAACACCCTCCACAAAGGTTCGTTCCTTCTCGCTCTTCTTCGGACACTGACCGACCTTCTAGAGGCGTACATGACCAATGAGAACAACTTGTGCACTCTCTCGAACAAAGCGTTCCGGAAACTCACCGTCCAAACCAAGAACGACGCTATCTACAACATCGCAGAGCTCTTGGCCGTTTTTGCAGGACCGTTTGCTGCAGCACTCGCGCACGAGAACGCCGTCCTGCGGTCCTTGACTGTGCTCCTTCGGCAAATGGACTGCGCTGCGCGAGTCCTCCAGCACTTTCGACGACGACGGCAGTTTGAGCGGCAGCTCCGGACTCAAGACATCTCTGTGGAGGCGAGGATGCGAATGCGCGCGATCAACGCGGCCAAGTGCATCGAACTCAGTCGACAGCAACGATGCATCCATGACGCACTGGGCCACGCACCGATGCCAGAGCGAGCTGTCGTGGCCTACATGACCATCATCACGACCCTTGTCCAGGATGAGTTGCGCATGGCCCACGGGTTTTCTCGTCACGACCGCGCCAAGATCATTCCGGCCGGCGGCTTGGTCTGGTTGAATCAGTGCGTCAAGCAGCACCACAGCCCAACCCTCGTTTCGCTGACGACGCAGCTCCTCACGGTGCTGGCCCACGACACGGACCGAATAGCCGACATCTTGCGGAGCAACGTGGTCGTTCATGTAGCGACAAACTTAATCCATGCCACCAACGACTCTGGTAACTATTCGGCATCTCGAGACGAATCGTTTCGCTCACTCGATTATACCCTAGACAAGGCGATGGCGATCGCGTTTTTGGATCGCGTCGCCTACACAGTGTGCCAAGTCGTCGAACAGCAGCGCACGGGCGACTCCAGCGATGCGTCCGATGTTTCTGGTCCCGTCATGTCGACAAAGAGCTTCCACAGTCTCACGAGGAGTCTCTCGACCAAGAGCACACGCAGCAATGCGAACGGATCTCCTTCCCGCAGACGAAACACCGCCGCCGACGACGACGAGAGAGATGCTGCATACCGGAATCGCCACTTGTCTGCCATTGTACTCGAGCAGTTTACAACGCCAGCCATTCTTGGCATGCTGCTGCAAGCGCTAGACGCTACCGTGTCGTCGTCTTCTTGGGCGCTCACCACCTCTCTCCTGCAGGCACCGGCTTTGTGAACTCTTTTCAATGGAACTGACGATGTTTTCACAGGTGCTGCACAAAATCGCGTATGATGTCGGGTACGTCTTGCTGCTGGACCTGGTGACTCGAAATGCAGGCCGACACGTGGCAACGATTGTGAAGTGCCTTGACGACGCGGGGGGAACGACCGAGGTCGTGTTGGCAGCCCTTCAAGTGCTTATGGTGCTGGCGGCGCGAGAAGAAGGACGCGATATGCTTACACTGGTTGGCCTTGTGCAAATGGTGCACCCGCTGTGTGCGCCAGGGTTTCGCGCTCCGAACAACAGTCTGTTCCATCGAAGTTCCTCCAGCTATCTCAAACCTGAGGCTAGGCTACCGCTTCGTCGTCGGACTACTTCCGATAGTGCTCTGCGCCAACCCAGTCAACTCGTTGCTGGCGTTTGGAATATCGACCCCACGGAACGCCAAGACGGGTGCATTTGTCCCGATGACGTTGCTCGTGACGCCCCAAGCGTTGCTCGATCACGTCCACGCGTGCTTGCTGCATTGCTGTACAACGGACACCTCTGGCCACAGCGCACAGTACTTTTTGAAAACCAACGCATTGACTCTTGTGCTCGATCTGCTCGTCCAGCCGGCAGGTGCAACCGTCCAAACGCGCTCTCAGCGGTAAGTAGAGCACCTGATCGCTTCAATTGCCACCACGTGATCGTCGGGCGACTGTTCCATAGCCACATCAGCGCGATTGTGCTGTCCAACTTTTGTCGTGTCGCCAAAGTCGCGTCGATGCTCGCATTTCGCCAAGACATAGCGACACACTTGGCTGTGGTGGTCCAGTCGAACCGGATGGAAGAGAGCGAAGCTGGCGGCTGCGAAAAGTTTGGTCCAGTAGGTCACCAGCGGCACCTCCAGAGTACTGCCGAAGCTTGCCGCGCGTTTCTACGGATGCTGCGATGCCAGCGCCAGACCTTACAGCCGCGCAGTATTGTGCTGGCAACGCAAGTCTTCTTTCTTCGGACGCTATTGAAGCTGCATGCGCTGGAAGACATCGTGGAGAGTTGCCGCCCTGTCAAGTAAGCTAACCAAACAACGCATCCCACGAATTTACCATGTTGCACAGTACCGTCAGCGACTTTGTTGCGGACGACATCGAGGTTGTCAAGTGTGCCGTACAACTCGTGGGACAGCTCTTTCCGTCGTTGTCGCTGCTCGAACTTCAGACGTGGCCAGCCTCGAGCTCCGTTCAGGGCGTGATCCTCGAGGCGTCAGGAATTGCGGATTTGGCGAGTCGACTCGTTGCGATGTAATTCATGCCCTACACCTCGTTCGGCGAGTCTCATGGTAGCGCAGGGCGACACCTGCGCTACTCCACACGCTGGCCGCAGATGATCCATTACCGCGAGTCGTGAAGTGGTGCTGCGGCACCCTCGCACAGCTCTGTTCCACCAACGTTACTTGCGTCCACGTGCTACAAGCGCGATGCTTGGATGTCGTCGCGAGCTTTGTGCCCAACGTCCCGAGCGACACGATGACACCAGCGCCGCACGTCGTCAGCCTATGCGAAAGCGCCGACGATGATAAGTGCACCGATCTCTCTGGCGCATCGTTCGGATTGTTCATATTGTTTTCTTTGTAGGTTGGCGTCACTGCCCCCGACGTTCTACACGCTCCTGGCTATGCTTTGCAGGCTGGCCGACGGCCGCGCTGCCATTTACCGCCTCAACATCCTGCCGCGAATCCTCAAGCGATTACACTTCGCCTCCAGTGCCAAAGGGCTCACCCTTCATGACCACCAGTGCCGAAGTGAAATTGCCCAACTCGTTGCCGCGATCGCCAACGAAAACATGATTGTCGTCGGCAACGTGAATGAGCTGTGTCTGCGCCACCATGTCCACACGATCCTCGTGCAAATGCTACATCCATCGTTGCCATCAAACATGCCACAGGCGTTGGGACCTGCCTTGTAAACTGCTTCTCTCCTGCGATTCGCGTTGCTTGATACCCCCATGACTCGTAGACAAGAGAGTGCGCTTGCTGCATTGAGTGCAATGTCGAAAGATCACGTCCGCATTGTCCCAGCGCTGATGGCCGTCGGCGTCCTTCCCCACATATTGTCGTTCCTGGCTCGATGGGACGACGACCCGTCCGTGTCGATGGCTATGCTGGACGGCGCTGTCCTGGTCATGTGGGGGATGGCCCAAAGTTCGTCGGAATCGATTCAAGCAGCGATCAAAGCTTCCAAGGTGTCGGAACACCTCTTGCGAATTGGGTGTTCGTTTCGATTGGAAATGCTCAAGGTCGCCATATTCGGCGAAAAATCGATCGGGGAAGTCGCGCGCGAGACGCTGCGTCACTTGAGCGAGTTCCATGCCAAACGATCTTCAAGTACTTCTCGTTCCGCCATTGTGTGGTTGACGTGACCAACATAGCTGCGTCGAATAACAATGCCTCGTTGCCGCCATCGCCCACGTCCAGGCAGCCCTCTGCGGCAACATCACCCTCGAGGTCTGGTGCAAAAAAGCCTACCAGTCTCTGGAGTCGACTTGCTACGATCTAGGCGGCCGGCATCCACTAACGCCAGTGGCACACCTGAGTCAAATATCATTCTACCATCGCTCGAAGCGTCGCAGCCTCCACCGTGCCCACCTTTGAAAAGCCCGACGACTTCCAACTTGCCTACGTTGGACTGGAGGTCCACTCGACCGCTGGGGCCCAAACCAAAAGCGCAACCTATGACTGTGCAGTTCATCCGACCCAAACCAAAGCCCATGGACGAGCGCAAGAAGTACCCACTCCTGATGCTCGACCCGGTCTTTGGAGCACTGGATCTCGGAGTCGACCCATGCACAGCCGTCGCCGCGTCTCCTTCCAGAGACAACTCTCATCCTGCAAGCACTGCGTATGTGGGCCACGTATCGTCTATCATGGGCCACCACGTGATCGTCAGGGTTCAATCTCCTTCTTCCCCTGAAGTTGACGTAGTACCGAAGGCGCTGGGTGGCTCATCGAGCACTGGCGCGCTCAACACGTCGTCCCAGCGCAAACGGTTAGGATAAGCGGCGAAGAAAACATGCATCCTTCATCCAGCATGACTATGGATGCGTCCATGGTGCTGCTCTCGGGACGCCCACGTCAGTGTCATTTGAAATTCCTACTTGACGGTTACATGTCCTAGGAAAAACTGACATGGTCGATATGCGGATATATACAGGCGAGTGTAACATTGGTATGTTTTCCAATTTACTGCATCAATTTCAGATACAAAACGGGGAAATCTGTACAGAGGTGTATTTTGACTAACGACTCGTTTTCGAGCTTCGGAATGTCAGCAATCTTGCACATGAGTTTCGAAAATCCAAGATTGTGGCCACACTTCGACTCGACGACGACTGTGTGCGTGCCAGCGCCGGTGTGCCGCCACACGATGGAGCGGCGATGGAGCAGCATTCGACAAGATGGGTTCAAGACGCAATGCCACGCGCTTTGGGTAGGGCCAAAGGTTGTGTACCGCGTCACAATTGAAACAACCATCATGAACGACAGCCAACAAGATGTGTTGTGGGTTGCAGCCATCAGCAAGTCGAAGCTCCAAATATTTCAACACGAAATCATGCCCCTCTTGCAAGCCAACGACACATCTATGGGACCTCGCAGCCACGACGGCGAAGTCGAAGCATTGATGAATCGTGTTGACGAAGAAGTGCAGCGTGTGCTTGGAGGCATCTTCACCGATTCGACCACGGACCACAAGGGAGAGAACGTGGAGAGCTTCGTGACGTCGCTCTTGAACGTGTTTGGACTCCTCACTAGCATTCCTCTCGACAACATCGACACCTCGCTGCTCACAAACGAAATGCTCCAATTCTACGTCCTGCTGCGAAACTTTCTCGCCATTCCCGATGGTGTTCAGCACGCGCGAAACAAGCTCGCGCTGGCTGTCTTGAGCATGAAGGACGTGGAGGATTTGCCAGGAAATTGCTGCAACGGATCGTGCAGCATATGCCTCGAGCCATGGGACTGCACCCCAAATCTTCCACCGACAGTAAAACTCCCATGCGACCACGTTTTCCACGAGGACTGTGTCATGGTGTGGGTTCGACAGAGCGTCAAGTGCCCCGTCTGTCGTGCGCCGATCGGCCAGATTCCCCTTCGTTAGGATATCCCTTTTATTTAACCATTCCCACCCGATCTCTGCATGACTTATCGTCAACTGTGGCACACGCCATCCCATGACTTGGGAGGCGTCGTCGGCATCGTTTTGTACGCCGCCTCCCCTTACCTACTAATCAGACTCGGTACAAGACATGGAATCGTTCTATGCCGAGGAAATCTTCGGCTGACTACACCCACCACGAAACTCTTCGCAACCTCGTCCCCCTCTTCGGCACACAGTGAGCATCGTCGACAACGCCGTGGACCGTCACGACCATGGCGGACTCAACCCAAGAAGGTGACACGATGAAACCGTTGCTGCTGGATAAACCCTTATCAAATGATATTAGCATTTTATAAAGGTTGAGGTTTCTATTGGCCGACGCGATTCTTTGGTTGGAATCGACAATTCCGACAACCAGCGCGTCATCACGATGGGAAACCTGCTCCATTATGGCCCTGTGAAGAAGCAGATCAAGCTGCGCAGCAACCAACTGATCAAGTTCGTCAAGCCCATCGCGCACTATGGTTTTCTTCCCCTTGTCATCTACCTCGGTTTGAGCACGGAACCCCAAGCCGATTTGTTGATGGTCCTGTTGCCGTGGGTCCAGCCCGACGCGCCGGCAGGTTCTGGCGGGTACTAAGACTGCCACCCAGCCAGTTAGGTAGAAAATTCTACCTACCTCCAACCCAACGACGACGACATCTCCATATACACCTTACAATACCAACGAATCATCAATCCATGTTATGTATACAACCAGCATTGCGGCGCCTAGCACTTCCAGATGCGGCACGTGTTGTCCTTGGACCCCGTGATAATCGTGTCGCCTTCGTAGTTGAACGCACAACTAAAGATTTCGTCAGTATGGCCTTCTAGCATCTGCAAGCAGTCGCCCGTCTCGACTTCCCACAGTCGCGCGACCTTGTCGCTGCTCGCCGTGAGCACCTTGGAGCCTTGAGGATTGAACGTGACTTTGGATATTTCAGCTTCATGGCCGATCAGGATCGCCTGGCATGCCCCCGTCATCGTGTTATAAATTCGCGACGTTCCGTCCGCCGACGCCGTCACGAGCTTGGACCCGGTCGAGTTGAAGCTCACGTCCAAGATCTCGTCGTTGTGCCCTCGTAACGTCTAGCACAAAATCCATTAGCATCATTCAAGACCACCAAGATATTCCAGTCTAACCTGGACATTCTGGCCACTCGCGACGTCCCAGATCTTGCAAGTGCGATCGATGGACCCACTGATGCAAAGCTCGCCCGTGTAGCTGAATTGGGTGCTCGAAATTTCACCGTGATGGCCTGCCAGCGTGTGGATGCAACTAACCGCATCCATCGTTAGACGTCGATGTCCATGGTGCAGGGGATTCGCACCGGCCACTGCGAACGTCCCACACCTTGACCGTATGATCGAAGGACCCGGTAATGATCTTGTCGCCTTGGGCATCAAAGTTGAGGCTCACAATTTCAGCAGTGTGACCCTACAATGCGCGAACTGAGCGACACGCAGACGACGACGGGCGTACGAGCAACGTGTGCAGCTCTTGGCCCGACTCGACGTCCCAAAGCTTGGCCGTGTTGTCCATCGACCCCGTAGCGATGACCGTGCCTTGCGGGTTGAACGACAAGCACACGATCTCGGTCGAGTGGCCGCGGTAAGTGTGGTAGAGCTGGCCCGTGTCGGCATTCCACAATTTGCATGTTTTGTCAAAGGAACCGGTGATAATCTTGTCCCTACGCTCGCCAGGTCAGTGGGAGTCGAGAAGGATGGGATGACGCATGTACCCGTATGGATTGTTGAACGCGATGGCGTACACGACGTTCTTGTGGCCCTCAAGAGTCAATAGCTCGTCACCGCTCTGCGTATCCCACACTTTGCACGTCCGATCGTAGCTCCCCGTGATGAACCTACCACAACGCTCAGATGAGCAATCTATCCAATCCACAGGTGAAAGTGAGTGGTCGTACTTGTCGCCGGACTTGTTAAACGCGCAGTTGGTCAATGGCAAAATGTGCGCACGCAGGATCTTGAACAGGTAAAAATCGCTGTTGTCGTTCACTTCAAGCTTCTCGATTAGTTTGTATATCAGCCGTCGCAGTTGCGGCTTGCGAGATTCAGAGATCAGGGGCTCTTCAAACACGATTTGATTCACGAGGACTTCAATGTCTGACCTACAACACCGAGAGTCGTCTCGGCCACGGGCATCAAGTCGCACACGTACTCGGCTGTCAGGTGCAGGAGGTCAATTTCCTTCATTTCTCGGGTGGCATCGCGCAGCTCGTACTCAAGTATGATACCCGGCGGGTAGTAGCGCAGCAGGAATCGCTTTAGCTTCATGTGTCGCGACGCGGTGGCGCTCCGAGATCAAAAGATCTTGTGTTGCGACTTGAATTGGCCCAAATCGGCATGGCTTCTCAAATTTTTATAGAAGTTGTACTTGAGATTTGTATGCAGACGCCTTAATAATTCCTGCGACTTTTCGCGTCGGCAACCCGACCAACCGGATTGCATCCGGATATCCAATGTTCCAAACGACCTCACCGTTTGGCAGTTTCAGCGCTCGTTGTTCGAATTGCGAAACGGCGTCGGCCGTCGTCGTGAGCCCGCGCCACGAGACTCTTCGGCCTCCAATCATCTCCAACGTCGACAAGGAGCTACTGATTTAAAGGCGAGAGACCGCTCGTTTGAGCTTCACAATGAATAGAGCAAGTCCTCTTCATTGCAGTGTCCCACGGCGTTTTGAGTCCATGTGCAGGCGAGGTGACCCCATGCACACCAAGCTCGGTATGCATTTGCGATTCTTCGTGTAGCTGGGTGTGTTGGACCACCAAGGGAGCTGGAATGTTGGGCGGTTGAATTGACATCGATGGGAGCCGGAGATGCCAACAAATGTGCTGCTCCGCGAGAGGTCGTCCAGCTCGCAAAGCGAAAATTCGAAGGCGCTGATAGGATGACAACTCGATATTTCGTTCGCCAGACGAGTTGTGTCAATGCACTGTCGTCGGTGCTTTACGACCCGTTCCCAACCAGGATCGCCCCTTCGTTCCTTCAACCAACGAGAACCCAACCAAGTGATCCACGCCGACGAAGACGATTGCGTGAACCACAAACTGTGATCTTGTGAGAGAGCGGCTTAGCGTCGGTCCAAATCAAGGCTTTCATTGAATGCAAATCTCTTTCGGATGGCCTTCGCCATCGACCGTTTGTATGTCGCCATTACCGTCTGGCTGGTGCTGACCGCAGTTGTACGATCCGTCACGTTGGTGGTGACAATGATGTGAAGGGAATTCGTTCTCGGAACATCTTCAGCGTCAAACTAACCTGTCAACATCGCTACAGCTCGAGGTAACACATTCGGGGATTGGGAGCATGACTGGCCTCTTGGGCTCTGCGCGAATGGAAGCTCCAAGTGAAGCGGTCGTGACAGGTATGGACGCTGGATCTGGCACCCACCCGTGTCAATGGCTCTGAAACTGGAGATTTGATCTGTCCGGTTCACGGACACAGTTGTACGGCGAGCCGCCTCAGACCAAGCCATTCAGATTCGACAACTCGTCACCTGCCCCAAGCTATTCTCGACATCACGAAACCGTCGGACACACTTTCAAAAGATCGAATCCACTCCCGACGTGATTTCCTAAGGTAGCCCGCATCATGACGATTATGCTGAAAAACTCCTTGAAGCACGCCGAGTTGCATCTTCAGAGGATGAGCACGCGTGACGTGGCGAGCCCCCACGATTGGTATGCCACGGTCGAAGCATGCTTGTTAATGCAGTGCATTCCATGCCAAGTCCAACCACGGGAATGGCGATCGCCATTTTCCATGTCTCTCTTTGCTGGTGTTCGAGAAAACAATGCACGACAGCTCAGTCACTCTTTTTGCCCCAGCAAGCGCTCCCGATCGCACTGCCACTGCACGTATTCAATCGAGTGCTTTGAGTGCATCTACTCTGTCGCACCATTGGCGAGATTTCCATCGGCAGATCTGCATGATAGTCGACGAGACGATGCCGCCCCCGACGTCCACCCGATCCTACCACCGGACCCAACCGCCTTGTCCGATGGGCTACCGCACCCCGTTTGCCTTCGTTTCTATGATGACCGTCTCGCCGATGGCTGGGTTTACCTCATGTCGTTCGCCCTCGTGTCGCCGTGTGACGTTGATCCAGCGTCGGCATGGCATCGCTTCTCACGATTTCGTGAGTGCTCGTCCCTATTGTGCAACCTGTGTTTCTGTCGTCGCCTGATGTCACGGCCAAGGACTGTTGGAGCGCCCCCGATGTCACACGACCAAGCACACGATGCCCACGATAGTGCCATGGGCGAAATGTCTCGAAATAGTTTAACAGACGGCTAAACGAGGGCAGTAAAGGCAGCTCAGTGGGCTCCATACAAAAGGCAAGCATAAAAGTTGCGCCACACCACCAGGGCATGTGCAATGTGGGAGGGGCGTGGGTGACGTCGTCGGTGACGATAGGTGGGCGGTGCGACGGTGGTCCGATCAATGCTTCTACGCTATCATACGGCGAGCCTTTGCACCCGAAATATCCCTGCGATCCTGTGTCACTTTCACTTTCTTCCATGAGTCCGTCATCGACGCCGCCCCAGAGCGACGGTGCGCCCGGTCGTCACCACCAGAAGCAGTCGCCCCGCGCCAAGGCGATTCAGCTCGTGAGTTCGGCGGTCGCGCCGTTCCTCGCGAGTTTGTTTGAGATTCTGTCCAAAGAAGATGCCAGTGTCATCGCGTGGTGCGACGACGGCAAGTCGTTTGGTGTGTACAACTACGACGCGATGGAAAAGCACATTTTGCCCACGTACTTTCGCCATAACAAGTTTGCGTCGTTCCAGCGCCAGCTCAACTACTTTGGGTTTCGCAAACTGCACAAGACCAAGGAGTCGGAACACCACTCGATCTACTGCCAGCCATTCTTCCTTCGACACGATCCCGCCCGCATGCTTCAAATCAAACGCAAAACACACCGCGTCAAGGCCAACACCCCCCGACGCGCCATTCTCGGATCCCTTCACGACTGCTTCTCGTACCCGTACGGGGGCTGCCATCCGGCTTCACCACCTTCCTACAAGGCGCAGACACCGTGTGCCTGCCCGAACTCGCACGGCCAGGACGCGTTCTGCTACACCTCAACCCCAGCATCAAACACCCCGTCGTCGTCACACCACACATCAGCCCAAGTTACTTCGGCGGACACATACGATCCTCTCCCGTTTTACGCCCCGTCGACTAACGTGTTCATGTCCGTCGAGTCTCCTTCGGTGTGCTCCTACCTCCAACCAGTGGATTTGCACCACGACCCGACCCAGCCCGTCATGCACACCGACGACGTGAACTTGTCCAACGTTGTCGTGTACGCATCCCCTGGCGGTCACCATCCCGTCGCGGCCGCCGCGCCATTCCCCTACACGTTTCCGCGGGATTTGACCAAATTCACACAAAACAACTTGGATTTCCTGTACGACGATGCCTTGTCCATATAAATGGCACGTGCCACCTTCCCCCACGCTAGCGTAATATTATTATGAACCGACTGCTAAGGTTTCGGTGCCCTCCGACGTCAGCTCTGCACCATCGATCTATCATCACCTGGGCCGCCCTCGACATGCCATGTCATGTAGCATCGACCCGATGGCACGCGCTAAAGTTCGTGCGAAAGCAATGGCGCATCGTTGGAGCTCCAATGGGATGACGCTTCAGTCCATGTCGCACTGGACCGTTCGGGGAACGTGCTACTTGTCATCGTCGAGGTCGTTTCCAGCCACTCGATGGGGTCTCATATGGTTGGCAAAGTCAGCTCACATGCCATTCACGACACTACATGTGAGACCCCGTCAGTGGCCACTTGGACACAGCACCATACACTTCATGTGTCTGTGCATTCAATTCCACTTGAAACGAACGACGTCACGCCCAGCTCTTCCGCAGCCAAGCGCGACGTGAAAGACAAGGACGAAGACTGCCATCGCACACGTCGCTCCTGCGAACAATGGCACCTCTCCTCGCATGTCGCTGTCTAGTTCGCGAATCACACTGGCTGCCCCATGCATCACACATGCACGTGCACAATCATGCCGAGAGTCTTTCCCACATGGCACGAGCATGCTACGACCCCAAGACGGAACGACAGCGAGCTCAAAACTTGTGGCGGCCTTCGTGGTTCGACCACGCTGGCGATGCACTACCATGTTGAGCCAATGCTCCGGATAATTCCAAGGATATCCGAAACTCCCCCAACAAAAAACTTGACACACGATCACGCGGGTTAAAAATAGATTTCCTCCCGCGTGAACAGGACGCCTGGGTCGTGCGTTAGGCTCGAAGACTGCGCTCAACATCGCGACAAGGGTACAAGACCCTGTCGGGGCAGCAACTACAACAGTCACGCGATCGGTCAAGCTAACACTTGTAGCGACAAGGAAGCTCCCGCCTGTTCAAGCCACCATAGCACGGAGTTTGGGAATGCAGGTCAGACCATCACTCCAACCATCACGATGGCGACCACGTTGTCGTGATCGCCGCCATGGCAACGAGGGGGGTCATTGTCATATTCCGATTTTCATCATGGCATCGTTCAACCAGCTCCCCTTCGTCAAATTCGCTCGCGACGGCAATCAGTACATTTCGTACTCAAAGATCGACCCCACGGGCCCGTCCCCACCCGCCCCTCGCACGTTTGTGTGTGTCGCAGGGCTCGGTGAAACTCGCTACACGTATCGTTTCGTTGCCCCCTTGCTTGCACAAGCTGGTCATGTCGTGTACATGATGGATCTGCGAGGGATGGGCGATTCGTCCACTGGTTTTACCAGCTATTCCGTCGAGAGCTGTACCGAGGATATTGCAGCGGTCGTCGCCACCATCGCCGGCCCTGTTGTGATGGTCGGCAGCAGCTTTGCTGCCGCTTGCATTGTGCTGCTTCAGGCCCCAAACGTAGTCGGCTCCATGCTCCTTGGGCCGTTCGCCCGCGACCAACCTGGTTTTGCCAACAAAGTATTCTCGTTCCTCGCCCCGGCCTTGTTTGCTCGACCGTATGGAGTCTCCATGTGGATATCGTACTGGAAGACGCTATTCACGACGCCAAGCCCTGATGCCGCTGCTTACGAAGCGTACTTGACGTCCAACATGAAAGATTCGGGCCGCCTCAACGCACTCCTTCGACTGCTCCAAGCGTCAAAGGCAAATGCGGGAAACCACTTGGAAACGTTTACGTTGCCCATGATCATCGGGATGGGGTCCACAGACCCCGACTTTCGCAGCCCGGAAGCGGAAGCGCAGTTCCTTTACAATACCATTCGAAGCTCCGTGAAGAAGATTGTGATGTATCCCAACGTGAAGCATTATCCCCAGGTTGAATGCCCGTCCGACGTCGCTCGCGACTTGCTCGAGGCTGCGTTTTAAGCCTGTGCCGCACACTTTCTTCTCGACCAAGCCATGCGCTTCATGTCGTCGAGTGGCGTTTGCATGGCGAATGTGTCCATTGGGTTGCATGCACGACGCCGAATAATAAATACCATGCATCCGCCTCCCTCCAATTACTGATTTCCCCCCGACTTTGGAACAGGCAAAAAAGTGCATTTTTGACAGTATATAAGGAATCACAGTTATTAGTTTTCACTCAAGATTGGCTGAACCGATGGTTCGCTGTCAAGAATGCCAGTTCGTTTCCAGCAGTTTGAGATGGTTACTTGCGAAACACTGCGCCATGTCTCCTTCGACCAGGCCATGGCCTCGATCAGAGGTACGCGATGGCGCGTCCGACGGTCTGCTTCGATGGCGTAGAGCACAGATTGAACGTCTCCTTAGCCCAAAGTGCCAGCTCGGAATACGTCAAATGTGGTTCTTGTAAATGCTTAACATGCAAGGCATGTTTGTCGCCCAACATCATGCGCAGCTTCATCTCTGAATTGACTTTATCCACATTGATATCATGCATGCAGGTGAATATTTGAATGAACTTTGTCATTTGATATTATTCATTTCCAGAAATTATCGTGATTTAGCCGTTCCAAAGTCGGGGGGAAATCAGTACACTGCCCGCATCGTTGCTGCAGCAGGGGTATGGACAAGAAAATGCCAAGCTGTGCACATTCCCGACGGCGTGCCTCTCTACAGGACGTACGCCGCCTGCGTGGATTGAAACGCAGTGGTCCTTTCAACAAGCGACATGCAAGGGCAGTGCCCACATGAATTTTGTTGCCCGCCGGCCGATCGAAACCTTGGCAGTCCTTGCTTTCACGTGCACTTATCGTTCACTTGGTTTTCGTCTAGAGCACTCGGTGGGGGTTCAAATCACGCCGCCTCACACAAAATAAAAATGAAAGTCGGTCCCATGCGAAGCGTATGTTGCGCCATTGAAAGAGGAGGATACATCCAAGTGCGGTTGACTAGCAAACCCACACTGAAACGACTCGACGCTCTACGTTTTGGGGGGTAACCTATGAGGTAATTCTACTCAACGCGACCGAACTTGTCGACCTTGTGAACCTCGAGGCACAAAACCTCATGCCGCAGCCTCTTGGGCATGAAGACCGCGTCCACGTCGTGCAGAAATCTGGCCTCGATGCGCGGTGCATCCATTGCAAATTTCTCGTCGCTCGAATACAAAGGATGGGAAAACTTTTGCTGGATTGCATTAAATACGACTAACTTTCTATAACTGGAACACGTTCAGCGGTCGACTTTAGACCGCTGTAGCAGGCATGGTAAGCGACGAGAGGAGCGTCAAGTCTTCATCTGGCAGCGTCCACGAGTCTTGTGGAGCGCAGAGAAATGGAATCGGCTGGAACGACCAGGCGTCACATGCAGACGGGTCAACCACCGATGGCAGGTCCGAATACAAAAGCGACACGAACGAGCTCTGGAGCGTTGTGTCGGGCAACGAAGCGGTCATGTCCATCTCGAAGCAGTTGTAGCCGTAAGAGGTATGGTCCATGGCTTGATGTGGCTCGTAGGTAGTGTTCACGTGGGACGGCGAGTACGGAAACCCGTCGCAGGGTGACACAGTCCCGGTCTGTGACTTGAGGCGATACGTCTTGCGCTTGATGCGGAGCATGGCTGTGGGGTCGTCGCGGTTGAAAAGGGGCTGGCAGTACACGTTGCTCTGGTCGGTTCCATTGAATTTTTGCAGCTTGCGAAACCCAAAGTAGTTGAGTTGGCGCTGGAACGACGCAAACTTGCTGTGGCGAAAGTACGTGGGCAAGATGCGTTTTTCCATCGCGTCAAAGTCGTACACACCAAACGACTTGCCGCCGTCACACCACCCGATCACGGTCGGGTCTTCCTTGGACAGGATCTCGTACAAACTCGCGAGAAAAGGTGGCGTCGTGTGGCTCAGCACTTTAGACGACGCAGAGCGCGGCGACAGGGAGCTTGCGGTGGCGACCATGGCGATCTGTGTGTGGCGAGGCGGCGGCCGGGGGAATTTGGAAGTGATGCGATGTCGACATGTCGTTGCCTGGTTGCGTCGTCGCGGCTGTGCACAGAGAGATCAAGCGCGACCACGCCAGCTGCCTGTCGTGGTCTGGGACCACAGTCGTACGTGCCGAGTACCAACCTGGGACATACCAAGTCAGTCACTTTATCGCCCCAATCCAGCTTTTTCGACCGTCGATGCATTTCTATCTTCATTGCCTTATGATGTGCTTGCTTCGAGAGGGCAGGACAGAGGCAGGTGAACTATTTCGAGCATTTGGTGAAGTGCTCTCGGCGTCGCCATGGTTGATTGACCGAGAGACACGACACTGTTTCCGCCGACGGAGGGACGTTGTGTCGTTGCGAGAAGGCGATGACGCAAATGTTTGCATCTGTGGGAGGCGTGCCTGCGTGTGCGTGGGTGGTGTGCGAGTTATATATATCCCTTTGCAGACAGCAGATCCGACCGTGGCGCTTCCAAGAATCGACGGAAAGTTCGCGCCTCCTCCCGAGTGTCTTGTCTGCTCTCTGGTGCAAAACCCGTCGACGCACGTGATTATTACACGACAATACACCCCCTCGACAACACAGGCGCGGTCGAGTCGAACTCGCTTCCGGCCAAGCAACGGATCTGGAACGTTGAATCCGATAGATTCAAGTGGCAGCGTGGCCAGAAGACGAGGCTGTGGCAGCCAATCAAACCCACGACATGGCGGCATCTGAGGACGACGGTCGTGGACGGAGGTGAAGGCGGATGGAAATAAGATTTCCACTCGCCAGCCCACGCGGGAAACCTTCGCAAGAGATTCCGGCCTTGTTCCCGGCAACTTTCTGAACCGCACTGTCCCAAGTCGTCCAAGAAAGCGTTGGCCCACCATCCTCCGGTCGTGCGCGTATCATGCACATGGATCACGCACACGACGGTGGTCGTGGCAGAGTAGCGCCTGGAACCAGTGGAGCACTCTCGACATGGGGTGGCCCCGATGTGGGCGGGTGGACCTTCTGTCGTCGCACACATGCAAGCACGCCAGACGGCTGCGATCCGCCGCATCGCTGTGATCTCATCTTTAGACGGACACACGTTGACATCCGTTTTTATGTGCATGCCAGTACAGTAGAGCTCTCTGGTCAACCAACCGTTCAGGCAAGGGCTGACTCGAGATGTCATGGACGAGGAAAAGGAACACCGCGGTCAGGTATGAAATACCGCATCGTCGTCCAACCCAACGACAGGGCGAATGAGCTGGACTACAAAGCATGAGCATGGCATGATGAAGTCTGTTGCTGCCGTGCACATGGAAGGGGGCCTCGTCAAGAGCGTATCTTCGTGATGATGTGCAAACGGGGAGGAGGGCTTTCAACGCTCGTCGGTCTCAGGCCGCACATCACCCAGTGCTTAGCGCATGTATATGCACTTTGTAGGCGGTTGCCAAGGCGGTGGTCAACTCTCCGGTCGGTTCATAAGGACGTGTCCGAAGCGACGTTAGTGTCGGCGCATGTTGGGTTCAACCAAACATCATTGACAGTCCGCGAGGGCATTGAGTTGATGTGTCAGGATTGGTGGATTTTTGCAATTTTATACGCATTCGATTCACCAGAACTGAAGAAGAAAAAAACTCCTTCACAAAAGGACTCTGTAAAGGAATGTCCTGGACAAAACAATGAAAAACCCAGAAGTTAAACTAAAATTGGCCTATAAAAGACAAATCCTTGTCAAATCCAATACAATGGAAAGGAGAAAAACAATAAAAATATTCAGCACACTAAAACCTCTATATTATAGTGTGCCTTTTTCACATACTGATTTCCCCCCGACTTATAAACGGGCCAAAGTGAATAAAACTTGAGAATCGATCATATCGATTGTCGAGGTGAAATTGAAATTTCAAAAGGTTCAATTATGTTGTCATAATTTGTACCTGTATATTTTTGTTTCCTTTGAAACTTGTTTCAAGTCGACCGTTTAAAAGTCGGGGGAAATCAGTACTTGGGGGTCAATTTCATACAACTTCGGTTTTTTCGCCATAACTCATTCATTTCTTGCCTGCTCTTCGTCAAATTGGCGGCTAAATGACGGCCTTGATTGGCCCCATCGTTTCCCACCATTTTCAGAGAAACCAAAATTGCACCCTTTGCAATGGACCCGGCGACAATAGCCCACATCAAAGCCTTCGTAAAGCTGCGCCGCATGCGCAGCTTGACTATTGATGAATAGTATGGACTTACGAAACACGAAACCCTCAAAATATATGGAGTTACGAAACAAATTTGTTTCGTAAAGCCCAAATATGCATATCATGCTGTCTTAAAGTTTGTATGCTTCTGGATATATGCAACCATATTATGGTTTTACGAAACACAGGTATCCGGAAAGACTTCTATGTAGCTTCGTATTGCATTGTTCTGGATGTGGCGCCATTGCCAGTCGGAGGCACTTGGCGATGGCCGCAAAGAGAAAGCAGAGTGAGGACAATGCGACTGTGGAGCCGGGCGACGACACAATTGCTCTCCGCGTGGTAAACAGCACGAGGAGGCAATACGACAGACGATTGCACGTTTGACACGTTGGCTGGAAAAGGATCACCCGTCGTGTGTAGTCGGAGGAGCCTTAATTCTACCCCTCAGTGTGTCGGTATGTAAGGCCATGTTACAACACTCTAGCATCAAGAGAAATCGCCTCGGCGCCGAATGCATTCCACTCCAATACAACTCGTTC